CATCATTTTTTCCGGGTTCTTCAGAAAACTCTTCTACATATTATTCCTCGATAACACTTCGCTTATAATTCTTATGATTTCCGAATTATATCCTGTCAAGGGTTATCAGACACATAAACTTTTCTGGAATAAAGGGTATGTCTGAATTTTTTTTTACTTAATATTACTTGCATCTCATATCAGACTTTTCACGTTTCAGTTGACCAGTCGTCAATTTCAAATCTTAAAGTGTATTAAATTCTGAAAACTTTCATGACTGCCTGGATAACACCAACAAGAGTATCACTATATAACCGATAACCCATTATTACTTTCCGTTCAGTACATAATTACTATATTTCTCTCGTTTGTTGATTGATATTTGACAGATTTTGTTTCGCAGTAACATAAAGAGGCAAGGAATGCTCTTCTTTTGATTTAAGCAGAATGAACCAGGACACCAGTAAGTAGTACAGTCTAACCTCGATATACCGATATTCGACATACCGATATACTATTAAAAACTTGATATACCGATAAAATTTTATTTTCCCGCTATATATGAGGACATATAAATATCGGTATAACTTTGATATAACGATATTTTCTAAAAATTTCATATATGTCCCGACATATCGTTATATAAAGGTTTGACTGTATATGTTTTGAAATGATGATATACAGCGTATCATTCTCCATCATGTGAAAATCTGGTTCCTAAAAGTTGATCCCGAAGGAGCGGTTTATTAGCATCAAATCGGATCAGCCATGAAGTTTCTATCCCTCTTACTTGTACAGGAGAATCATCACATATGCCTCCTTTAATGAACTATGATCACATTGTTGCATAAGGCTTGATATTATTCTTCATCCAAAGCTTCTCGGAAATTCGATGCTAATAGGCACTTCGTCGTGAAATCATACCCAACTATATAGCAATCTCGACCTGCAAAGAATAAAGTATGAAATCTTTCTCACTCACAAATAATGTCAATATCATACAAATTCTTAACCCGCTTTCATTTTTTATTCGTTTCGTATGAGCTTCCGAATTGTTTATATTCCGAGCGAAGCCTTTAAGGATTTTATCCTGTATTTTGTCTTCCGTGATGCAAATAAGATTCTCTGCTTCCTGAAATGAAAGTATGATATTATTATATTTTCAGAAAACTCCATGTTTTCCTAAACTTGAGTTCATCAATCCCATACCATGTTTATCTATCAACTCGAAAAAAATAATAAAAATTATTTTAAATGCAAATAAAAGTTTCGATGAACCCGTAATCCGTTGATCCGCCGGTCTGGCGCCGGATATATCCGTTAAACCGGATTAAAAATTTGTTAATTTGTTGAACGGATAGTTTTCACCGGATCAGCGGGATAGAGGATATCCGCTTATTAATGATCATCATATCATTTTTGTTCTAATTTTCTCGATCTCCCATATTTTTCGTGAAATAAATACTTCCGAATAGATAAAAGTGCTGAAATTTCATGACAGTTTGCTCACCATCAATATTTGAGTTAATTTAGTTGGGTCTATAAATAAGTTCAGATGCTTATTGTATAGATTTTATCCTGTAGTATGATTAAAAAAAAAAATTTCAACAATCTTCTTTATTTTAGGATGAAATAACATTATACGTTGATGAATAAAGATGAATAAATATATTTATAATATATAAAATTTGTGTACGTAGTAAATATATTAACTTGATCATCAAAAAAAATTATTTAAACATATTTGGCGTAAATTTTAATTTGTCATCGAACATTTTTATCCGTTTAACCGCGTTATCTAAGGATGAAAACGGATTTTTAACCGGTTAAGAAATTTGTCAAACCGTACTGATCAACGGGATCACCAGAATGAGAGACTGGGATGTAATCTCTGGTTGAAGACGCTTCATCTCAGTCTCTGTAACTGAGATTTGCCTTTTAAGACTTAAGTTTCTATATTCTTTCTCGACAATTGAATTTTCCCATCTATATATATGTTCTACACCAACTGGATATATAAAAAGTACCTTGGATTGTCTTTAAGAAATTTTTTGAATGGAGCTCAAATATGAGAGCACCACATTTCTGGTGTTTCATAATCATGCTTGTAATGCAAATGCAGATGCATTAACGCTTGTACTTCCTTAAGATTTATATCACAATTGGGAGTATTCCATACAGGTTTAACCATTCTTGCAATATTATCTCTGAAATGTATTGTACTTGAGTGTTTAAGCACTATATAACGATTTTTTAGCAATTTTGTCGATTTAATAGCAGTTTCAGTGATTTTATTGATTTATAGCCGATTTTAGCAAAAAATCCGAACTGATTCATTTTTATTTAGCTGGAAAATTGAGGATTTATATAGTCATAGGCTAATTTTATATTAACATGCATTGTAGATTAATTCGCAGTTTCCTCGTGATTTATGTTACGAGAAGCAAATCCTGAACAATCATAATATCGACAGTCAATCATGCATAATCCTGACACCAAAATCTCGATAAATGCAAATCTAAAATCTTGAAAATCCAATTTTTAATGCAATTTTAGATTAGCAATCTAGTAATATACTGTACATTGTCCTTTTAATTAAAATAAAAAAGATTTTTCTTTTAATTTCATTAATGATATAGTAACTTAGTGAATTTGAATTAATATTTAATAAAAATTTGCAATTTGCATTGGTATTGATAAAATTTACAAATATTTTGCGTTAATACTAATCAAATAATTCAAATTATATTTGAATAAATTAAGACCCGTTACTGCGCCGCTGCATTTTTAAAATTGTGTTTATTAAAAAAAAAAACTTTGGGAATTTGTGACTATCGGGATTTTTTGATATTATAGTCACCATCCACCCATACACACAACCCACACTCACAACCTACATACCTAAAAGAAGATGGTAAGAAAAAAGAAACCCCATCGAGTGAAGATGGTTTATTCTTATCGAAGAATTATTTAGCCATATTCAAGATTATTTAATCAAAAAATAAAAGAAGACCTAGTAATTAATATAAACTAAACGTTGAAAAAAAAAAAATCGAGAAAAAAAAATTATTTCTTCCGCTCCTAAGAGAGACTTTCAATTATTTTTACCACTCCTAAGAGAGACTCAAAACTTAGATATTAGGACATATTTTTATTATTTATGTTATATACTCAGGTCAAAAATTTTATTATTAATCCTGTTGCAACAGATTACAGCTAGTTTAATATTAATTAATTTAATCTCTGATTCTCCAGTATATTACGCCTCCTACTATACCCGCAACGGCCGGCCGGCCCAGTGTTGGATTTTGGACGCAAAGTTTTGGACAAACTTCCCGGAATTGCTCACGGTGTCTGCTATCTCTTCCTTTTTCCTTTTTTTTTTTACTAAATAATAAATTTCGTTCTTTCAAAAACTGATATAAAAATTTCATTCATTTACATTATTTGCCACCTTTTTTCTTATTAAAACTTTATTATAATTAAAATACAGTATATTAAAATTATTTAATGCGTTTTCATACTATTAAAAATAATTTATCAATCGAACATTGTTATTATTTATTTTATAATTTTTCAAGTAAAATTAAATTCAATTCATTTGAAATAAAAAAATTTTTATTCAACGTGGCACCGAATAAATTGATTTTTAATTTTTTTTTCACACACGATCAATTTTTTCTCATACGTCAAAGGAACGACTCCTCAGTGGATTCACTCCTCAGTGGATTCATTGGGTTAGGTAGATACTTATATATATTCAGAACATCATTAAAAATTAAAAGTGAAATTAATTTTACACGACGATTGGTTTATTTTCTAAAAAAAATACCAATTGGAGCATCACTAAATAAATTTATCATAAAATTTAAAAATTGAATGAATTTTTAATAATCAGAATAATGGTTATTATACAATATAAGAACAATTTAAACAAATTCAAATTAATTTATGACGGTTTATACTGTTGCTGACTTAGCCAAGTCTTTAAAAAACTTGTTGTCACCTGATCACCAACGTTGAGGTGCAGCAATTTGATCAGGACCTCGAAGAAAAGGGAAGAAAAGGATGAGAAAGGGAAAGGGAAAGGGAGGAACGAGAGAGGGAAGAAGAAGGGGAAAGAGCGAGGGAAAACAAACATATACCACACATACACACACGCCTCACACCACACACACCCACACCCACGCCCACACCTACACACAACACACCCACGCCCACACCTACACACAACACACCCACGCCCATACACGACACACCCACACTCACACCCACACACCCAAACACCCAAACACCCACACTCACACCCATACACCCACACATACCTCACAAGAATGAAGGGAAAGTAAAGGTATTTATATATATATATATATATATTTTTTTTTGAGATATACGTGATTAGTCATGACTCATATTATAACACATCACAACTCTTTAATTGTCATACTGATGTTATCCACATTAAGATTATGTAATGATAATTTGCATGATACAATCAATTGTTGCATGAGTAATTTTTTTTGTATGAGTAAACTTTTATTCATATGACTGATATGAGTAATACAATAATTTATGACTATCAAATGAGTAATTTTCATTACAATCAACGTTGGTCACACTACTTACTTTTATATTCGAAAAATATAACTTAAAATACTTTTATCATTTAACATCTAAAAAATCCGTTAAAAATAATTAATAATTAATATTATTCATTTAATAATGTACGATTAATATATATTACATGTACTTTAAGTTATTAAAAGGTACAACTTGTTGAAAAATGTAAAAGTTCAAAAAACTTTGAAATTTATATATCTATATTTTATTATTAATGTTCGTAACTTCTAAGTCGTATTAACATATTAATATAATAACTAATTTTTTTTTTTAAAAATAAAAAGCAGCGCTAAATGAAATAATAAATACGAACCAGTCGTAATTATAAATGTTAACCCGTCTTACTGCGCCACCTCTCACTTTAATTTACAAATAACTATTTTTAAATATTAATATAATAATAATTAATTAATTAATTAATTAAAATCATAAGGTTTTTCATTTTCATCCGCTATTCTCATAACAGCAGCTTCTCTTTGATCTTTTATAGAACCCCACCAGTAATAAAAGGAATACCAACATGTTAAAGCAACAAAAAGAAATCCATAACTAATAAGTATCGGAGCTAATTGTTGAGCCGTTTTTTCTCTTAGATCACAATTTGGTTTATCTTTAGGACATTCAACATTAACAACAAAAGAAAACACTAAAATGAATAAACCTGCTAATATAAAAATTATTGCAAAAGGTAATGGAACTTTATATTCTCGAGTTATGTTTGAAAATAGGCTAGAAGTTTCATTCAATTCTTTATCATTCATATCGAATTGTTTTTTCTTCAATTCATTTTTTTTATTACGCCGAATTAACTATAATTTATAAATTAAATTTTAGTTTTTTAATCTTTTAGATTATATAAAAATTATCAAATAAAACACATACCAATAAACCTATACCAGTAGCGAAATAAAAAATCCAATAACTATACATTGAAAAAGTTGAAAATAACGTAAAACTTGTAATAGTAAAACTACTTCCAACAAACAATATAATAAATGAACACCAAATAAACTGTAATAATAAAGCATTTATTGGTGTATTAAAATATTGATTCCAGGTTCTTAATTCTTTCGAATATTTTGGGAAAAAATCCGATGCTGCTGCTGCGACAATAACTCTTGATCCACTAAAATTTTTTATTAAACATAAATTTGTTAGTATTATTATCAATATAAAGGAAAAAATAATATTAATCATATAATTTTTACCTCCACACTCCTGCTGCTGCGGTACCAATTACAGAAAGTACAACCAGAGCGGTAAAAAGTCTTACGATTCCAACAGATTTACCAAATAATTTATAAAAGAATGTTGCGGCTATAGTTTCATCTATGTTATTATTATTTGATATAGATTCTTGTGGAACAACTGAAATAAATGCAATATTTACGAGAAGATCTAAAACATATATGTATATAAATGAATTAGAAATTAGAATTTTATATCATGTTATTTTATTATAATATTTACTGTACATACACATTAATGTAACAATTCCGACACTGATACTATTACTGAAAATAAGTTTTTTTCCCGGTTTTCGGAATTCATCTAGCGAGTCTATAAAAATAAAAAATTTCGTTATTAATAACAAATACATCAATTAATTTTTTTTAAAAAAAAAAATTTAAATGACTTACAATTCAAAGTATTCCATCCATCATAACTAAACATAATCTATAAAATGAAATAATGATTAAATTTATTTACGAATAAAACCATAAAAATCATAAACGTGTATACTTACTAATAAAATGGAAGAAGAATAAGCTGAAATATTCGTATCACCATTTATTGGATGTTCCCAATTAAACCGACTTACAGACCAATTCGATGCTAATCTATAAATTCCGGCTAAAGCGATAATCGAATATGTAATCAATTTTATGACAGCTAGGGATTGATTTATATAATTAGCCCATCTGTTATTAATCATATGATAAATTGTTATAATAAGCAAATATACGACTGCCAATATTTTTGTAAACCTAATAAAATAAATAAAAAACTTGGATTAGTCCCTTTAACAGTTGATGTTACATTAACGCGACGATAATTAAACATTCTTATTACCAAAATGGGGAAAAAGGAAGATTCCATCCAGTTGTATCTTGCTTAATACCCTCATCATATCTACGTCCATTAATAGTAAACCAAGAATACTGGGCTGCTGATTGTAAAACTGCACTAATAATTCCTGGTCGAATAGCGCTAAATTAAAAAATTATATATACAGCAATTACAAATAAAGTTTTTTTAAATAAAATAAGAAATAATGAAACATCGAAATTATACTTACAAAATATGCATGAAACTAAAAAGATAACTCATCAAAATTTTTGGCTTAGGATAAGCGGTTTGTAAATATTTTGTTTCTCCACCACTTATCTTATGTATAACGCCAAGTTCAACATAAGATAATGAACCCGCCATACTTACAATACCACCGATTAACCATAATAATAATACAGTTCCAGGAGATTTGACCATATTCCAAATAATTCCTGGTGTAGTAACAATTCCTGATCCTATTACATTGTTTATATTCAGTCCAATACCATAAGCTACACCCAAAATTTTATTTTGTTTATCTTGAGGACTCTCTATTACAGACATCCTAGAAGGAGCGTATATCGATTCTCTTATTTCGTTATCCATTCGAGACTCATTTGTTGCTGTTATATCATCATTAATTACAGACATTTTGTTAATTTTGTTACGAAAAAAAAAAAAAAAAAATTATGTGAAAATTTAGAAAATTTAGATTTTTAAAACTGAACCTTTTATATAATAGTTTGATAATGACACACATGATTGTTTCATGATCTTTGAGCTACCAATCGTAAAAATGCCGATCAAATAGACTAGCTATTTATATTCACAATAAATGAACAATTTGAGCTTTAAATGAAAATATAAAAACAAAGTTTACGGAAAACTTATTGTTTCGAATTTATACATGATTATTATTATTTCGGTAACCACTTGTTATTTCTTGTTATTAAAATTTCTATCTTTAGTAAAAATATTGCATATCCAGCTAAAAGTTTTCCCAAAATAACGACTAGGTTAGCCAATTGGATACCTTTTTGAATATGATTTTCATAAACGTTCCAAGTTGAATGTTACAAACATTGACAAACGACTTCATTTAATGAAACCATAAATACTCGAGTGAAAAAGTAGAATGAAAATAACAAAGTTTCTCAACATATTTTCTTAGTTGAAAGAAGTTTAGGAGAAGTCGAAACTCGAGAGGATGTAAAATTGTAAAATTAACTTTTAATTTGACTGTAAATTCGGCCAGTAATAATAATTCAATTTGAGCCAAGACCTTTTTTCCGGACCGAAATATCAGCTCATTGGTCCCCAGTTTGATCTGCAAAATTGTGACCTGAACACAGAAGTCAATAATGATGTATTAAAATTAATTATCTCATAATTAGTAGCACTTTCATATTTCTCATAACGAATTCTTTCAATGCTATCGAAGCAGAGAATTATGTATCAGAAGATAAAAGATATTTAGAATTATGTGAATTAGTAAATACGATTTTTTTTTGTACTACTTTCAAATTGCGAATCCCTTCATTCTTTAAAGAAATTAATGTTCTTATCCATCTAATAGTTCAAAAAAGAATAGGATTGATTTGCAACCAAACAACAACGGCGTGCTCTTTATTAGGTTGGTTTTTTAGACGATGTATTATCACTTACACTATTTATAATTATTAGGTTTAAATTGACGAAACTCGTAAAATCAAAATGTCCAAAAACCCTGAAACTCACGTTAAATTCCTATATTTGTATTCGATTTTGGGCCTATTTTCCTTTTTTTTTTTAGTTTTTTTTGATTTACAGTATATTTCACATGAAAAAAGAGGAGAATTGTATTGTACCTGCATGTGTTATATATCCGCGGATTGATTATTATCCGAAATTCTTACTTGTGAACGATTATCACACCATTTATAGATTTATAGAATTTTGTTCTACAGTATCTCCAAGACCAAGTATACAAATAATATTAATTCTGGTCAAATATCTACCTCATGGGTATTATATAATTTTTAATAATTAAAAAATATTATACAAATTATTTACAAATTTATTTTACTATGTAAATAATACATAATAAAAATTAATTTTATATTAATATTTTATTTTACATATAAAAATTATTTATAACGTTTGGCTGTTAATAAAATTCATTTTTATATGTAAAAATTTTAAATTTTCTATATTATTTTCTACATGTTGCTCATAAACTAATAATGATATACAAATTCTCTGATCAGACTACAATGACGTATTCCAATACACGAAACCTTTAGCGAACCCCCCAAAAATATATAAATTCTTCATAGCCGATTTGGGAAATAATAACAAATATATTTTTTTTTTTCAATTATTTTTTATCAACCAAAATTTATATTCTCTAAATATTAACAACTATCTAAAAACTATTTCAAATCTTCCTTTAATATCTGCGTTATATATGTGGAATTTTAAATCTTTTAAAATTAATCAATTGGATATTTTAGAAGATTATAAACATTAATCAAAGACTATATATATATATATACTTTAAGGGTGAAATTTGATTAATAGACATTTTTTAAAATTTCTTATTATAATAATAAAATTTTGTGAATTGAAAGAAACTCAGAAAATTTCCATGTTTCATTTGTAAAGGCGAAGTGATAAATAATCCTTATTTCATCAAGAACAAATGTAATAAAAATTCGATGATTTAATGTTTATCAGAAAAATTGTATCTAAAACTCTCGATATCAAACAATTTAACTATTTTTAAAACAATTCATTTCCTAAAACATATATATATATAAATATATGCATATATTTGGAAGAGAAAGGGGTTTTACTTGTTTTATATATTTGGTTAATAATTAAAAACAATAGTAATTATTACAATACGTAATTTTAGGGTAAATTTATCGGATAATATTTAATGTAATATAATAATAATGTCTTTTTTTTTATTTTACTACTAAACTTTTTAATGATGTCCATTTAAGAACGTAGAAAAAATTTTGAAAATAATTGAAACTAAATATTTATATTAATATTTACATTATAAATATTTAAATATTTTTGATTTTTATCGTAAAACACGTATTTCTAAGTCATTAAAAACCAAATTTTAAAAATTTTTATCGAATCTTTTAATTTATTTTATTTATTTTCCATAAATATAATAAAAAGAATTTTTATATTAAGAAAAATATATTTATATATATATATATATTATTTTCCATTATTTCCATTAATATTAATCTATACAATAATTACTAATATTAATTTTAATTAAAAAAATAATAAAAATAATTTTATCCATTATTGCCAAATTTTATTACATAATCATAAAATAGTTAGTTGGGTAAAATGTTACACGTTTCAATTATTTTTGTTAAAAGAAATTAAATTTGTAATCTATTTTTAAATAATTCTAATTATTTTTATGATCTTTACAAAGTAATCTTTGATAAAGAAATATACATACAGTATATATTTTTTATTTTTATTTTTATTTTTATTTTTTTTTCTTTTTCTTTCTTACGAAAATAAATTTAAAATCCATAACAGAGTTAAAAGTGATCAACAAAGATCCATCCGATCCATCCCAAATCACAATCAAACGCGATTATATAAAAATAAAAATTACTTATCTGATATTAAATTATATATTAATAATAATACTGTTTCAAAAATATTTTTTTATTAAAAAAAGTTAGTTTAAATTTCTTGTTTTAAATTAAAATTATTTTACATAATTGGTTAGAATGTTTTAAAAAAATTTTTAATAATAATACGATTTAAAAAATTATTATTTACATTTCTTTATCCCAAATATTTTATCATCGTATTTTTTGCGATTCAAAAATTCAAATCTCGTGTAACATGATTGGACGTATTAAATTTAATATACGAACTTTTTGTGTTACATTTCTTTATAAAAATCTCGAAATATAAAAGTTACCATTGATCTCTCTTTCTCAACTTCTCCTTTTTTTAAAAAAAAACGAACGAACGAAAAAACTCCACTTTTTTTTTAAAAAAAAACGAACGAACGAAAAAAACTACTTTTTTTAAAAGAAAAACCGAACGAACGAAAAAAAAACCAGAAAAAAAATGCCTCGTCAACTTCTTTCCGATTGTTTAAATGAAATATTTGAACATTTAGAAGATGATAAAATCACTCTACATTCATGTTTACTTGTCAATCGTCTATTTTGTGAAATTGCAATTAAAATCTTATGGAGGAATATTTGGAATTTTAAATATAGTATAATATATAAACCTTATTATCGTACTCATGTACCATCAGCAATTATTAATACTTTAATTGCTTGCCTTCCTAATGAATCAAAAAACCTTTTAAATGATAATGGAATTTTTTTAATTAATCCTTCTATTATTCAAAAACCTCCATTATTTAATTATCCTTCATTTTGTAAAGTTCTTTCAATTCATGGAATTGATCAAATGATTCATTATATTCTTGAAAATAATCATTTATTAATTACAACAAAAAGTTTAAAATTTAATAAATATTTATTATCTCAAGAAATATTAAAAATGTTTATGAATCAAATTTCTTCTTTAAAATCTTTAAATTATTATTCTGGTTATTCAAAAAAAGTTCAAAATATTATGTTCATTCATTTACCTGAATCAAAATTTTGTTTATCAAATTTATTTGAATTAAATTGTAGTTCTGATATTTATTCCGAATTTTTTTATCAAATATCTCAAATATGTCAAAATATAAAATCTTTAAATATTAAATTTGAAAATTTTATTTCTGATGGTTTAATTGATTTAATCTCTTTACAAAATAATTTAAAAAGTTTAACTTTAAGATATTATGATAATAAAAATGATTTATCAAATAATAATATAATTTATTCTACTTTATCAAAATTTTCTTTAATATTAACAAAATTAAGAATTGAAGCTTATTATTTACCTTTATCATTTATTTCTAATTTTTTAAATTTACAAGAAATTATTTTATCTTTAGAATCTGAAGATTCTTTTGATGATTTTAATCATTTACAATTTATTAATTTTAAAAATTTAAAAATTTTAAAATTTTTATTTAAAATTTCAAGAATTAATTTATTAATTAAATTTTTAGAAATTAATGGTAAAAATTTATTAGAATTTTGTATAGATTATGATCATGATTATTCTTTAAATTTAGCTATAGCTAAATTTTGTCCAAATCTTAAAATTTTATCTACTATATTTATGAATAATGAATTAGAAACTTTAAAATTAATTTTAAATAATTGTAAATATTTAGAAAATATTAAAGTTCAAAATGGTATTGAAGATTTAGATAATAAGGAATTTTTTGAAACTTTAGCTATATATTCTCCAAAAAATTTTTTTAAATTAGAAATTGATTATTGTTCTTTTGGTAGTTTAAAATTACTTTGTGAAAAATTAGATGAATTTTTTATAAATTGGAAAAATCGTAATCCTTTAAAATTAATTTCTTTAATTATTGTAACTGATTATAGAGAAAATATTGATTTAGAAGTAAATGAAAATATGGATATAATTAAAAAATATATGAATTTAGGAATTATTAAAAAATTTAGAACTAGAAAGTATGATGATGAAGAATGTTGGAATTCTTTCTAATCTTTTTAATATCTATCTATCTATCTATAATTACTGTATATTGATATTATAGAAAAAAAAAAAAAATAAAGTCATTCTTTCAATTTATATAATTTTCATTACTACTATATATTTTAAAATGAAACTTTTCCACTAACAATCATTTCAATATCCTAATAAAAGATAAAAATATAAATAAATATATATAATTATATTAAATATAAATAATCTTTACTTACAGCATAAACTAATGGTAAAGGATCTTCAATACATCTTTTAAATGCGCTTGACGCTAGTTCTTGTAACATTGTATTCATTATTCTAAAGTAATTAATAATCAAATTAATAATAATTTTTATAAAACAATAAATTTTATAAATAATTACCCTTCATCTTCAATAAATCTCCATAATTTAACTCTCATATATTCTGAATCAACTTGAAGTTGTTGAAATGATTTATTTGTCAATGTATTTAACCTAATCATTTCAATCCATGTCTTTTTTTTAAAAAATAAATAAATAAATAAATTAATAAAACGGATATTCTAACAATTTTCTAATAATCTTCTAATAATCTTTACATTAAAAATTATTCACCTTCAACAAAATTTTTATAATTCCCATCATAATACCAACAATACTCATTTCAACAATACCATATATTTCTACTCTATCGCTAAATAATTTATCAATATGTGAAGTTAATTGTACTGAACTAGTAAAAGGATTTGGAGAAGTTCTAGACCTAGTAGAACTTATTGAAGAATATGATGAATTTGAATGTGCATATGGTGATTTAATTAATGCTGTTCCTGGTGACAAAAGAGATTTATCCCCGCCACTAACATTAGAACTTGTATCAGGCTTTAAAATTGGATTTAACCTTTTTTCTAAAAATAAAGATAAAATAAGTGAAAAAATACAAATGTACTAAATTTAAATTCCATTTTGAATAATGATATTATATCGTACCAACAATATTTTCAACCTCTTTACTTTTTTCTTCGTCTACTGGGCCGCCATATAACATTACAACCTCTCTTTCAATATATACCAAATCGGTTATAATCTCGCTCCAAATTGGTGTGACCTTCTCAGGGAGTGGCGACTTTCCTAAATTTTCGTCCAAATTTTGTATATAATTCGGAATATAAATGTTTCTTATTTTTGATGAAACTTGATTTCCTTTAATTTCAACATATCTTTCCAATATTCTCTGAATGTATATCCAAAAAAAAAAAAAAATGAATTAAAATAAAAAAGATTCCATCAATTTCAAGGTATAACTATACTTACCTGGGCAACATCTTTACAAATTCCAACAACCTCTCTGACATCATGAGCCAATTCCTTTGCAATAGTAAATCTTTCACCAAGTCCATTATAAATTTCAGCTCCAATTCTATTTCTATAATCATTATGTTGATTATACAGTATATTAGAAAATGTCATATAAACCTGTATTGCGATAATCTCTCCGAAATCCAATAAAACACGGGACATCATCAATGCAATGATCGATGGTGGTGATTGTATAGGATTTTGTGTTATAGGAGTTGGATGAACTGGTGCTATATATTTCTATTAAAATATCATTGATTAATAAAACTTTTAACTTTTTTCATAATAAAAAATATTACTAATAAGCTTACATTTGATGATTGTACTATTGAACGCCAAAATTCTTTAAATTGTGTTTGAAATTCTTTCAAAAGGCGATCAACTCCACCTTTCTTTTGTATCATTGGAGTTTCAGTTTTTATACATTCCTATTAAATAAAAGTAAAATAAAAAATTATTATTATTCATATATATATTATTTGAAAAATGGGTGATTACGAACCTCTAACAATCTAAAGCAATCCCCTGTCAAATAATCAGAAAATGTGGCTTCCATCTCTAATATATAAGATTGTAATTCATGAACTTGAGAATTTGATGATGTCGATGATTCCTTTTTAAGTTCATTTTCAGCATACTTGGTAAATTTTTCTGAGTGAAGTATGACAAATATAAGCTATTATAATTTTATAATATACTCAATTTCGGTTTATTTAAATAACTTCATATTGAACTTACCCATCAATTTCTTTTCAGCAGTTCCAAATAAACTTTTAGCCAATTTAATTTCCCAAGCAGTAATTACTTCATTTACACGATCTTCAAATCTTGCAATTGTACAAAGACTATTGCAAGATAAAGTAGCATAATAAAGATCGTTCAATAATTGTAAATGTGTTGATGGATTGAGATTTGTAATTTGTTCCTAAATATATAAAATATGCAAAAAAATTTAATAGAAAAAAAAAACAATAATAAAGTGAATCTATAAAATAAAATATTATATTATATACAGGAAACTCCAATAAACTATCCACAATAATAAAATATTCCTTTGCCATGTCGTCAGTAAAATTTAAGAAATCTTGACGTGCAATATCCCTATCCTAAATTAGGAAATAAATAAATAAATAAATAAGTACAAAATAATTTTTTTTCGATTAATCAAAAATAATAAATCATTTTACATACATCACCATCCATATTTGCGGAAACAATTCTCAAAATATCATTACCAGCACTTCTAGGAGATTTTCCAGGAGATTTTCCAGGAGATTTTCCTGGAGATTTAGCTTCACGAATTTCTCTTGGTGGCATCAAGAAAAACCCATTAAAAGATTCAACAAACTTATTTAATTCTTTCAAGAATTTCTGATTTAAATATGTTAATTTACTTTTTGCTCTTTTTTTCGGAGAAATTGGTGATGATGGTTCCTTTTTAAGTTCTGAATCGGCATTTTTAGGTTGACTATCTTGAGATGAATCCAATGATAATGATGACATCTCTTCCATCGTTTTTCTTAATAAGTTCGTGAGAAAATTTTTTTGACTAAAAAAATATTTATGGAAATAGTTAGTAAATACGTAAAATAGATTAATTCAATAAAACATGATATAATAATTTGAAATAAATTTTACAGTTCCAAATATTCTTTGGCAAGCTGCTGTGGAGGTTCTTTCAAAATGATTAATAATGCCATACAATCCGTTATCTCTGATCCAGTTGCCTATAAAATATAGAGTTAGATATAAAATTAAGGAAAAAAAAAATAAAAATAAAGATGCTTTACGTACATTCATATTTGTCATATTCTCTCGAATTCTCTTTGTAACTTTATCCATAATTTCTTTACATTCTATTTCAATAGAACTAAAAACTGATAAACTTCTATAATGCTCCAAAAGTTTTGAAGTTTTTGCATAATATCTAACAGCTTGGGCATAAGATTTTTGATCCAGACAATTTTTTAATCTTGTTGGTAATTCAAATATGAATTGAATCTTTGAAAAAATAATGAAATTTAATAAAATTAAAAAAAAACATAGGAAATAAAATTATTCATCATTTAAAAATACCTTTTTTAGTAAATCATGAACTCCAGTTAATTGAAGAATTTTATCACGTTTTAGACCTAAAGCAGAATTTACTGAAGATGTAACATTTGATATATTATTAATACTTTGAGAGAGCTGATCCATTTCTGATTCCATATTTTCTACATTACTTTTCATCTAAATTAAGTAAAAAAATTTTTTTTTTTACCCTTAAAATTTTTTATGATATAAACTGAAAAAAAATATTTTATTCGTTACCTTTCTTATGGTATCAGTAGCACTTATAAATTTACTATAATTTTCATAAACTAAAGTTTTCATATCTCCATCGAGTTGCCGAATCTCTAATAAAATGTTTTAACTATCAATATAAAATACAACATTATAATTTATTAAATAAATTCTTAAAAATATCATAATATTAAATTCTCACCTGTACTTAAATCATTATCTCTCTGCATCAATTCGCTAAGATGTTTCTCAGCGAGCATATTATTAACATATTTATTTACATCAAAGGCAGAAAAATCTTTTTTAAAAAAAAAGAAAGAAAAGCATTAATGTTGATTAAAATTAATTGGTCAAAAAATTAAAAAATGATCTTAAGAAGATACTTTAAAATACAAACCAATGTCTAGAGGATCTGCTTTTTTTCCGTCGGGCAATCCATAAAAATCTTTCAATAATTGTTTTGCTCGACCTTTACGCGGCAATGTAAGTGTTATGTGAGGCGTCACATGTACAGAAGTTGACGCAAATGAAGTTGACTGTTCTTGTGAATTTGATGTTGGTGATTTTGGTGATGTTGGTGAAGTCGACATTTTTTTCTATTATTAAAATATTATTAAAAATTATAAATAGGTAATGAAATAAAAAAAAAATTTTATCATTATAAAAGGTCAAAGCCCAGTGGCTGTGATCGATAAATTTATAGTGCATCTTACCAAATAAAGGTAGATTAAGTTCGCACAATAACTTTCGTGAAATATAAAAAAAGATTTACGAACGAAAATTTTAATTAACTTTAAATAGAAATATTCCAATTGAGTGTTATGTTTGAAATAGGACAAATATATTATGTGACAAGAGATTTTTTATCTTTTGATTAATTATTTTTTTTTTTAAATTAATATAAAATATAAAAAATATTACATTATCTAGACCGGTGAAATGAAATATAAAAGAATTGCTTGTATATTCGAATTATTTAATGAATGGGCTGAAAAAACTAACATTTCTCCTGATATATAGTATGACGATATTGATTGATTAAAGTTACTTTCTAAGCCACCCAAACTTATTCTATATAATTAAACTCGTAGTTCATAGTACAGCTTTTGATCGCGTAAACTTCCATCCATAAAATCTCGTTAAAGGAATTTTGAATCTTTGATTATAATAATCGTAAACATATTCATCTTATTTTATTTACCTAAAGTCAAGGATGGTCACATCTCAATCAAGTACCCCAACCTCAAAACAAGATCCCACACTTTTTATCGTGGTCCATAATATACACCACATGCGTCTTGAATTTCCTCCCCCACCAAATAATATCATACCAACCACTATATGGGATAGAGTAGTTGCAAAATTGAGAATGTTAGGATTGAAATTTATTTACAAATCCACGGGAAACATCGACGATAGTAGATTATATGAATTTGAACGTGAAGAAAATCATCCCGTAGTTGTACATCATGAATACAACATACACACCGACGAATTTAAACATGCGAAGGATGGTGTACAAGCGAAATACGCTCAAGAGACGGATCCAATCCTTGGGAAAGTCGTTACTTTCCCTGGGGATGTGAATTTTGTGCAGGAAGAGATAATCTCGTCTATACAGCATAAAGCACGCGAAATCGTTGATCAATATCGTCAAAACGAAATTATTGTTAATAATCCTAAAACATTCTCACCTGAATCTGTACTGAATACTATTGTGGCTGTTCTTTTATTGTGGTGGATCTTTATATCAATTACCATGGTTAGATCATATTTCTTATATTATCATCAAAGAATGAGCTTCCTAACACAAACCGATTCACCGCAAAATCTAATCAATTCAGGTATCAGATATCGTCTTCGTGATCAGTTTAGTAGAGCCACAATAACAAGCGAAAACCATGATGAAGATGGCGAAAAATTGGGAGATGAAATTCCTATTATAAATAACGAATGTTGAGTAACTATATCATTTAAAATTATTATAATGATATTTGCTATAAAAAAATTTGTCTTTTTTTTCTTGAATTATTATTGTTTATCAGTTTAATACGGATGAACAAATTATAATTTTTGTTGTATATTAGTCTAAATAACAAAAGAAAAAATTTCATATCTAAAAATTTTTAAAATTTTTAAAATCATTTGATGTAAGCAATATTACTTTACGTATCACTTCATGGAAGGATTATTATTAGATATTGTTTGGTAATGATTAAAACGCAAAGTAGACTTTAAGTAAATACAATTTATGATGTTAATATGTACTAAAATTACATTAACTTGTTCTAATAAAAAGCATTGCAAAATAAATTTTAAATTTTTGTACAATAAAACCTAAGTAAGAAAATAAATTAAAGTAATTCAATAGTTCAGTAGTTCAATAATTCAACGGTTCAATGGTTCATGTACTTCTTTTAACTATAAATTTAGGACTTAACCAAACTTCATAATCATTTTCATTATTAATATCACCAAATAATTTTAACGCTTTAATTTTGAGGAAATATTCCCCGTCAGGTGCAATTACACCTGGATCATTTTTATCATTAGGATTATAAATTAAACCATCCCAATCAACTGTGAGATCTGTAACTCTTGGAGCAGGAAAGCCATAATAAATTTTAACTACACCTAAAAATTTATAATTATAATCCAGAATTTCAATAAAGATTCCGTGAGTTGGAGTTGCCAATCTTAAATTTATAGACGGTATATCAAGCTTATTTCCTGTTTTATTTTTAAAAGTAAACGTTATAATCTCGCCAATGTTGCTATTGTCTGTAGTAGTATCTTCAACTAGTTTAGGGAATTTTGGTGTTTGAAATAATGGAAGTCTTCTTGCATCATCAGCCAATCCGGCTAATTGATATGATTAAAGAATTAATATTAAATAATTTAAATAACATACAAATTGAATAATTGAAAAAATAATTACCATAAGGAACACTCATCACGGGCATTTTATTATCTAATGGAGTTACTTTCAACCATCCACTATAAAACCAATGTTTATCCCTAGATAAATTTTTTGGTGCGGTGAAATTTACAGAAACTTTAACATTAGCTCCAGGTGCTACTGTAATTAAATCCTTTTCAAATTTAACATCGGCATAATTATTTGTGAGATATTCCAACTGAAAATAACTTCTAGAGAGGGTCGTGTTATATCCATTAACATTTGGAGCTGGTAAATGTGATAATTTATATTCCATCTCTTTTCTTCCAACATTATAAATATATAATGTATGATTTCCGTTAAAATGAATCGTATCATTCAAATTAATTTTTGGTGGATAGACAAAGCTAGTGGCTCTTAATGTGTCATAAATGTTGACTAATCCTGCACCTTGATGAAGTACTGGAGACAATAATTTATTTCGATCTTTATGAGGAATGGCGTAGTTCATAAGCGCAGCCCTTATTTGTTCAAAAGAATTTTGTTTTCCAAATGTTTCCAAATATAATGCTGCTATACCAGACATATACGGTGCAGACATGCTAGTTCCAGACAAAACCTGATAAGGTGATATGTTAATTGGATAAACTGAAAGAATAAATCCTCCAGGTGCACAAATATCAGGCTATTATATAAATACAAATATAATTATGAGTTAATTCTTTTTTAGAAAAATAACATGGTTTTTTTTATACTTACTTTGATATCAAATTCATCAGATAAACCCCAACCTGAGAATATAGAAGGGGTTACAGCAAAAGGATGCTCTATCATGTATCCATACTTATCAGAAAAATCTAATTCTAAATTTGGATGTTCATCGAGATATTTGATCAAAGTATCACCTTGTTTTGAAGTTAATATAGCTCCCAATTTTTCATATTCTGGAACCGCTGGAGAAAGTGTAAGTCCTTCATCATCTTTTGCGTTAATTACTATTATTCCCTGTAAGTTTATATTATTAACCTGTAAAATATTTTTTTTTTTTTGGAAAGCAAGAAAGGAAAAGACATGAGATCACTCTAATTTATAAAAAAAGTTTTTTGTTAATAAATAAATTGGACTTAATCTTTCGACTTACTTTATTTTCTGATGAACATTCTATAACTTTTGAATCTCTATTATCAATGATAAGTATTGTATTATTAAATTCTTTGTAATCATTTATACATTTGAAAATTTTAACTTTAACTTTTGTGTAAGGAAATGCCGCTGCATTCATTTTCATATAATCTACTCGAAATACAAACTTTGTTGGTTATTACTTTTTAAATTATCGAGATAATAAATAACAAGGGAAACTTATACTTACAAAGAACAAAATCTGGATTCTTTGTATCAAAAGCTTTAAAATTTAAAAACTTATTTGCTTCAAATGAACCAACACCAATAGCATTGTTCGCAACTCCAGGTTCAAGACTTGTTGATACACCATCTAATCCATCATTCCCTAATGCTATCATAAATATTATCCCCTTGTGTTTAGCCACATCATTAATCATAAGTGATGATGGCGTTCTAGCATTTCCAGGGCCACCCTACAAATTTTTTTTTTTTTTAATTGATTATTAATAACTTTGAATTGATATTTAAAAATTAAAGTTTAATTTAAACTTACAGCAGATATATTTATAATTAACATGCCATCATCAATAGCTCTCTCAATCGATCTCATCAATAAAATTTCATCATGGCCATAACTGTTATTTGCCTCATTATAAGCATCAGCAGAATCATTATTTTCACAAGCAAGAATTTTGTATGCTCCAAAAATAACGTTTGGTGCTACACCTCTAAATCCGGTCTTGATATCATAACCTCCAATTATTCCTGCTACATGAGTCCCATGTCCATTGCAATCATCAAATGGATCATTATTTTCATTAAGAAAGTTATACCCGTATGCTATTCTACACCCTGGTCCAAGACATCCTCCTAAAGCAGGATGTCTATAGTCGATACCTGATAAAAAAAAGGAGACGAATTAGTTTAAACAAGACATAATATTTTAATTCACTTATTTTATATATACCTGAATCAATAATTCCAACTTTAACACCTTTCCCGGTAAGTCCTAACTTTTCGTAAGCATTTTTCACACCGGTAATTTCGTGAATAGTATTAATATCATTATTAGGTGCGATTTGAATCATTTTAGAATTGTCACGTTTAATTGATTTAATCTTAAACTGTTCATCCGGTTTAAACCGTTTATAATATCTCTATTTTCATAAAAGAAATCAATTATTAATAAATCGGTAACTGCGGATACTTATGCGCCACTGTGGCACTGTCGTACTAATAATCAATTTTGACATCTACCACAGGCTCAACGCTTTCAACATGTTCAATTTCAGCAATTCTCTTCACGTGTCTCTCATCAGTTTCAATGGCAATTCCGTTAGCATATCGTTTAAATGTATGTCCAATTTTAACTTCGATTCCTCGTTTTTTTAATTCTTTATGAAAAGTGGAGTGTTGAGCTTCAACATGTTCAGGGGATGAAGTAAAAGGAGAGGAAGAAAATTTGACAAAAAATTTATTTGCAAATGTATGAGATAATTGTTTGTTTATATAGGCATTAGTCCAATTAAAGGATATCAAAAAAAACATAAATTGAGATATGTTGATCTTCATATTCGACAATATTAATTAGTGAAAATTGGATTTTGATTCATATATATATGGTTTTTTTTATTTATTAATCTATTTCCATTATTTGAATCATTTACATTATTTATCCCGACTTTTCGATTAACTCCGAAAATGATAATTTGCTAAATTGGGAAACTATTTTTAGTACAATCAGGGTCGAACGCCCAATAGAAATTGAAAATAATCGAACATTTAACTAAATTTAATTCCACCGGAAGATCGGAAGGATTAAGTGAAATATATTTAGATTGAATGTGTGACAGATTAACTAATATGGAAGTGGTATATGTCGCTCACGTCATACAGAGTTTTTTTTAGAATCATTTATCATATTTGTTATTTATTATAATGTCACTTGCTGGCGCATTCATTCTAGGAGTACAATCTTTTTGGAGATTCTCGATAGAATTAACATCTTGATTTCATAAATTTTTGTTGACTACATAAAGTCAACTATGTATAATTATATTTCGATATTGAATTGGACAAAAAAAGCGGAATAATTGTTATAGCCCAAAAAGGTATCAGGCTGAGCAAAGTAAATTTTAGAAAACATCGATATGGAGGGCTTATTCACGAATATTATCAGTTTCTCGATTAGTTCTAGCACTTGATCGTATGTTATCCTACTAGCTAAAAAATATTTTCATTGGATTAGCCCGAAGTTATGTGCAGGAATTCTATTTTTTTGTCACCATTTGCTTTCGTCGGAAAAGCCTGGATCGACAATCCAAACTGCTGAATATCTATCATTCATACAGCCTACATGAATCAATTTTAATAAATTCCATAATTAAAGTTTAAGAATATATAAGTTATAATTGACTTTGGTCAAATTATCCAAGTTTGATGAACTTTTTTTTAAATTGTAAAGCTTAATGAGAGCTATAAAATAAAAAAAGTAGATATAGAGGTATAAATCATGTGATCAAGTCACGGTATTTTAGTTTTACCGTTTAAATCCAACAAGTCCCATGGTCCCACCAAACTTAATATAAATACAGTATACTGAATCTAAAACTTCCTTTTTCCGTCAATTTAGTTAATCGGCATGGCAGAGATACTTTTGAAAATTTCAATGGTAATTGGACCAGTAATAGGATATTTTGACCAAATAACAAAATTTCGTAAAACAAAATCAAGTGCAGGATTTTCTTTAGATACAAGTGGAATATTATTAGTTAGTAGGTAAGATAATAATATGACGAACGTAAAGGTAAATTTCTGTTTGGAAAGAATAATTAATTTATTTAATATATTATATATTTTTTGAAAGCATTATTCGAATTTTCTTTTGGTAGGACTTTAATTTATTATTTTATATTTATTTTATTTTTATTGAAAAAAATTCGTTTCTTACTCAACATTTTTGCTATCTTAGGTTGGGAAAAAGATTTGATAATGTATTATTCCATCAAAGTATATTAATGATAATAACTCAAATAATAGTTTTATACGAATGTATAAAATACCGTTTACCTTATTCTTCTTTGTATAATCCGAAGAAAAGACAATTTTGGAATTGGGATCACTTAGGACCGTATTTAACTTTTCTTGGAATGTTAACCGGTGGTTTGTTAATATCTTATTTAATATTTGGTAATCAATACTGGTTTATTGAGTTATTAGGTTTTGCGGTAAATTGATTTTTTTTTTTAAAAAAATAAATTTTTTTGGGAGGTTTGAATTAGAAAAAATTAACTTCTTTTTTTAATAGTCACTTGGCATTGAAAGTACTGTTCCTATGCCACAAGCAATACAAAATTTTCAAAATAAATCTGTATCAGGATTCAGGTAATATTTTTGAGAAAACTGGTTTATTTTATTAATTAATTTAACTAATCTAACAATTTCTTCTTTTTTTTTTAACAAGTCCAATGATATTATTAACATGGTTTTTTGGAGATGCATTTAAAGCTTTTTATTATATATACACAGGAGTACCATCTCAATTTATTCTTTGTGGTTTTATACAATTGTTAGTTGATTCTATTATTGTGATTCAATTTGTTTCTTTTGAAAAATAATAAAATAAAATTTAATACGACTGATTTACATATAATGTATATAGTTTAGGCTTATTTTGTAATAATGTTTTGAGGCGTATGGTGATCTGCTTGTTTCATCATCAAATTGAAGCGGCTGTTTCAAAAACGTTTAAAAAACTAATAAATATTATATAAAAGCCCCCAATTCACTAAAAGAAAATACTCCTTTTTTTTTCTTTTTTTCCTATATTTTCAAAATGTTATTAATTAATTTAGAAAGACTTTTCTTCATTTCATTATTTACTTTTTATCATAATGTTCTTGGTAAGGACTAAATAAAATAAATAATTTAATTTTTTGATATTAATTTAACGAATCTTTTTTTTTCTGTGAAAGCACAATTACAATTACCACTTTGTATTGGACATAGAGGGTATCCTGATATGTTTCCAGAAAATACCTTGAAATCACTTCAAAAAGCGTTAATTTATGGTGCAGATGCTTTAGAATCTGATGTTCGTTTAACGAAAGATGGTCAGGTTATTATGATGCATGAAACTACGTTAGAAAGCACTACTAACGGAACCGGATTAATTGAAGATAGAAATTGGTTTGGTTATATTGAATATTTAAGAAATGATAACGAACCTATAGCGTTGTTTCAAGACGTTTTAGATCTATTAAAGCAAGAAGAAAATAAAGATGTTTTCGTAATTCTTGATATTAAGGTAAAAATCGAAAATTCATTCATTTTTATTTTCCAAAATTTTGACATCATTTACTCATTTTTTTCAGGAAGACAGTAAGATTGAAATTCTTGATGTAATGGCTGATATAATTCATTCAAATTTTCCATATAATTTCACTTCACAATTATATCTCGGTATATGGACATTGGATTTTCTCGAAAGAGCTCGTAAAGTTTTACCAGAATTTCCAGTTTCTTTTATAAGTAGTGATATTAATGAAGCGCGCGAAGATTTTTTCGATAAAGTAGAAAATTATAATATAGAATATCCATTTATATTATCAGATAAAACTGGTTTTGTTAATTTGATTAAAAGAAAAGGTAGAAATTTATTTGTTTGGACTGTTGACGATACAAATGATATAAAAAAATGCGTAGAATTTGGTGAAATTGATGGTATTTTATCTGATAATCCTGTTGAATGTATTAGAGTTAGAAGAGAAGTTAATAGAAGAAGAAAATTTATGATATCTACTTTTTAAATTATTTTATTTTTACTTTTTATTTTTGTATTAGTATAATTTATTGTAAATTTATCCGTCGATGACACTCTAATTAAAATATATATATTTACCAGTTAAAGCTTTTGGTCAAATCTACTGCTAGAATCACGTGCTATCTAATATTTTTAAGTCGAAATAGTTTTTATAGATTTTTTGTAGCTTGCTGCATTATAATCTATTACTTAGTCGCAAAATCTGCCCGCAGCCATGTCTAGCCTTCGTATTTCTCTTATTAAGCACCCGAAAATAATTATAGCACCCAGCCCGAATTATGCCGATTTTGGTCAGCATTATGGGATGTTTTTATTTATTGCAAAATCTTCTCTCGTCTTGTCAACTTCCTACTGAATTTCTTAATAAAATATTTGAATATTTTAAAGATGATAAAACTACTCTATATCTATGTTTATTAACCGGCTTTATTGTGAGACTAATTGCTGAAGTTATCGAGATTTCATATAATTTCATATAAGTGATATAATAAAATAAATGATTAATGAGTGTAAAATATGCAGATATCGTCTTTGTTCGATTTCAAAAGAAATTTATTCGGGAGTGAAAATGAAATAAAAATCGGTTTGCGATACCCGTTATATAGATATAAATAAGTTTGACCGGAGTTAAGCATTAACAGTTAATTTGTCAGCATTAAAGGGGAAAGTAAACAAAAACAATCATATTTACAGATTCATAAATTAAATTTAAAATTTTTTAATTTTTCATAAGAATTTATTTCTAATTCATGGAAATTTTTTTGATGAATACTTTGCCGAACCTCGAAAAATTCTTTATCTTTAGAATATCCATAAACTAGCCGAACATTAATACTTTAGTGCTTCCATCGAAGATCGATAGTTAATGAATGTAATATTTTTTGTTTCAGGCAAATAAGTAAAAATAATTTTTTTGAATGATAATAATCCAAAGATTTTAATAATGAAATTTGATTCATACCATTTTTTAATATATTTCTTGTGATAATAAGTATTCATTACTATTTCGAAAGAATTAAACTATATAATAGTCTAATAGCAGTACGTAGTGCCGCATTAGACTATTATATCCAATAATAATATTATCATAATAAACTCCCGTTGCTATCCAATAATTTTATTATTATGCTAATACATAGTAATATGAGATAACCGACCTAAATAACAATTATGTAAAATCTGCATGAATAATAATTAATAGTGATATATGATACTTCCTGAATTACCAGGGTCTAAATCAATTTTGTCTGATATAAAAAATTGAATTATACCCGTGGGTATTTTATGAGTATTTTATCATGAGCATCCTTATCCTGGGCCACGGTCCAGATGCTTATCCTGGACCAGCAAATCTAATTGGATGAGATTGTTTTGTGTAACATTTGTCTTGGAAAAAAAAACAATTCGCGTTTGTTTTTAAAAAAAAGGTACGAAATGCCTTTTTTTAAAGCATTTAATACTACCATTTTAAAGTAATATGTTATTTAAAATTTGTACTTTGGTATGCATTTTATTAAACTTTATTAATAAATAAGTAAAATTGCATATATAACTTTATAAAAAAGGTCTTTACATTATTTTTTACTGTAATTTTATTATTAAAATTATTTTAACGTTAATATCAAAACAAAAGTACAAAGTAATAGTATTATATTAACTTTAAAAGTTTTGTTATAAATGTGTAATTTACAACCTTTTTTGAACAACTTTGCTTAACCCCAAAACTTAAAAAAAAAACACTTGATTTCCAGAATAATATCAATATATCATAAAACTCTTCAAAAAGAAAATAAAAAACATTTAGTATTATCATAAAACTACAATAAATACAATTAAAATTAAAATATACAAACTGAAATGAAATATGAAATACTAAGTACAAACATACCACAAAAAAGAATAGAGAAAGAGTGAAAGATAGAAAAAGTAAGAGATAAAATAAATTATGCAAGAGTTATGTAATAAAAGGGCTGATTAGCCAATCAAAAGTTGACTGGTCCAGAATAAGCATCTGGACCGGTGGATCAGGTTAAGGATGGCCTTTTATCATGGGAAAATATCATGTGATATATCGAGCCATTTTTAGATGGTCATCAAATACCATATCATTGTCGCTGACCACTCGCTGACCACTGACCAGCTTATATAATAAATTGTGTAACCTGAGTTTCCCACCCCTTTAAATATTTGCCTTAACATTATTTTCTCTCCAATTTCTTTCTCTTTCTCTTTTCTTTTCTTTTCTTTTTCCGAAAACAAAATGTCTCGTCAACTTCCTATTGATTGTGTTAACGAAATATTTAAATGTTTAGAAAATGATAAAAATACATTATTTTCATGTCTATTCGTTAATCGTCATTATTGTAAATTTGCAGTTAGAATTTTATGGAAGAATATTTGGGACATTCGATATGAATATAGACCATATGTAACAATATCACTTATTAGTACTTTGATTACTTGTCTTCCCAAGAAATCAAAAGAATTTTTACGTAAGAAAGGAATGTTTATTAATATTTCAAGTCAGAAACCTCCATTGTTTAATTATCCATCATTTTGCAGAATTATTTCAGTTAATACAATCAATGAAATGATTCAAAATATTCTTGTATATAAACAATTAATTATTACTTCAGGGGACTCATACTATGATAAATATTTATTATCATTATTATTACAAGAAATATTAAAGATGTTTATGGAACAAATTCCATCCCTAAAATCATTGAAATATTTTTTGAAAACAAAATCTACAAATTGTTTAGAATTTATATATTCACCTGAAGCAAAAGTCTGTTTATATTCTCTTACAGAATTAGGATTTTATTCAGATATTCATTCAGAATTTTTTTATCATTTATCTCACATATGTCAAAACATTCAATCATTAAGTATAAGTTTTAGTGATAATGGTATTTCAGATGGGTTAGCATATTTCATTTCTTCACAAAATAATCTAAAAAGCTTAAAATTAAGTTCTTGTAGTAAAAATGAATTAAGGACAATAATCCCTTCATTGGTTAAATCTTCTTTAACATTAACAAAGTTAAGAATACATAGTAGTGATGCTTGTATGGCATCATTTATATCTATGTTCATGAATTTACAAAAACTTGTTTTAATATCTGAATCTAAAGATTTTTTTGATGATTTTGATCAATTACAACATATCAATTTTCCACATTTAAGAACCTTAAAATTTCCATATTCTGTTCCTAAGGCTGGACCTTTACTGAATTTTTTGGAAATTAATGGAAAATATTTAAATAAATATTATGTTTGTGATTGTTATGAATCAATGAAATTAGCTATAGCTAAATTTTGTCCAAACCTTAAAGGTTTATATGTTATTATTAGTGAGGAAGAGGATGATTTAGAATCTCTAAAATTAATTTTAAAAAATTGTCAATTTTTGGAGAGTATTAATGCTTCATATAGTTATAAACATTTAAAGAGTAAAGAATTTTATGAGATTTTAGTAAATTATTCACCAAAAAATTTTCATAAATTAGAAATGAACTTGTTTTCACTTCAAGGATTTGAAGAATTTTTTATAAATTGGAAAAATCGTATACCACAAAGATCACTTACATTAATTATTAAAAATACATTAGATAACATTAAAAATAAGGCAAGTCCGATAATTGAAAAATATCATAAAATGGGTGTTATTAAGAAATTTAAGATTTAAATATCAATAATAATAGAAGAAAAAGATTTGAAATATGGTAAATTCATAGATTCATTATATTTTTAGGATATTATATTTTTAGGATATTTCACATTGTAATTTCAATTTTTTATAAATAAATATTATTATGATTTATAATATAGAACATTAACCTGTAAATAAATTCCTTTTTATAGAGGTAATAAATACATTTTTGCTAATAAATATTAATTGGTCTTGACAATTTTAAGTTTATATGGGTTCTGATACTAAATACTATCTACATATAAGAAAAATGAATTAGAATATTAAATAATATTAAAAAATTTTTGTTGGGATGATGATATTTAAATATAAAGTAATTTCGGAAATTTAGCATTATACCATTAAAAATATTTCTTAGTTAGAGGTAAAATGGTGACATGAAAGACTCTAAAATAATTCCCACATGTTGCATTATTAAGAAATCTAAAACCAATCAAATCGATTCGACTCTAAATCATTGTTTACAGGCCCGACTCCAAAGTAATTCCCAAATACTGCGTATGAATAGCAGGTAAAATCTTCTCGTTGATCATTTATGAAAAAATTTTGAGATTAAATCAATTCGATTGATTAAACTCCAATCTCTAAATTCTGACTTCATTTTCACTACCCCGCTACATTATCTTCTTTCTTTTAATATCTATCGTTGAATTTGAAATGACAGATTTAATATATTGAAATATTTTGTTTTATTTGTATTACTTACTCTATCTATCGTACGTAAAATGATCAGCAGAAAATATTAATAATTATCATTGGGTTGTTATGCATGTTACCATATAATTAATTTATCATTGAGTTTAATCTCTCATAATAATTATATTATGAGCTTATGAAACAATTTCTGCTCAGATTAACGCGATTAACGCGTAACTGTAATTGATTCCTCATTTCATAGTTAAGGATTATATATAATATTATAATTTTAATAATGATGCAAAAAGAAAATGAATGAAAAAATTTTCGAACTTGTAATTGTCAAAGAAGCTATAAAAAATGATAAACGCGAAATTTCGTTCAGTTCAAATTTGTTACTGCGCCTGACTTTGCTCACGTATTTACAAAGTATTTTAACTATAAAAAGATTTCAATGTGAATTCAAGTTGCGCCATTATTCTTTGAAAATTTGAGAACTAAACAAATTTGAAAAAAACACGTTTTGTCTTTGCCTAAATTAAATTTTTTATTATCAAATATGCATAAAAAAAGAAATTTTCTGGCTAACTCTGATAAGTCAAAAAACGGTTACATATTATTTCATTAAATATTACTCATTCCAATTAGCTAATTAGCCTGCTTTGCATTCACGATCAGCTAAGAAGTTTGTGAAAATTTCTGGTGACGCGATTATATCTAAAAAAAAACCAAATTAAAGTATTAAATTAATATATTATTTTTTATATGCGTCATTAGAATTTTCAAAAATCACATAAAAACCGTTCAATCTCGAATTAATTTTTTTTTTTCAGAATCTCATCTTTATCCACGAGTTTCTCAAGATACGTTCTACATTCTTTCAATAATAATCCTCTTAACTATTTTATATTTCTCATATTTACTCGACCCATTTTATCAACTTTCAAGTAAATATATATATATATTTTTTTTGATTTTGAAAGAACGAATCATACTAAAGAATATTTGTCAATAACTGTCAATAAGAGTCAATAACTGTGATTCATTCAATTTTAATTTTAATAATTCGAGCGAAAAACTTTATTCTCAAAAAAAAAAAAAAATCCGCTTTAACATATTTTACAATTTTTATTACCGACTTTCGCGTTCTTTTAAGTAGTTTTATATAATTTTACGGTAATGACTTTGTTCTAACGTATTCTCTACACTTTCATTTTAATTTTTTTTTTATCTTATAGCAATTTTATATACTTCTGTTATCTTCTATAAAAATGGAACTGTCAACTACTCAAAATTCTGTTCAGCAAAATTCTGTTCAGGAACCTACTACCCGCAAGCGTGTACGAAACTGGCGTAAAAGATTGCCACAACCACAAATTTCAGTTGCAACTTTCAATAACCTTGCCAATGTCGCCGCCGACAACTCGCCTGAACCCAAAATAAAGGTAAACTCGCTAAAGTCTAATGTCGAGAATCAAAATTTTAAAGCTTGACGCGGTAGCTAAAACTATACCGTTTTATAGAGAAGCGAAATTCTTGCAATGAATGAACAGACCTTATCGGAATCTAACGTTCAGAATTCAACAAAGCTGAGTAATATGGCTATATCAAAGAACAGCAACCAAGACTTTCCTGGGTCGAAAAACCAGGGTTCTCCAAAGTCAAATGAAGAGAATAATAATCAAAGCTCACCAAAACCAAATGATCAGGTATCACCTGCAAATATTGGCAACCAAGGTTCACCAAAGGCCAACGTTCGAGTTTTATCACCTGTGACAAGAGAAGTTTCTCCAAAGAACGATGAAAAAATTTTTTTATCAAAATCAAACAAGATCAGCCAAGGAGCTAAAAACAAACGGAGACGTAATAAAGGATCAAGCAAAAAGGACAATACAGAAAATCAGCACAATTCACATAATGTTTCTGATAACGCAAGCAAAGCTGAATCATCAATGAACGATCAGAAGATTGTTACAGATACCAAAAAAGACGATAGAGACAAACATGTGGAAAATCAACCTGATCTAGTTGATAAAATTGAAGAAATTGAAGCTGATCCATCTTCTAACGGCCAACATATTTCAGTCAATAATCAGATCTCACTTTTGGAAAAACATGAAAATATTGATAATAAAGAACCTGAAAGTGCTACTATTGATGAAGACAATAAACATACTCATACTAACGTCACAGCCGTCAAGTCTGGAGCTGAACAGCAAATTACCAAAGATCGATTCATTTCTGTTACGGAAGGGCATGTTCAATCTACCCGTTCAAACTCGTTATCATTTGTCCGAGCACGCAATAAAAAAACAATAGAAGAAACTAATTCGTCTGTTGCTCAAGACCCATCTGTTGAAGACAAAAAAGAGAATGTACAAGAAAGCCAACAAGAAAGCCAACTTGATTTTGTCATTGTCAAGAAAACCGATAAGAAAGCTGACCTTGTTTCTTCTAACGAATTATCTTCTAAGGCGGAAGAAGAAAGCAATGCTACAATTGACGAAGCAAATCCGTCTGAAATTACCACATTTGTTAAAAGATATATGGAACTTAAGATGACCGACAATGAAAAAGGTAGTCGAAATATTATTTTAATCAAATATTAATTTTTTTTTATCTAACGTTAAAATTCTTATTTAGACGTTCAAGAGGAAAGAATTGAAATTCCTGCTGAAAAAGTCGAAAATGCAGAACCTCAGAACAATGCGAAACGAGGATTGCCAGCCGGTTGCTTATTCGTAGCTAGGTATAATTTTTTTTATTTCACATGATAGATCATCCTTTTATTACATTAGATCTAATTCAAATTTTTTTTTTTTTTTTTGAATTAAACTACTTAGTTTACCTTCAACAAAATCTGACGGAGATTTACAGAAGTCTGTATGGAATCACTTCTCTCGATGGGGAATACTACTTAATGTCAAAGTTTTAAAGGATTGGTTATTTCGACCTTATTCATTCGTGCAATTCGAAGTACTTTTTTTTCATACGCTGATTTTAAACTTGATAAAATATTACGTGCTGAAAATTTCTAATTTAAATTTAGAATGTATGTGATGCAAAAAAGGCCTTGGTTGAAGCTCATAATACCGTTATCGAGGGACGACACATTCGTGTTGAACAAGCACGAGTGAACCGTACCTTATTTATTGGGAGATTAAATAGGACTATGAATGAAGAGGTATACTTGGTTTTTTTCTTTTTATTTACCGTATTAATTATCATTATTATTAAAAGTACTATATCATCTACTACAGGATATCCGCAAGCTTTTAGAGCCATATGGAGCCGCGGAAGATATTTATTTACTAAGAACTTATTCAACTGGAAGGAGCAGGGGCTGTGCTTTTGTTAAATTTTGTTATCGAGATGATGCTATTAGAGCATATATGGTATTATTCTTTTATAGGTTTACACCGATTTATTAAATCACCAATATTAATTTAATTTGTCTTATTCTAGAATCTGCGCCAACATACAAGTAATTACGTGATAGAATGGGCAGCGAATTTAGAAAAGGCAGTCCCAGGACCCGAAGACATTGACAAGAAATCAATCTTCGTTGGTCAGCTCAATCAAGCCGAAGTAACCAAGGAATCCCTTGCTGAAAAGTTCGGTCGTTATGGTAGAATTAAAGAAATACAATATGTAGCGAGAAAATTCTTGCGAGCATCAGGTATTATTACTTTTAATAATTTAATAATTTTAATTCTTATTTTAGCTTATTAATTTTACATTCTAAGGTTCACCACGAAGTGCATTTGCGTTCATTTATTACGACGACGAGGAGGCACCGAGGAAAGCAATCGAAGCTGAAGTATGTAATTCAAAATGATTTATGTTTCTTTGTTTTAATATTTTCTAATTAATTACTGTTTGTATTTATCACAGAACAATACGAAATACTTTGATCGGACTATTCGCGTACAATATCGCGAATCCCAAGAATTTCGTCATCAGCAAATTCAATTGCTTCGTCAGCAACAGGAGATACGACGAAAAGCTTTTCAAGAGTCTTATTACAACGTTATACCTAGTGGACGTCAACCTATAAGGCCTCCACCATTATCACGCGCGCAAAATTATTACGCGAGTGTTCAAAAGACTTCTATAAGTCAAGGCCGAAGAAACAGTATCATTCCAAAGGAGATACCAATAATGACAACCCCTGTCTTTTATCCACAAGTCAGCATGGGAGTTCACCAAATCGGTCCAAACAAAAACACGATGTCTGGTTCTAACACAAATGGAAAACAAGAGCCTAAAGGCAAAGGCCCAGAAGTGCAAAATAATACTGCTCCTAAAATGGTACGATTTACGATTTCTTTATTTAAATAGTCTTTTGTTTATTATATGTGTTATTTATGATTTATGGTTTAATAGATACAACCTGAATTGATGTATTATCCACCTCCGACAAGCATTCCTACTTCTGTTGGAATGATTTCAGCATATACAGGAAGTCCTCGAGGTAAGGATAGTTCTTCACGTTCAATTTCTTATTGTTTATTATGAAAATAACATTTTTTATTTTATACTTTAGAATTTACAATGCCACCATATATACATACACCAGAAGGTCTCGCTTATCCGTATGCATCGTCAATGACATTTATGGGAACAATCAATCATAATAATGGCGCATCATCTGGTCACGAACCGAAGAACACTACTACATCTAAAGCGCCGTTGGCACCTAATATTTTACATTCCTACATACCACCATATGTTCCTGGACAACCTATTAATGAATATGGGTTTTCTGAAGTCGTAGGACATTCAACACAATATTGTGGTGTGCCTATCCCAATTCAAATCACGATGCCACCGCCAATGTACTTTTATCCTTCACCACCTATGGATCCGGGATATAAAACGCCATACTTACAAACATTAGAAGATTATGCGAGTGGATACGAAGCTGTTATTGAAATTAATACCCATACTGATGAAAAAAAGACTGCAGTCGGAGAAATAACAAAAGAAGAAGGTTCTTCGAGCTCCAAGGTTCTTGATAACAAGGTATATGCAGACGTTGCTCAGGAACCATTAAAAATTTAAACAACGAACGCAAGGAAATAATAATTTTTTTTTTTAAAAAAAAAAATAACAATGAATATTTATTATTGCTTATATTGCCAGAAGAATGTATATATATTATCGTCAAGAAAAATACATATTAATCAGATGTACATATTTGTATTTTTATTTCATATAACTAATTAATTTGGGATAATTATATTAAAAGATATTTATTAAAAATATCATTTTTGGATGCAATATTTGTATAAAAAAATAGGTTTTCTAAATAATAAATAAAATATCGGTAAAATTTTATTAGTAAATTGCATATATATTTTGATTAGATAATTAGATAATGACGATTAGGTTGATATAATATCCGATATCTATTAATTGTTACATCAACTGCTAAAAGATCAAATTTCTCACGGGATACGGAATTATAGATTTCTTTGTCCGTTACATTGAAACTGGCTACTCAAAAGAATTCTAGCTCTTCACGACCTTCGCCTGCGACACAAAGTTCATATAAACATTTAAATGTACTTTTCTTTTCTATTTTAGTTCTTATTGTTGCATACCTTCTTAGACAATACCCGTTATCTAAAATGTCAAAAGAGGAAGACAAACGTGTTTTGTTGCCTACTAATGTAAGGCCAACTCACTATACTTTGACTATCACTCCAGACTTGGTTAACTTCACTTTTAAAGGTTCAGAAGTCGTCAAGTGAGTTGAGTATAAGCGTTATGTTGAAACAGTGTAGTAGTATAGTATAAACATACTGGCAATATACGTAATTACTAATTAAAGTTTTCTTATTAAAATTTTTTTTAATTAATATCATTAGTCTCAATATTAATGAAAACACCAATGTTATAACTCTTCACGCTAATGATATTGAAATAAAATCTGCCAAGCTAGTAAATTCGGCTTTGAAGACCAATCAAGGGTATTAATTTTTTCATTAAAGTACTATTATTTTCGCTATTAAAATTAATTTTATATTAAAACGAATTGGAATTGAAAATTAGTTTCAGAACAGTAAATATTGCTAAAAATGCCGAAACCCAAACTGTTACCTTAACTTTTCCACAAGAAATTTCTGCCAAAACTACTGCTACCCTTCATATTGAATACACTGGCATTTTGGACGATAAAATGCTCGGATTTTACAGAAGTTCTTATAAGGATCAAGATGGAAAGACCAGGTATATATCAAAATGTAATTATTATTTATAAATTTGAATATTACTCTCGAAAGTAACTTTTTTAAATCATTATGTTATAAAGGTATATGGCATCAACCCAATTTGAAGCAACTGAAGCCCGTCGAGCTTTTCCTTCATGGGATGAACCCGCAATTAAATCTACTTTCGATATCACCTTAATTGTACCTGCTGAAATGACTGCTTTAAGTAATATGAATGTAGTCAGCGAAACTCGACTTGGTGATGGTAAAAAAGAAGTAAAATTTGCAAGAACACCGATAATGAGTACCTACGTACGATTTCTTTTATCTTAATTTTCTTTTATTAAGTATTAGAGTAATTATGAAAGAATCTTACTCAATTATATATTTCTTGATGCATTACTTAATAGTTAGTTGCGTTCGTTGTTGGTGACTTGGGTTACGTTGAATCCTTTACAACTGGGAAACATAATGGCGGCAAGTCTGTAACGGTTAGAGTATATGCACCTAAGGGAGAAGAACGACATGGTGATTTTGCATTGAAAATAGCAACAGATACTTTAGAATATTTCGCAGAAGGTTAGGAAAAAGTTGAAAATGTTATCGCTTATGTCATGCATTAAAATTCGTATTAATCAATGCTTTGAATATTTTAGTATTTGGTATTCCATATCCTTTACCAAAATGTGATATGGTTGCAATTCCAGATTTTGAAGCGGGTATGATAGGATCGTCTCCTTTGAGAAATTAACTATCTACCGATAATTAAACTAACATCAATTTACAATCAGGCGCTATGGAGAATTGGGGTCTGATAACTTATCGTACTACCGCAGTTCTCTACGATCCAAAGGCATCTGATGCGAAATTCAAGCAACGTATTGCATATACTGTGTCCCATGAATTGGCACATCAGGTATTTAAATTTAAAAGAATTCTTTTTCAAACAAACAATGTTTTCCGCGTAATTCATATGAATTTATTTTTAAAGTGGTTCGGTAATCTTGTAACTATGGAATGGTAATTAAACATTATATAAAACTATTATTTGTTGACCGTTTTTAGACAATTAAAGATTATCATTTAATTTTATAGGTGGACTGATCTTTGGCTCAATGAAGGTTTCGCTACATGGGTCGGATATCTTGCAGTTGATAAATTATTTCCTGATTGGGAGATATGGAATCAGTACGTTAAATTATATCTTCAAAGTCGTAATTTTGGTGTTAAATATTATATTAAGGAATCTATTTTTATGGCAGATATGTCACTGAAGGATTTCAGCGAGGCCTTCAACTCGATGCCTTAAGATCTTCTCATCCTATTGAAGTTCCTGTAAATGATTCCAGGTAATTTATAAACGTTATTAACTTTATTTTGGTGTTAGTATTTAACGTGTGTCGTAGTTATTGATCATTCTTTCACTGTTTATTTGAATATCACTTATTTAACTTATTTAGTGAAATTCATCAGATTTTCGATGCCATTAGTTATTATAAGGGTGCGAATGTAATTCGCATGTTAAGTGCCTTCCTCGGGGAGAAAGTGTTCTTATCCGGTGTTAAACGATATTTGATGCGTCATAAATTCAGTAACGCAAGTACCGATGATTTATGGAAAGCATTGACAGAAGAGAGTGGCAATGATGTTAGTAAATTCATGACATTATGGACAAAAATGGCCGGGGTAAGTATAAATAAAGATAAAATATATCGTTCAATATTGAAATACGACTTTAGTCATTTACTAATTAATCATATTATAGCATCCGGTATTAACTGTGGAAGAAACAGGAAATACTCTGAAAATTCGACAATGTCGCTTCCTTTCATCCGGAGTTGCTAGTCCTGAAGAAGACAATACCGTATGGTGGGTGCCTCTTGGCGTTGATCTTGGGCCAACTGAAACTCATCATGAGATTGGGTCCGTTGTCCTTACACAGAAAGAAATGACACTGGTATTGCCTGAAAAATATGACTTTTATCAACTTAACGCACGTAAAACTGGCGTTTTCCGTGTAAATTACACTCCCGAACGATTATCTAAATTAGGACAAGCTGTTAAAAAAGGGTTGATTGGGACTAGTGATCGTATTGGAATAATGGCCGATGCTGGTGCTTTGGCAGCTAGTGGTTACGGAAAAACGAGTGGACTATTAAATTTCATTAAAAATTTTGAAGATGAAGAACAATACATGTGGGTTAATAATGTTTATCTTATTATCTACTATAACCAGCTTTTGACAGTAATCAGTAATTTATTACATATAATTTATTAACTTTAATAATTTTTAATAGTGTATGGATTGAGATTAATTCTCGTCTCAGCAATCTACTTAATGTTTGGTTCGAACAACCAGATCACATTTATCAAGGACTTTTAAAATTCCAACGTCAATTAGTTTCTAAACTAGTAGCAAAGCTTGGATGGGAATATTCGGATAATGACGATTATTTGACAACAATGTTGAGATCACTTGTTATTAAGATGGCTGGTAGAGCTAATGATCCAGAGTATGTTAATTTGAATAATCTTAAAAATTATTTGTAATTTTATTTCATAATTTATTTGTGTTCAATTTATTGTATATTTATATTTTAGCACTGTTAAAGAAGCTCATCGAAGATTTCATTCCTTCACTAAACGAAATGAAGAATCTGCTTTACATCCTAACATTCGTGGTGTTGTTTTTGAAATTGTTCTATCTTATGGTGGCGGAAATGAGGAATTTGATTCTATATTGAAATATTATAGTGAGGCAAGGACAGCTGATCAAAAAGTAGTAGCCTTGACTGGACTTGGTTTTGCTCAGAGTGATGACTTGATTCAACGAGCATTAAAATTCTCTACAAGTGAAGAAGTTAGAAATCAAGATATTATTTACGCGTTTAATGGGTATGATTTATTTTGTATTTAAATCACGTGACCAGTAAGTATGTGGTTACTGAAATGGCTTGGATTTTTTTAGATTACAAGCCAATCGTAAATCACGAAGAGCTTTATGGAATTTCGTTAAAGAAAATTTCTATATGGTGAGACTAATTTTATTTGATTTGGTGAGTTGCATTGTGTTATTTTAATTTGTATTTAATGCATATTATTATTTAGTTACATGAACGATATGCCAAGTCTCTTGCACTTTTCGAACATATTATTAAATTTGGCACCGAGTTATTTGCATCTGAAGATGATATTAAAGATGTTGAGAAATTCTTTTCTAATAAAAATTGTAAAGAATTCGAAAGACCATTACAACAAAGTATAGAAAATATACGTGCTAACGCAGCTTGGGTTGAGCGTGATGCAAAAGATGTTGAAGAATGGTTAAAAACTAATGGTTATATACAATAATTTTATTTTTGTTAAGTTACATATGTACATATGTAAAGTATTTTTTAAATAAATTTGAAATTTCTTAAATCAGCTGATCAAATAATCGTGATCGACAATGTGCATCTGTCAATTGGTCCACTGATAAACTGTGTAACTGTGTAACTGTGTAACGGTTGTATTAAGTAATATTTGGCGTAACGAATTTTGTATATAAAGTGGTTGTGAAAACGTGTTTTATTTATTAACTTTTTTTCTGAATCTTTCTTGGTCAGTACCCCCAAATTATTATTAAACATTTTATTTATTTTTAACGATAATATTCTAATATCAAATATTAATTATTTATAGTATCTTTCGTTCAATATGAGTACTTTTGAACTTCAAGAAAATTACAGTTCAGATTCATCAAACGATGCTGATTATATTCCTAATGGTAATTATTAATATTATTAAAAAAAAAAGTCGTTTCTTTAATACAAATTAAATATTTTTTTTTTAAAAAAAAGCCGATGAAATAGATACTGAAGATGAACATGAACTTGTTGATGCGGCACAGGGTGAAGAAGACATTGAACCAAAATTGATAACTCGTAGTAAACGTAAAAAATTTGAAGCTGAAATTGAAACACATAATAACATAAAGAAACAAAAGTAAGTTTATATCTCTTATATAGAAAAAAAAAAAGATTATATAAATATAAATAAATATCAACTTCTTTTAAAAATTTTATAAATTTCTTTTAGATTCGAAGAAAAAATTTCCAAAGAATCAAATACAATTGATGAAGTACGTAAAAATAAGATTGATGCTTTATGGGCAGAATTAAATGCAGATGATGATGATTATTCTCCTATACCAGTAAAGCCTGATAATAATTTAGTAAATGATAAAAGCCTCCTGAATAATAAATCTGTTGAAAAGAATATTACTGATAAACAAAAGGTTTATATAAATTTCAATCAAATTACATAAAATATTTATTATATGCATGTATATAATTTTTACAATAATATTTTAGTTACCTATAACTAAAGTTCCAATATCAACAAATATGATTACAATTACAAACACTTACAAATTTGCCGGCGATATTATAACGTAAGTTTATTTTACTATTATTACGATTAGTTTTTTGAAAAAAGAGACTTAGCATTAATATAATTATTCTTATTAAGAGAACATAAACAAGTTCCTGAGGGATCAGAAGAAGCAATTGCATTTCTAGAAGACAATGAAGTTTCCAAAGCATGCAATGAAAAATCAAATCCTATCTCATCAACATCATCAAAAACTTTAAGTCCACTTACAAAATCATCAAATCTTCAAAAAGTTAAATCACCTCTTCCAAAAAATAATAGTACTAATAGTAGCAATAAATTTGGTAAATCTAAGGTAGGTCTTGACCAACTTGCCAATTCACTTAAAAAAAAACCAACAAAATTGAATACTTTGGAAAAATCAAAAATGGACTGGAAAAAGTATGTTGAACAAGAACAAATTGTTGACGAACTAAAATATTATAACAAAAATGGGTAAGAAAAGTATAAATTTGTTGTTAAAGTAGATTCGGGCAATTTAATTAATTGTAACTTTTTCTTAGGTATATTGAAAAACAGGAATTTTTACAACGTACATATGAAAGACAAGAATCTGAAATAAGATCATTGAGAAAAGATTCAAGAAATAAATAAAGTTATTCTATTTTTTTTTTTTTGTTTTCACAATTTGAATTGTTATTTTTTTCTGCTGAATATTATTATTTAGCCAGTAAATGTATTGGGCTTTTATACCAATATTAATGGAAAATAATAGTCAAATAAACCAGGTTCTTTAAAAAATAAAAAGATTTTTTAAAATCACTTTATATTGTAAAATTACCAAAGTTTTTAAAAATCTTTTAATATGATCTTTCCTTTGCTTTAGCTAAAAAATCAATAGTAAACACAGTATTATATGACAACAAGGCATTATAAATGATACATTATATTATTATATTATTACAATTATTTATTCTATCTTTTTTGTTTCCACAATTTGAATTTGTTTTTTCTGCTAAATACTATTATTTAGCCAGTATAAATTGAATTGGGCTTTTTAATACCAATGTTAATGGAAAATAATATTCAAATAAACCAGATTCTCTAAAAAATAAAAGATTTTAAAATTATTTTATATTAAAGTTTTCTTTAATTTTTTTAAAAAAAACAATATATATATATAAATTCATTTAATTTAATAGCTTTGATTTACTAATAAGGCTTTACCAATTTAACAATTCTTTTAATATAATTTTTCCTTTACTTTAGCTAAAAAATCAATAATAAAAATATAGTATTATATAACAACAAAATATTATTAAATGATACATTATATTTTTACAATTGTTTTATACTTTTTTTTCTGAAATTTTTATTACAAATATTTAATTTTATTGATTATTATTATTTTCCATTTTTTTAAATTTCCTTTTTAATATAATATTAAATATATTTCAATTTAGTAAAATCTAAAAAAAAAATTTAATATTAATTTTACAAATTAATTCATATATATAATTTTTAATAAAAAATTATAGTAGATATGCCTGAATATTTTCATTACATAGTGAGAGTGAGGTCTTTTAAATTTGTATAGTGCCAGAAGTCTATACTTAACAATAAAAATGTAACACTTAAAAATCTTTCAACTTCTTAAAAAAAATACAATTTAGAAAAAATAAACTGGTAATTTTATTCTTTGAGATAAGCTTTATCAAATTACTAGTCAGATTTTTAAAAGAAGATCTATATAAAAAGTTATAAGCATTTGAAATTGCATGATTTTCATATGATCGTCCCAAATTTAAAATAAAATATATTGACCAGAATTTATGATAATTTGGGTTGACTCCATATATTGTGATAATACCAACTCAAATTATCATAATATGAATCAAATGTAATTTTTTTTAAAAAAAAATTTTTTATCAATGATTTTTATGAAATAGTAGTTGCGATTTATTGCTGAAATCTACTTTTTCTTATGTTTTATCTTGTTTGTAATAAAAAATTTTTAAAAACCATATTTTATTAGTACTTTACACAAAAAATTCCAGTTTTTTATTGGCTGAATCTGGATCATATAATATAGAATTGGTTCAGAAAATTAGAACAAAATCACGTGATTGTCAAGTATAGACTTTTGGCATCATAGTTGAATTTACAACTTTAATAAATTCAATAAAAGCTCTAACCAGTCATATTTGAAATACAAAAAAAATAAAATAAATAAAATAAATAAAAAGTTATAAATTTAATATTATTTATTAATTTTAAATTAATTTAAAATAATTTAAATTTAAATTTATAATATTTTACAAAATTTCTAAAAAAAATAATTTTAGATAATTATTAATATAGAATATATAAAATTAATTTAAAATAGATTTATTATTAAAGATAGAATAATATATATAGTAATATTGGTTAAGAAAACCTATTATAATATAAATGAAGTTTACCTATAAAATTAAACAATCACTTAACAGTACATATGTAAAGTACTTTACGTATAATAAGTGGTTTGTAATTTAATTATATTAGAGTAGTTTATAGAAATTTACTTTGTATATATTTCTTTTATTTATACTTTAATAAAACTGTAAATATGCTGTGATAAAAAAATAAAAATAAAAATATACTGTATATATATAATATTATTATTATTTTTAGTATATTCAACTTTCTTTATAAATACTTTCTTTTTTTCTTTTAATTATATTTTATTTGGTTTCAAATTTTTTATATAATAAATACATTTTTTATAATCATTTTATTAAGGAAGTTTACAGATATTATGTAATTATTAAAGGAAAAAGAAGGATAACCAAAATCTTACATTACATTTAATAAAATTATATAATTTATAAATATTATAATTTAACTGATAAGGAAAAAGGAAAGTAAATTTATATTAAACTAAATATTATGTAATATATATATGTAACTTCTCTAATTATATAAAGTATAATAATATTTTAATAATATAATAAATATAAGTAAAATACCTTTTATATATATAATTACATGTAATAGTATAATTTAAGATAAATTTATAGTACTAAATAAAAATACAACTTTAGTATTTAAATAAATTGAATTCTTTATAGAATTACACTATAAAATAAAATAAATAGTTTTTTAATAGAATAATATTTTAATGAAAAATTATATGAATAATAAAATCATGTGATTATATAAGATATTACTTAGCTAAAAATGTGATTTTTTTTAAATTAATTTTATAATGATTTTGAAATATAATTTATTATTATTTTGTAGAGTGAATTTATTTACCGCACCCTGCGTTACAAAGCATCCTTCCTTTTTTGTAAATTATTTATGTCGATCTTTAGTTTATACACCGCACTCCTCCTTAAAATGGCAAATGATAAACATAAAAATATATATAAATTTGTAACGCAGGGTGCGGTGAATACATTATTTCTATTTTGTAATTGTACTGTATCTGGTTTTATAAAAATAATTCAAAATAATATTACAATAATTTTTTAATATTTTTATAATTATTTTGTTACTATAATATAATTAACTTTAATATTATTTTTAATATATATATACTAATTTCAAAAATACTTCAAATATATTTTAATATATTATAAAAATTTTATAAAATAATTGCACAATTATTTTAAAAGTTACTTTATCTAGTTTTATAATAATATTTCAAAAAATCAGTGATTTTTATAAAGTAGTTCTAAAAGTGTAATTATAGAAGAAATTGATTATATTTTATAATTATGCTTTTTATTATTTTAAATATTTGTTGTTTTTTAAAATTAATTATAATTATTAAGATTAATTGTATTTTCATGGGATATATTTGCCATTGCACTTCGGCAGGTAGGCAATTTTTTCGATTGTTTAGGGCCTGTCTCTTATACACATCTAGATGTGTATAAGAGACAGGTTTAGGGCATTTTAGAGACTAGTTTCTCCCTTTGTATTGATGTATTATGATTCCTTTGAGTATAATAAAAAAAAAAAAAAATAAGATTAATTGTACTTATAATGTAAGTTTTGTAAAATATTTTTTTAGGATAAAAAAGTTATTACATACTGGTTTTTTTTTATTAATTAATTATAAAATTAATTATAAAATATTGATTATTTTCTTCTATTAACTGATGATCCATTCTCTTAAAATTAATAGTTAATTCAACTCTAAAATATTATATAGTAGTTTATATAAACCTAGATCCCAGTTTTACATATATTTTTTAGGGGTTTGATTGAATAGATAATTTAAAATTAATAAAATGTATATTAGTAAATATAGTGTTGGTAGTTTTAATTTTTATTATTATGATCGTATATAGTATATAAGCTCATCGGGAACATTTGCAGGTCGAGTGGGGTTAATGTTTATGATTACGTAAACTTATTACCATAATTAAATAACTAATTAAATATCGATCCCTATGAAAAATATTAGTACTGCGGGATGTGACTTTTTCTAGATTTATCAAGTGGAAATGATTTGCAATAAGGTCACGTGTCAGTTAATTTTTGAACGCGCGTGATCGACGTAAGATCTTGTGTAATAAAAAAAATTTTTTTGATTATCGAAGGTTAAATTATTTCAGTCATCGACATTTATTTAATTATGGCTTCTAAAGAAGTAATGTTAACAAATAATCCTATGGACATAGATACTGAAGAAGAAAAGTATACGATGCATGAAATCTGCTTATATGATCCTTTAAGCATAAATATGAAAGTTGCCTGTCAAAAATTATTATCAAAAATTGAACAAATCAATCAACAAAATTCTTCATTTTCTTCAATTATTTCAGAAGGACAATACGAGATTTTGAATTCTTATATAATAAATGATAATAAGAATGAAATTAATAATACTAAAAAATTATTAGATTGTATATCAAATTTACTTCTAATTCCATCATTAACTCTTAATATAGCTAATTTATTTCGTCCAATTTTAATCGATCTTGTTTCGCGTTGGTTATTATCAAACAATAATGATACTATGGAAGTTGATTATGATGTGATGTCTAAAGTTGAAAAAGTTGCTAATGCATTTAGTTTATTACTTCCAATTGAACCCCAGCTTTTAAGGTAAATAGCTTTTAAATCTAATTTTTTTCGTTTCAAACTAATTTGATCCTCTAATTTTCTTAAATGATTACTTTAGTTTTGCGGTTACATTTTTTTCACAAACATCCTCATTGCTAGAGAGACTCAATTTATTAAATCAAGAAGATATAAGCAATGAAGTATACGAATATTATAATTATAGACTTTATAATTAATTGCATTATTTTTTATTTATTTTTCTTTATGATTATCTAGAATTCCCAAGATTTGCAACGACTTTTATTAACAGCTTATCGACTTTTAAGATTTTCTGGGAGCACTTTTATAAAATTGTGGAATTGGTCACCACTTTTTCAATTGTTGATTCATGTTAATATAGCCATACGATATTTAACAGTTTTGTGTTTAAGTATTGTATTTAATATGAGTGATGAACAAAGAGAAAGTGCGTTTCATTATTGGGTTGGTGCAGATAATGAGATGATCTCAATTGAATGGGAGAATGGGAATACACAAGACATTGGAATGTTGTCGTAAGTTTGTTATTTTTCTTCGTTATTGTAATTATTTAGAACATACAATTAATTGATTATTATTTATTAAGACTTTTGGAACAAGTATCTCTTGCAAAACAACAATTAAAACTTTTACAAAATGATTTTATAGATCAAAATTCTTCTGAACTTTTTCAAATTAGTGAATTAGACTTGTCTCCATTGATAGTCAATATTTCTGGAGTATTATTACCAAAATCATTTACTTGTTCAGAGAAATCTTTCGTATCAAACAAGCAAAAACTTGTTTTGACAGATACAACTAAAAATAATTTATATTCCATATGTTTGGCAATTTCAATGGGCTCACCAGTTTTGCTTGAAGGTATTATTGGAGCAGGTAAAACTGCCTTGGTTGAAGAAATTGCAAGAGTAACTGGGCGTGATGACCTTGTGAAAATTCACTTAGGAGATCAAACAGATTCTAAAGTTCTTTTAGGTACTTACGTTTCTACATCCACTCCTGCTTCATTTCGTTGGCAACCCGGTGTCCTCACAACTGCAGTTCGTGATGGACGGTGGGTTTTAATTGAGGATATAGATCTTGCACCTATGGAAGTTATATCAATTTTACTCTCTTTGCTTGAAACGCGTCAGCTTTTTATTTCTAGTAGGGGTGAAAAAATTGACGCGAAGCAAGGATTTCAATTATTCGCAACAAAAAGCTTGTTGCCGATTGATGGAGGAAGAAGATCAGTACATCAACGTGTAAATGACTCGAACTTTGGGGAAACTTTGTGGACTCGGATAAAAGTCAGCCCGTTAAGTGTTGATGAACTTACTTGTGTTGTCAGAGATCGTTTCGTTGTTTTACAAGAATTAGTGCCAGATATTATGAATGTGTTTAATACTATAATAGCGATTCACCATGATTCAACATTTTTATCGAATTCAGGTCGATATATTTCGACACGTGATTTAATGAAATGGTGTGAGAGAATGAGGGTTCTTTTATGCTCAAGAAATAATATAATCACAACCCAGGGAATAACACAAGATATAAGAGAAGATTTGTTTAAAGAGGCGGCTGATTGTTTTTGCTCAATGATTTCCGATTATGAAAGTTGGATTGCGATTTTGGAAAAGATTGGTGATGCGCTGCAAATATCAAAGGAATGGGTTCACTTGTATGTGAATTCATATTTACCTGAAATGAAAATTGATGATAAAATAATATCTATTGGAAGGGTTAATTTAGTTCTATCAGATCGGAAAGAAGATATAACTAGACCAATACGAAAGAGACCTTTTGCTGTTACCGGTCATGCTTTGAGATTATTGGAACAAATTGCTGTGTGTGTCCATTTATGCGAGCCTGTATTATTAGTTGGTGAAACTGGTACAGGTAAAACGACAGTGATCCAACATCTTGCAAAAATTATGCATCAAAATCTTGTGGTTGTGAATTTATCACAACAAAGTGACAGTAGTGATCTTCTCGGCGGGTTCAAACCTGTTGATGCTAAAATTCTTGCAAGTCCACTTAAAGAGGAATTTGATAAACTTTTTGAAAAAACTTTTTCTATTCGACGAAATGTGCGGTTCTTGGAAACTGTTCGAAAAGTATATATTGCAAGAAAATTTGATAAGTTTGTGTCTCTTATGAAACAGGCTATTAAAATGGCGGGACAAAAATTCGATGAAGATTATAACCATGATATGGATGATCAAGATAGTAATTCGTTGCAAAAACATTCTTCTCGAAAGTCTTCAAACCCCGAATTACGGAATCGCTGGAAATTATTCGAAAACTCTATTATAGAGTTTGAAAGTCAACAGGATCAAATACGTAATAAATTCGTTTTTAGTTTTGTAGAAGGTTCGTTGGTAAAAGCTGTGACAAAAGGCGATTGGATACTTTTAGATGAAATTAATTTGGCATCTACAGAGACATTGGAATGCTTGAGTGGCTTGCTTCAGGATTCTCAAGGATCTTTATTATTAACAGAAAAAGGTGATATTGAACCAGTTAAAAGACATCCAAATTTTCGTGTCTTTGCCTGTATGAATCCTGCTACTGATGTGGGTAAGCGAGATTTACCTCCAGGATTAAGAAATCGATTTACCGAGTTTTATGTTCATTCACCTGATAAAAGACGAGATGATTTATTAACTATAGTCAAACAATATTTAGCTGGTTGCGTTCACGGTGATGAACATGCTTGTACCGATATTGTAGAATTTTATATAGCTGTCAAAGAATTACAACAGCGACATATAATTGCTGATGGTGCAAATCAAAGATTTCATTTTAGTATAAGGACGCTAACTCGTGCATTAAGTTATGTAGTGCAAATAACACCATCTTATGGATTAAGACGTTCTATGTATGAGGGATTTTGTATGACCTTTTTAACACAATCAAATAAAGAAAGTGAAATTTTGTTGAGGGGTTTAGTAGAGAAATTTTTGCTAAATGGTGTCAAAAATCCTAAAAATTTAATAACACAAATTCCTAAACAGCCTTTAAATGGTAATTACATCCAATTTGGATACTTCTGGCTCGAATTAGGAGATTATCCTGAACATATGCCCCATTATATTTTAACGTCATCTGTTAAAAAGAACTTGGACAATCTTTCAAGAGTTGTAATGAGTGGGAAATATCCTGTCTTAATTCAAGGTCATACATCTGCTGGTAAAACAAGCATGATTCAGTATTTAGCCAAACGTTCTGGGCATCGCTTTGTGAGAATCAACAATCATGAACATACCGACATTCAAGAATATCTTGGAACTTATGTTTCTAATTCTGAAGGAAAACTAGAATTTCAAGAAGGTGTATTGGTTGAAGCATTAAAGAAAGGATATTGGATTGTGTTAGATGAATTGAATTTGGCACCAACAGATGTTTTGGAAGCTTTAAATAGGTTATTAGATGATAATAGAGAGTTGTTGATTCCAGAAACTCAAGAAATTGTTAAACCTCACAAAGGTTTTATGTTATTTGCAACTCAGAATCCTCCCGGTTTATATGGAGGTCGCAAAGTACTTTCCCGTGCTTTTCGTAATAGATTTTTAGAACTACATTTTGATGATATACCGGAGGATGAATTAGAAGTTATTCTTTCAGAGAGATGTGAAATTGCTCCATCTTATTGTAAACGACTTGTACAAGTTTACAAGTATTTAATGGAAAGAAGACAAGGAACAAGAATTTTTGAACAAAAGCACGGATATATTACGTTGAGAGATTTATTCCGCTGGGCAGAGAGAGGTGCCATAGGATATCAGGAATTAGCAGAGCAAGGATATATGTTATTAGCCGAGAGAATAAGGAAACCTGATGAAAAATTGATCGTAAAACAAGTTTTGGAATCAGTTATGAAAGTAACAATCGATGAGCAAAAAATGTATGACTGTTCAAATATGGATGAGTTTAAAAAATACATATCCTTGAGACATGGCAAAACGGATATTGTTTGGACTAAGGCTATGAAACGTTTATTTACTTTAGTTACTCAATGCTTAAAATTTAATGAACCGATTTTATTGATTGGCGAAACCGGCTGTGGGAAAACAACAATATGTCAAATGTTGGCAGAAATAAAGGAAAAAGAATTACATATTGTTAATTGTCATCATAGTACTGAGACAGCTGATCTGCTTGGCGGCCAAAGGCCATTAAGAAATAAGGGAAATCTAAATAATGATCTTAAACGCGATCTAATCGACTTTTTAAGAAAATATGCTCCTCAAGAAAACATATGTTTAGAAGAGATAGATCTGAGTCAGTTGATCACTCTATTCCAAGATTTTTGTAAGGATGAGAAGTGGAATACATCCCCAACAGTATCTGATGAAAATATCACTGACTTAGTAACATCATTACGTTTAAGATGTAAGCAAGCTCGCACATTGTTTGAATGGCATGATGGTCCATTAGTTCAAGCCATGAAGCATGGCAATTTCTTTTTACTTGATGAGATATCCTTAGCAGATGATTCAGTTATCGAGCGCCTTAATAGTGTCCTTGAACCAAGTAGGACTTTAGTGCTAGCAGAAAAAAGTGGAAAACATGTCGAGGAATTAGTTGCGAAAAATGGATTCCAGTTCTTAGCAACTATGAATCCTGGAGGTGATTATGGTAAAAAGGAACTGTCACCAGCATTGAGGAATCGATTTACAGAAATTTGGGTTCCATCTGTTACAGATCATGAAGATTTATTACACATAATTGAAGAACAATTTTCACATGATAGTTTAGCAGGATATGGTCACAAAATTCTTGATTTTATAGAGTGGTTTTCACGCTCATTGAACAATAATCGTACCATCATTAGTTTGCGAGATATTTTATCATGGGTTTCATTTATGAACTCCACAGTAGAACAATTGGGACCGCATGAATCTTTTGTTAATGGAGGAAGTCTTGTATTTTTGGATGGTCTTGGTTCCAACGGTGCATCGGGGTCATTGTTATCCGGACAAGTGTTGAAGGAATTTAGAATGAGATGTCTCGCAAAATTATTGGAATTGGAGGGTGATGTTAAACAAGATAATGTTTTTAGCCAAAGCTTTACCAATGAAAATGAAAAAATTCATTATACAGAATCATTATTCGGAATCCACCCATTCTATATACCTAAAGGAACATTTGGCAATTATCAAATTACTTTTACTTTGCAAGCGCCAACGACATTGGATAATGCAATGCGTGTACTTCGAGCTATGCAATTAAAAAAACCAATATTATTAGAAGGAAGTCCTGGAGTAGGAAAAACAAGTTTAATTACAGCATTGGCCGCAGCATCTGGACATAAGCTTATTCGAATCAATTTATCCGAACAAACGGATTTAATGGACTTATTTGGTTCTGACCTTCCCGTAGAAGGTGGTAGTAATTGTGAATTTGCATGGCGCGATGCACCATTTCTTCAGGCAATGAAATCTGGTGACTGGGTTCTCTTAGATGAATTGAATCTTGCTTCTCAGTCGGTTTTAGAAGGTCTCAACTCATGTTTAGATCATCGCTGTGCTGTATATATACCCGAATTAAATAAGGAATTCTTTTGTTCTAATGAATTTCGTGTTTTCGGTGCTCAGAATCCTATACATCAAGGTGGAGGAAGAAAAGGACTTCCAAGATCCTTTATCAATCGATTCACACAAGTTTATATAGAACAACTTACTAAAACAGATATGCTTTTCATTACTAAATGTCTTTTCCCTCAAATTGAAGATTCATTATTGGAGAAAATTATAGAATTTAACGACCGAATGTACGAAGATACAATGATTAAATGCTTATTTGGTAGAAAGGGTTGTCCCTGGGAATTTAACTTACGCGATGTTTTTCGTTGGTTAGAACTTTTAACCAATGATAGAGGTCTCGGATTTAATTCAATTCCTGATCAATATCTAGACCTAATTTATTTGCGGAGAATGAGAACTATCGAAGATAGAATTCACGCTATTAATTTATTTAATGAAATTTTTGATAAAAATTATCAACAACCAAAAAATCCTTATTATCATATTAATTCGCGTTATATTCAGATCGGACATTCTCTTCTTCAACGTCAATCAAATTGTGGATATAAATATATAGAAAATTCATTTCATATTTTACATTCTCAATTGAGGCCTTTAGAATCCCTAATGAAATGTGTAGAATTCAATTGGATGGTAATTCTTACCGGACATGAAGCAACTGGGAAAACAAGTCTTGTTAGACTGTTGGCTAATTTAACTGGTAATCATCTTGAGGAATTTGCAATGAATAGCTCCGTTGATACAATTGAATTACTTGGTGGATTCGAACAAGTAGATTTAGCTAGACATCGACAAATAGTTATCGATGAATTAAGACGATTATCTATTGAAGTGACAAAGAAAGTTCTTATTGTTTCACATTCGAGCAATTTATTTAAGGATAATGATGCATTACAAGTATTGAAAAAACTTAATGATATATTATTTACTTTGGAAAATCATATTAAATTTAGTATCCAAAATTCAACAACTAATCGTTCTTCACTTCAGTTAGATTATACAGTGGTTGACCAATTGTTAGATATTCTACAACAAACAATGGCCAAGTATAACTTGTGCTCGCTCTTTGATAATGAAAAAAGCAATCTACTGGACAAAATCACAACACTCAAATTTCTCGAAAGTGGACCTATTACTGGTCGGTTTGAGTGGATTGATGGGGTTCTTATAAACGCACTCCAAAATGGTCATTGGTTGTTGATTGATAATGCCAATCTTTGTAATCCATCTGTATTGGATAGGCTTAACTCATTGATTGAACCAAATGGAGTCTTGATGATTAACGAGAGAGGTCTTATAGACGGTGACGTAAAAATTATTCAACCTCATAAAAATTTCAGGTTATTTATGACTACTGATCCGAGAAATGGTGAATTATCTAGATCTATGAGGAATCGTGGCGTAGAAATAGCCTTGTTGAAGACAGAACTTTTTGAAAATCAACAAGATATTATTAAAATTGCAAACGGACTCGGACTTCGTGTCTCAGAACTTGTTTCTTTTACGAATAATCCTCAGTTTAGTATAGAAGGAAATTCTTGCATGTTGTCTTTAAGACAAAATATGAGAGAATATATCTTATTTTCTCGATTCATTGTTGAGATGCTTCAACGAGGCGAAGGACTACTACAGGCTTTACATAAAGCTTTTCGACAAATTTACTTCATTGATTGCGTACCGAATGAAATGATGAAGTATCTTCAAGATTTTACAAAGAAATTCAATATGGTCAATGAAGAGAACTTAATCTGTACCTTATCTCCTACATTTAATGAGGGAATTTTTATTAAGGAGGAGGCAAGACTGTCTATGGTCCATCTTCAAGGATCTTATTTGATATACCTTTTATTTAAATATGGGGTTTCTAAATTAAACCATAATGACTTGTTGTCGTTTTCCTCATTACAAGAATTACTTGTATCTTGTGATTATTTTATTGAGAATATTTCTCTAGATGATGTTTCTTTGAGGAATCGCTGGCTTGGCTTTGTTTCTTATTTAATTCGGTCATTTAATTTGGTGGGGATTCATGAGATAAATATTTTAGAGTACATCAAATTCATGAACGATACCTTGATTGGTCATCCACTTGTTTCTCATCTTAATGAAATTAAAATTCAATTAGCTAAACTAATTGATCTGAATTTATCTTATATAATGTCTCAGGTGAGAGATATTCTGTCTTTACTTTAAGTGTCTCTTCTTTTAATAACATTTTAATATCTTCTTTAGCCTCTTGATATTACTAGCAATTACCCTTTGGTTATGTCAATTACTCGCTTCGAAAATAGGAAATACAATAGTGATAAGGATGAGACGATATATAACTTATGGAATCAATATTCTCTCAAGATTAAAGTGTTTAATCTTATGAAGAGACTGCAAAGACAAGATTATATTGAAAATTTATCTTATGAAAAGGCGACACGAATAAAAGTATCAAAGTTGACTTTATCCCAACAGTCATATTGTTATCATCACGGTAGAATATCGGATAACCAATTAAGTCATCTCGTTGTTGCAAATTTTTTTCCATTCTTACAAGAATTTAAAAATTTCGTAAAATTATGGATTAATCAAGGGAATTACGAAAAATCTGACGTGAGATCAATTATTAGCCTTGAAAAGATTTTTTTTTTTTTTTTTTTAGAAATATTTAAAATAATTATAATTTTTGTTTAATTTATAATAGATTGTATTATTTGATAATTTACTTGATTATCATGAGTTCTTATGGGAATTTCTGCAACAAAACTCGCTTGATCTCGGTGAATTATATGTTTGCACCAAAATGGTTAAAAAAGCTCTGAGACACTTGATTGATAAATTTAAAGAACACGCGAAAAATTTGCTTAATATATGTGATAGCATAACTGAGGACACAGTATTAACGACAGGAAAATTCATGAACATTTTGTGGAAACATTTTCATCATATAACACTTTCAAGAATCGATCTATTTAAACTAAAAAACGAATTATCTGAAATCAATTTTAATACGAACATCGAATGTCAAGGTAAAGCATTTGCAATTAATTATATAGAAATTATTCACTTATTATTTTATTTCTAATTAATATATTATTGGTAGATAATAAAAAAATACAGTCACATGAGATAGATGTAGAGTTGAAAGTAATGTTGATAGATGCTGTTGCAACATTGTATTTTATTGATGAAAATCAAAATTTTGAATCAACGGATGAATTGTTAATTTCTATACAAAAGATTCCTCAGGCAAATATTGGAAATTTTATTTGTCGTTGGTTTATTAATGTGAAATATAATGGTAATTTATATTGACTTTATATAAAATTTTTATTACTAATAGTATATTCGAAAATATTTACGAAGTACGCAGAAGCCCATAATTCAAATTAAGCCTCTACCTTTAATGGACTATTTTAATTTAATTCAAGAGATGCAAATTATTTCACAATTGCAGTTAGCAGCTTCACAAGGAACCGATTTGAACAATGTAAGTTATCAAGAAAATGGTACATCCAAACAATTTCCAATTAACATTTACTTATTCATTTACTTATTTGTATCAAGGAAAATTGTCGAGCGATTCTTAATCAAATCTCAGAATTTCGGGACTTTGCTTTAAAAAATTGTTCCTGGTCTCCACTAGATTTTGTTCCTTATCAACAGCTTTTATGGATTTATGGACCTGGATCTAAAGGTTATTATAAAATATGATAGAAATGATATAAAAAAAAAAATATTTAAATTATAACGTAATAATTTGTTGTTTTATAGTACCGGATGACAAAGCCAGGGTCATATTCAACAATATTTTACAGGATATTATATATGGATGGCATAATAAACTATGGAATAATATGTTTAACAATTTATATATAAGTGAAAACAATTTAAGCGCCAATATATTTGTAGAGGCAATCTTTTTATTTTTTTTATATCTTTGTTATAATTTTTAAATTGCAATTCTATTGTTGATGTTAGATTATTGATTATTAATTTCAAATGTTTATAGAATACTACAGGGCCTGGGAGGATATTCCAAAGCGTTTTAAGCTTTTATTATTTTAATTATACGTAAGCGAAAAAAACCACATTTGATTTTTGGCAGATCGAAAAAAATGGTCTAACCTCTAAATTTCGTCTTTTTAAGTCGCCGAATACAATCTATATCTGTCGGTTCTTTTGACACTGAACTAGCACAACTTGTAGAATATGGAAAATTTGCGGGAGGTGATTCGCTATTGATTTATAAAATCAATCGGAAATGTTTAGACTTTATATTCCTCGTTCAACAAGTTAAACAAGTAAGTCAATAAATTTCATTTATTATACATTTGAAATAGATCCATCTTTATTACTTTGTTATAACAATCTTTTTTATAAACTAGATATTTATCCCATTAAAGGAAAGATTTTCACAAGAAATTTTTCGTGGAATTAATGAAAAACTTGATACTGTTATTAACGTTGTTAATTCTTTATCGAATAATGGCGTCATTAATAATGATTCATTATCACCATCGATTGCTGTAGAATCTCTTTACGTTGTGTCTAGTGGCTTGAAAGAAATAGTTGATCCCGCTTTGCGAGCTGTTTTAGATCGATGGATTATACCATCAATTCATTTACTGGTTCAAGTATTAGAAGAATATAATCCGTTACAATCGAATGCGGATGTTTATCAGAAAATAGGCAAAATTTGGGTCTTTCTTTCTCTGGGTTTTATTTCCTTATACATACCGAATTATCCACTTGATCCAACAGCCGAAGCACGTTCAAGATGTCATTTTCTTCAACTTAAACAATCTAGCTTAGAAATTGAAATTGATATTCGTACAAAAATTGAACAAAGTTTCACTGGTGAATGTGATAATCATAAGATAGAAGACTGTAAAAAAAGGTTAGAAGAAGTTAAATTACTTATCGGACGTACGTCGGTTAACTTATCTTTAAGACCGGAACGATCACAACTTAATGAACTTTTTAAGCATATTCATTATATTTGTAATAATGTTATAGACGAACAACATATATTTGGGTTATTGAATGATTTTGAGAATGGAAATGATTCAGCTGTTCTTCAACGGGAAAATTTGTTTCAAGAAAAAATATTTCAGTTTATTCAACGAATGACATCGAATTATCCCCTTTACCAAGATTTACTGCAGCCATTGTACGTCGCTCTCTTTCAAATTAAATATGGAGTTCGAATAATAGCTTCTTCATATAAAAATCTCGTTTCTACACGAGACAAATTAATATATAGTGTTATAAAATCTTTAGTAAACATTACCAAGCTAGGATGCTCCAAGAAATGTATTGAGGTTATTACGGCACAAGAATCATATGTAATTGTCAAAGATCTCATTTTTTCTCAGCAATCAAGACCAGATAAATGGGATCAATATCTCAAATATCTTGTCGTTATTTTGTATTGCGTATATTATCATATATCAAAACGCGGGAATATTATTTTCGAAGATTTTATCTCTATTCAACGTATCTTTGGTGAAATAACTGATATCTATGGCGCTGCCGAAGAGCAAAAAAACAAAATTGCTCAAGAGAATGAAAGTTTATATCGAAACAAGACAAAATTATACAATAAAGTCAATGAAGAACAATATTCTGAATATGAATTTAAGCAAATGTTTCCAGATTTTAATCACGAATTCGCAGATATAAGTGATGATATAGAAATTAATTCAAACAAAGATTTTTCTCAATTTGAGGAAAATATCTCAATTCTGAGTGAGGAAATTCTTTTTGAGATAGGCAAGTTATTTACAAAGCTTGTGACTGATTTCTATTTGAATTTACCACGGAAAATTTTAAATTTTGAGGTACCAACTACAGAAGTTTTCTGGAAATCATATGTCATGGCACAAGATTTATCGTTATTTGCTGGTAAAATCTTTCCAGAGGAATTTGATGAAGCAATTGTAACTTCCCAAATTTTAGGAACGTCTCTTTTGAAAAAATGGTTGATTGATGGTATCGAACCTGGGCATGATACCTGCAATATTATTAAAAATGCTGATTTGAGAATGTATGATTTTTATAATGATCAAAACATTATTGAAGCCAAGAAGTTGGCTCCAGTAATTTCAGATCTTCAAAAGCATGTCAAAGAATTACTTGAAATGTGGCCTGAGCATGCTATTCTTCAACAAATCGATAAAATATGCAATAGAATTCAAGAATTCACGTTAAACTCTCCTATTGCAAAATTTCTCACTGGCTTAGAAATCTTATTACAAAAAACAGAAGACTGGGAAGCTTATGCTAATCGGGAAGTATCGATAAAACTTCATAGAGAAAAGATTACTAATCTTATTGTGCAATGGCGCCAATTGGAACTAACTTGTTGGCCAAATCTACTTACTGCTCAAGACAAATATCATGAAAGAACTGCTTATAAGTGGTGGTTTCATCTCTACAATTGCATCGTTCATCCTGTTGATTCATTGTGTATCAAGGTTGCTACAAAAGAGAGGATCGATCAAAATTTCAAGGATCATATATCGGAAATAGTTCGAACACTTGATCAGTTTTTACAATCTTCAAAAATAGGCGATTTTAAGGCACGATTGGATTTGATACATGCTTTCTATGTATATCTTTGCATGAAAGATTATTATCGCGTGAGAAATGCTAGCGATCAATCTGCTTCACTTTACTCCAAAACTGCCGATGCATTATTAAATGTTTACAAGTATTATGGTCAATTTTTGGATCACAATACTAACACCTTAAAAGAACTTCGTAAGCCTATTGAAAAAGAATTGAAACAATTTGTGAAGATTGCTAGCTGGAAAGATGTTAATATTCATGCACTGAAACAAAGTGCTCAAAAAACCCATAGGCAATTAAATAAATGTGTTCGAAAATACAAAGATATCCTTAACAAACCGATCATGGATGTAATAACAGATTATCAGATTAATATGACGACGACGATTCATCCCAGAGAAAAGGATGTTATTGAACAAGCTATGACTCTTGAGAATTGGATTTCTAATTGTGAACCGGTTGAACCAATTGGAAGAATTTTAGAATTGCAAAATTCGCTTAACAGACAAAATTTTCCTGTTCCTGAACGTTTCTTAAATATTAGGAATACTTTGAAGAAGCTTCGTTCGTATTGCCAACAAGATATTTATACTAAAATAAATTTAACTTACAACCGAGCTCTTGATACTTTTACTACCGAAATAATTTTACGTATTAAAAAGTTTCAAGATGAGACGCCACATTTAATGAATGAAGAAAATAAGAACATTATAAAGAATCAAAAGTTAATTAAGAAAAAAACCATGGTAGACCTTTTGAGAGAACTGAAGCGTCTTGGATTATGTTATTTTCCTAATAAGAATATAATCGAACAACAGCAAAATATTGTTGGATATGTACTACAGCTTCGTAGAGTAGAATTGCAGAATTCTTTACCTATGATTAATGATTTTGAAATTCTTAAAGTTCCATCATCTGTTAGAGATGATGTAAGAGAATCCATTTCTACCTGGAAGAAAGCTGATGAATATTATTATAAGATTATTGCGAGAATGATTCATCTTCGGAATGTTGCAGCCAGTTATTCAAAGGATTTAACTTCACAGGAAGTTCAAAAAGGACTTGGCTTTTCTGAAGATTTGTTGTATCTTTTAATTCAAGAACGCAAAAATATACAAGCTCTTGATAAACAATATGTTAGACTTCTAGGAGTATTGATTCAATTCTCAAGAATTTACTCTTCACATAATGCTCAACATTCCTATTCAAAAGTATGTGAATATTTATCATTTTGCTCAATCGATGAACGTACAGTATGGAATTTCAAAGAAATTTTGGATGACTTGAATTCATTATTATTTCATTCATGTGTAATTTTTGATATACAAAAACAAAACGAACAGTCTAATTACTTAAGTCATTACGAAGAGATCGGTACAAAACTACACGATTGGCTTGATAAAATTTCTACAGTCCGTAAGGATTTTGTTCATTTGTTCGATCGGGAAATTTTGCTTCCAGAATATACAATAGGGAAAAAAGCACTAATCACAAAGGATATTATAAACCTAGTTAAAGATAATATTGTTTTGATTGATGGTCTTTATCAGTTTGCCAGAGATTATTCTTCTCGAATTAAATGTTTCTCTCATATCTTGGCACCAATTTGTGATTATATAAAAAATTGTATTGGAAATCTTTATTTAACTGAAACGGTTCATAATGAAATGAGCTTGAACAGTCAGACGACGACGGTTCTCGGAAATATTGCTAAAAAAGTCAATGATTTAATAGATGCAGTCCTTGTTGCTATTCAGGATTTACAAAAGTCATCTGCCGAACCAACCAAAGACGAAGATATTGATGATGATATACCTGATGGATATATACGCCAAGAACACGAACACATATTAAACCTCGGAAAACATTTACGTATACCTTTGGTTCTTGAAAGATTTATCATTCTCCATGAACAACTAATTAATTTAACGGATGACGAAAGGTTTAATAATTTGGATTGCCAAAATTTAATTTCAAATTTGTTACAAAGAATATTTCCATTTATTCAGCAATACTATTTAGTCGTTCAATATTATTTGAATAGCTTTATCTATCACCATAAGTCATTATGCAAATTAACCTACGTACTTTGCAATTCGTTTACTACAGTTTTCATGAAAGGTTATTGTATGCCACAAATGGAATCAGGTGATGATGAAATAGGAGATATCGAAGAAAATGCTCAAGGTACTGGTATTGGAGAAGGTGAAGGTACTAAAGATGTAAGTGAAGAGATTGAAGATGAAGAACAAGTATTAGGCAATCAAAATGAAATGAAAGACCATGACTCAGCTAATGATCGGTTGAAATTAAAGAAAGATAAAGGAATTGAAATGGAAAATGATTTTGAAGGAACAATGGAAGATGTGGAAGATGATGAAAATCAAGATGAGTCAGATGATGAAACTTCGGAAAACATAGAACAAGAAATGGGTCAATTTGATGATAATGATCCTGATGCTGTAGATGAAAAGATGTGGGGGGATGATTCTGCAGATGATGTAGAAGAAAGTAGAAAAACAACTAATACAAAACAAGAGTCTGGAGCTCAGGGTGAGACAGATATTGTTGCTAAGGAAGATCAAGAGACTACTATACAAGATTCTCAAGAAAAAAACATAGAAAATGGGGAAATGGATGTAGAAGGTGATAATCAACGAGATTCTATGGAAACAGAATATCAAAGCGATGATGATGATAACATAAACGAAGAATATGATAATTATGATAAAAGTGACCATTTTAATGTCGATATTCCTCAAGCTGAAACATTAGAACTTCCTGAAGATATGATGATAGATGACATAGAAGGAAACACAAATGAAGAAGAAATAAATAATAATGATCTTCCCTCAAATATGGATATTGATGAGTCAGAAGTGCAGGCAAAAGATACCATGGATAATACTCAAGATGGTTTTAATGAAGCAGCTTATGATGCAATGGAAACAGATGAAATCGATGATGATTCGATTTCTAACGAAACAAAAGATGGAAATAAAATGGGCGTTGAAAAGATTGAAAATAATGATGAGATTTCTGACGAGAATCAACAGGAAAGTTCTAAGGGTGAAGTACCAAAAGAACGACCTAATCATAAGGTTCAACTTTCTACTGATGATAATCAATTAGAAGATATGAATATTGAAAATGAAGATCAAAAAACTTCATCTAATCAAGAACAACCAAATTCTGATGCACCAGCAGAAAATTTATTTGGTGTTGATGGAGAATCAGGTAAAGCAAATATGGCATCATCTAAATCATCTGGAAATGGATCTGAACAATCTTTGCAAGAAACTGAGAATCAGGACTCTAATAATAATTCACAACGATATAAGTCTAAAGGTGAATCTAGCTCGAATAATACAGATGAGTTAAAAAAAAGCGAAAATACAATTGAAAACCAGAGTAAAGATCAAAGTAAAAAAGACGCCAATCCACATAGAAGTCTTGGTGATGCTTTGAAGCAATGGAAACGCCGTCTTGACAATATTGTTAAAGGAGGCGAAAACACATCTGAACAAGAGAACAATCTCGAACAGAATCAAATCGTAAATGAAGATCAAACGTTCGAATTTCTTGAAAATGATGATGATTCTCATGATCTTCAAACGATGGGAGCAGCAGCTGAGGATCAGATTGGAGCGATTGATAATAATGAACAGCACTACAATTACGAAACAAATTATGCAGTTGAAGAAAATGAAATAGATTATGATAATTCTCAGAAAGATGAAATAACCGATGCTCTTCCAACGAATGATTATAATCATAATAGTGAAAATGAAAAAGGAGCAATTCTTTCCCGGAAAATTGTAAAACAGGATGATGATCAACAATTGTTTGATGAAAAGTTTAATCCTCAGAGTATCTATTCTTCTCACTTCACACACGAACCTTTAACTCGGGAAGAAATTGAGAGTTTACGTCAAGAATTAGAAATCAAATTAACAGATTGGAGACAGTCTGGAAGAGATATTACTAAGGCTAGAGAATTGTGGCAAAAGTATGAAAACCTTACTTATGATCTAGCAAATGGACTCTGTGAACAATTAAGATTAATCCTTGAACCTACACTTGCTACAAAACTTAAAGGTGATTATCGAACTGGAAAACGACTTAATATGAAAAAGATTATACCTTATATTGCTAGTGATTTTAAAAAGGACAAAATTTGGCTTCGTCGTACTAAACCAAGTAAAAGGCAATATCAAGTCATGATCGCTGTTGATGATTCGAAATCAATGTGTGAAACTCATTCGATTCAGTTAGCTTATGAAACTTTGGCACTTATTTCGAAAGCACTTTCGCAGCTTGAAGTAGGAGATCTTTCAATTGTTAGTTTTGGTGAAAAAGTTCAATTACTTCATTCTTTTGATCGCCCATTTAGCAGTGAAGCAGGAGCTCAAGTACTACAACAATTTACATTTGAACAAAATAAAACATATGTTCGATCTCTCATGGAAACTTCTATCACACTTTTAGAGCATGCAAAGAATAATGGTACAAAAAATAAGGAATTATGGCAACTTCAGCTTATAATATCAGATGGTGTTTGCGAGGATCATGAAAGTCTTAAAGCTCTTGTCCGAAAAGCTGCTGAAGCACGAATAATGCTAGTGTTTATTATCGTTGATAACAAGCCGGGAAAGGATTCAATCATGTCAATGAATCATGTAAAATATAAATCTATTAATGGGCGCATGACAATACACATGGAAAGATATTTGGATACATTTCCTTTCGATTATTATGTAGTTTTAAGAGATATTAATGCTTTGTCAGAAACTTTGGCTGATGCGTTAAGACAATATTTTAGTATTATCAGTCAAAATAGCGAATAAAAATTATTTTGTTTTTTTCCGTAATAAATACTTTTTTTTTTTATTTTTATTTTTATTTCTGTGAACAAAGTTACAGTAAAATTACATAGATCCTATATACTAAGACCGAAAGTAACCCTAATAACTGATAACCAAATCGCGTTCAGCCCTTGCGAAACTGAGGCGATGCCACCTTGGTGATCAATAGGATAAGAACGGGTGTGAATCAAACCCACTGCCGGACTTTTCCCGTAATAAATACTTATTTCTCGATTATATTATGTGCACATTTCGTCTTCGTCACGTGATCAAGTCATTGATTGGTTAACCGTTTATTGACTTTCAAATGACTGGTCATGTCATTTGAGGTCATTCAAATAACCGATGCAAGATTATCCGCTAAAGATGAATTTGATTCAGTTGCTGCTCGAATGCTGAGGTTTTCGTTTACAAATACAACGAAACTGTTAAAATTAATAGCTTACTTTTTGACTTATTAGGGCAACTTTATTATTGTATATTAATGTCACGTTGATCATAATCAATTATATATAGCCATAAAATTTTAAATTAAGAAAATGTATTCAAGTAGAGAAGGCCAACAGTGGTTTTCAAATGATACTATATCAACAAATAGACGGTACTTTGCTCGAGGAATAAACACTGAATCGAGTAAACATCAACTAAGAGGAATTATTAATACTCTGAAACATGCCACAAAAACTTTACCTATTGAACAACAACTTGTTAAATTTTCTGAAATTCCCAAAACACTTGATGAAACACCTATTCCTGACATTATACATGGTACTTTATTGTTTTTTGCTGAACGGTTCAAAGATTGGTTAATATCCATTTCTCTTAATTGGTCATTTATCACGAAATTTAAATAATAACTAAAGATAACACTTTTTTAATGATAGTGATCATAATGTAATACGTCGATGTATCCTTAAAATCCTCAAGGATAGTGAAAAACATATTTCGCAAAATTCACAAAGCTCAGAACTTGAACAAACTATAAGGAAAATCTTTTTCTTATTAGAAAACCAAAGTAATGATCCTATTGCTCGTGCCCTTACGTTAAGGTTGAAATTTCCTTTAATTTGCCACTATTATGACTTAAATGAATTGATTATTAAACTAAAATTTAATTAGATGTCTTGGTTATATGTCAGTTTTATTAATAGAAAGACTTGATATACAACATGGGTAAATTCATTCACGAGAACATTTTTGATGAGATGCAAAACTTATAATCCTGATATGATTTCTATTTTTACAGAATACTACAACGTTTAGATTCGTCTGTTGAAATTGAAGCGAATGCGGCTATTTTTGCTGCAGACAAATTATGTTCCAAAACTGAAAAATTCTCGGCTCTTGCCTATGAGAAATTTGTTACATTACTTCAAGGTATAGTTATTGTGAAGAATATATTAATAAATAAGTATCTTTTTAAATTTAATTCTTATTTTTCATCAAAAGCTAGTCATGTTTCCCTAGCCTTTAAAACAAAGTTGGTGCGCATATTTCGCCACATGCACTGGGATATCAATTTAGCTCGTAAAGTAAAGTGAAATATTATCTTTCCATTTTCATCATTTCTTTATATTATGTAATGTTATCATGTTAAATAATTTATAACCTATAGACAAGAATTATATGCCTTCAATTACTTGAACAATGTTCTGATGATGAATTTGTTTTGACCATATTGAAAACGTTGACGTTCTTATCAAATCGCGCGCTTGTTGATAGAACTGATCAGGTGAGAAATTTTATATATGAATTGTTATTGAGTGAATTACTTTATAGGTGTTTATCTAAAAAAGAAAAAAGAAGAAGAAAGATTAAATTTCAAGATTAATCCTCCTTTAGATTAATTTATTGATTAAATATGCGCAAAATGACCCTCGTGGACATGTTAAGACAAGTTCGTTAGCATATTTGACTAATATTGCACCAAAAGATTTGACTTTTGAAATTTCACATATATTGGTAAATGTTTCTCTTATTAGATAATTTCAAATAATTATAATTTAATTTAATAATAGTAAAATTGGTATTAGATATTATTGAGTATTGTAACTAGTGCGAAGGAACTTAATGTTAAAGCTAAGGCATTATGTGTTTTGACTATATTGTTTCAACAAACAAGGCTTCTTTGCGAAATTGCATCAATAGACACAGAACAAGAAACTCGTTTAGAAGTACTTCATTATATTCAACAATGTGAAGACTTGATTCAAGATAAAGTCATTGAAATAAATGTTATTACGGTGAAGTTGATGTCTGTAATTATAATCGAATCAAAACGAATAGAGTCAATATCAAATATTTTAATCAGTCCAGAATGGGGTAGGATATTACAGTAAAAGTCTTTGTGCGTGCAGATGTCCTTACACTCATGAAATGTAAATTTAATTTCAAAAGAAACATATTTTAGCGAGCTCTCTAAAAGAATTGCAGAGTTAATATTGTCGAACACAAATCAATTGATAGAATTTATATCCATTAATCAAACTGAACGCGATAAATATATTAAACTGGTAATTTATGCGTTAGCATATTGGTTTTGCAATTCTTTTTCTTTTAACACAATAATTTATTTAATAATAGATGCAAGAATACCTAAAGTGTCTATTTTCAATTTGTTTGTCGGATAACAATTTAATCAAGGATACGTCAAAAATGATTATTAATATATTACAAGAATATATTGATATAAGTTATGGTAAATTCTTAATTTTAACTTTGAAATTCAAACGGTTTGATAAGTTATATCTATTTATTTATTTATTTTTGCTTAAGATGATGTATTTGCTCAGTTGTCCAAGTTTCTTCTTAAGATTTCCGAATATAAAGAATCAATAATACAGGAATTTAGAGAGGATATATTTTTTTTTATGAAATCTGAAGAACTTATCAATATGACTAATTCATTTGTAAGTTTATATTATAATTCTTATTACTTATATTTAATTTACACATGTAATTATCATTTTCTCGTTTTTTTTAGACTATGCTAGCAAAAACAGTCTTAAAAGCACGCCCTGAAAATGTGACTCAGGCGAAAGAATTTAAAGAATCGTTTATGGAAAGAATCAATCAATTTGGAAATTTCCAGGATGGAAGATATACACAAAATCAATGGAATATTTATTTAATAGGGTTAGAAGCCGGAAAATCTGGATGTTTTTCAATTATGGGTGCAATAGTAACTAATTTTGTAAATGAGGTTAGTTTTAGCAACTGATTATTATCTCTTAGATTCTAACGAATTTATTTTGAGAAGTTTTTTAGGTAGATGTTGAAGCACATCGCTTTTGGCTTAGAGCATTAAGTAATGCATCAAATGCAGAACAAATGATTTTGGAAAATATTGAAGGTATTCAAATGCAGCTTGATTTATTCGATGAAGGTGTTAAATTCTACTCGAAGTGTGATACCGAGTTAAGTGTAAGTATTATTGTTTGTTCATTTATGTTTTGTATTTGGTTACATTAATTCAAATTATTTTTATAGGGCTTGATGTCTTTGATTGACAATAGTGGAGTCCGTGTATTTGGAAAATGGTTTTGTCAGCTTAGGGCCAGATTTTTTTCTACTATGAAACTTATTTTAGCTCAGTTGAACTTCTTGTCTTCAAGAGCACCAAAATTACTTGATCCTGACGTTGTATGTAAATTCATTATAATATTATTGTTTATGAATGACTAAATAAATCCTTTTATAATTCAGGTAAATATTAATGAGTCTTTGATACTCTTGGCTCGTATGCATGATTTCGTTGCACATTCGTTTTTGGATATTGATGCCGAAAGTTTAGCAATCTTAGAGTCGTATCAGATATGCTGTTTGGTATTAGCGTATGCGATACAGTGTCTTCTCATTCCTTCATTTCAGAAGTATGTTTTAATTCAATTATTTAATTTATGTAATTTATGTATTAACTCGTTATTAATTTTTATTAGAGAAGAGTATATTAATCCTATGTTACTTCCATTGATTCGGCTTGCACATCGTGACGAGAATGATTCTATTCTTACAGGGCAGTATAACGATATGAATTCGCGAAAAAATAAAGTACAATATGTATTACGGGCAAGGTGCGTTGAAGTTTTAAGATCTATAGAAAAATGTCGTACCAGTGGAACATCAAATGTAAGAATTAAAATATTAATTCAATTCATTTGTTGGTCAATTAACTAAATATATTCTTTTTATCATAGAAAACTGCGACACAATTAAGTCAATTTGTTCTTTTCATTTTGAGTGTTCCAATAAATTTACCACCATTTTTCTTCGAAAACAAACAAGGAACTCATCTTAAGGTATTATTATTTTATATCGTATTTAATCATTAAAATATTTAAATTTTCCTTTTGCAAATAGTGGAGTAAAGTGCCTGCATTAGGCTGGAGTCAATCTGGGAGTAGAGTTTCCTCAACCGCTGTATCAGATAAAGAGAAAGTAGTTATCAAATTGGAAGGAGTTGTACAATTATCTAAAAAATTAGGTGAATTTAATAATATTTTATTCATATTTTATTTGATAATTTAACATTATAATAATTTAGTTTCCTATTATTATATTAGCTAAGAAACATTTAAAGAGTATTCAATTTATTATCTTTGGATCAAAGACTGATATATTTGAATTTGATGAATTTGAAGAAACTTTACAAGGAAATTTTAAATTCTCTGATTTAGCGTTGGCATATAAAGGAAAAAATATAAAACAGAAGGTCTTTATTTTTTTTACTCAATTTAATTATTTTTATATGAATTTTTTTGAATTTTTTTTTTGAACAAATAATATTTTTACTAGGATACTTCAGAAGCGAATTATGTTGCCACTACAATAGTACCTCTTATCAATAATTATTTTGCTACTACCGCACTCGTCCAATTTCCTATGGATTCAGATGGTACTGGATTTCTTAACATTCATACCAGAATCGTTGATGATAAAAATATTGTATGGACCATCGGCCCTGATTTGTAAGTTAAAAAGGTTCCTTATTTATTAGTTAAATGATATATACTTTTCTAAAAATTGTATTATTATCATTTATTATAGAATAATATCTTCTCCTTCAGAATATCAAAATAATCAATACATTTAATAGAAATTTGCTGCTTAGTATACTGAATTTTGGCTGCCATAGGTACCATTAAACAATATTGACCACAAAATCTGCGATAATGAACCTCATTTACTGTGTATCACATAAGATAATACTTCAAACATAAATAATTTTTTTTAACAAATTGCATTTATTATTTGTAATCATAAACATGATTTTTAAAGCGGTTTTGTTTTTATCTTTAAACTAAATAGGTTAAAATAATTAATGACAATTATTTTGCTCATATTCGGTATACCATGAAATTATAAAAATGATAATTAATCATGATCATAAAGGCTTGTCCGTTTTTTGAGTAGAAGCTATATCGTTATTCTCATTATCGTTTCCATTTCGGCTGGACGGTTTGTTGTTTCTGGGTTGTCTTTCAACTTTGACGTAGGTGCAAGCGTTGGAGTATTTCTTGCAGTTCGCGCAAGGGTTCCTGCCATCACATTTTATCTTGCGCTGACGACAAAAAGAACATGCCATCTGAACACGTTGACGTTTGATGAAAAAAGGATCATCAACCCATACAACGGTAGAGTAGGAAGAGAAACTCATTTTTTATGGTTTTTTTGATGAAAATATTTCTCTTTTTCATAAACTATTAAAGTTATAATTATTTAAAATTATTGTGAGAAAGAAAAAAAAAGGGAGAAACAGATAAGCCGAGATTTTGGGGTAGGGGCTACATCGATCACCTCAATATTAAGGATAATCAGTGTCCAATATGTTATGTATCACCCTATTAATTAATTATGTCTGCCGCAAATCAATTTCTAATACTGTATGTAAGTCAAAAAATATAAGTTCGTATTCTTAATCACCTATAAAGAAATTTCTAAACATACCTTTCAGGTTTCGAAATTGAAAGAAGTGACTATATTTGGATCTTATTTCAAAAACACCGAATCCCAAAATATCTATCTGACAAAGAGTCATTTAAAGCTACTATATACCATTCACATTTCATGAGTAAGTAACCCGATTTTGAACCGAATATGGTCTATATTTTTTGGCTTTATTGACTTTATACATGACAACTTGTTATATAACACTTGGTTTTTTTAAATTTATTTTATTTTATTTTCACAATTCACCGATACAAATAATTCTTAAATAGTTTTGGAATAATTACTAGTTATATTAATCAGTTACTAATTACCTACTGAGATAGTTGTTTATATTATTTTTATTTTATCTTATTTTACTCTTAGATAAAGCTATTTATAGTTTTGAAAACAAAAATCTATAGCTCATATGCTGTTATATCTATATTTAAAATCCTTTTATAGAAAGAACCGAAAGTCTGAAGTAAAAAAATTTGTTTTAGAATTTATACATAATAAATATAATCATATAAAAAACAGGAATTTAACTAATATTAGTATCTTAGTATTAAATATCCTGCTTTCCAAATATATATGTCATATAATAATTAATTTAATACATTTTATTTATAAAATTATAAATTTGAATCCTTAAATCACAATAATTTTGAACCTTAATACCATAAGATTCAAACATTTTCACTTCATCTCTTAAAAATAATAAATCTCTACTTTCTTCAGCAAAATCTTCTTTAATAGCTAAATATTTAACTCTCTTCTCTTTCATAATATATTCTTTTATATAAGGTAAAATATCTTCACTTCCTACTTGCATTTCATTTCTTATTAATAATTTCTTAATAAAAGTTCTTTGAGAACTTTTTAAAAATATTTTAAAATTACTTGTACTAGTCATAATAGATAAATTTAAATATTCTAATTTAACAGGAAGTAATTGACCTAATCCTTGTAGTACTAATTGATTATATATATCCAAAGAGAGGTAATTAAGATTATTTTCAGCATTTTCAATTAATTTAAATGCCAAATGAATATTTTGATCACAAAATCCGGGTAAATCAAAAAACCTGATTCTTGTACAATATTTTAAAATTATTTCGAATAATTGTTTTTGATTAAATTCACTACTTATTAACCCAATATTTTCTAAATAATTACCAGACTTTTGTAATAAGTATTGTAATGTTTCAATTTGAAATATTTCTAATTCATTAATAAATAAAGATTTTAATTTAAATGGTTTAGTGATCTTGATGATTTGTTGAATAAAATCAGAATTTAAAGAAAGGCAATAAAGAATATGAATAGAATCTAAAACATTTAATTGTTCAAATACTTCATTTAAGCCGACAATATTACTAAAATTAACATTATGAAATATGATAGTTTTTAAAGTATTTAAACAATTAGAATTTTTTAATGACAACAATGAATAATATAAAGGAAATTCATTAAAATCAAATAAAACCTTTTTAAGATTTTTTTGTGCATAAATTATTTGTGAAGAATATTTTTCAATTAATTTATCATTAAAATTCTTTTGAAATTGAAAAAAAATTGTTGAAATTGAATTGCAATTAGAATATAAAAATTTTAATAGGGAATAAATTTTTGTCAAATTCGAAACTTTTTCAAGTTTTAAAATTTTAATATTTCTAATAAAATTTGGATTTTGTAACAAAAATTCAAAAGATTCATTAAAACATTGAAAATCTATAACCCTATTTAATATAATTTCAAAAGCATTTAACCTAGCCTTATTCTCAACAAATACTTTCAACAATAACTTATAAATTAAAGTTGGTGAAGTCGAATAATAATAAATTGATCTTTTTTCAATTGGTGCAGCAACCCACTCTTCAATAGCATTAACAATTTTATGCGTATTTAAACATTTAATTAGACTAGGATAATTGAATAATGTATTTGAAGAAAAGAAGTTATTATTTTCATATTTATTCACATCTTTTTTATCATAATCATTTAAATTATGTAAATAAATTTCAATACAATTGTAATTTTGAGTAGGGATTGAAAATGGATCTTCCCATAATAATGGGATTGCTAAACGACACCATAATCGGTTAACCAAAACACATGAATGTAATGTTGAAAAGTCATCATAAAAATATTGTATAATGTCGTTTAATAATTCAGGTAAATCTCCTGAAAGTATTTTTGAACATGCCATGTCTATTTTGAAGGGAAAAAAAAATCCAGAAAGTACTTATATGACGCACATTATTGTTACACAATACGTAACAAACCTCATTATCAGATAATCAAATTGATCTACCTTTGGTAGATCGAATTTACGTGAAAATTGATTTAAAGCAAATAAGCCATGATTTATCATAATATAGTTAGTTTTCGATAAATAAATTAAACAAAAACCTGTTGTTAAGTCACACTTATCGGATATATCATACTATATAACAAAAAATCCAAATTTAGGTGCATACTTTCTATACTTTCTGTGTGTCCATATACAGTATAATTTATCTCTTTAATATAGTCTCTTTATCAACTGATATTGTATCGGTACGTAAAATATTCGAGCTTAACAGTAATGCGTAAGTTGATAATAAACTAGGTACATATCCTATCTTTCTCGTGGCTTCAGATCATTGCTTTCTCTACGAGCATAATAAAAGGGGTTGTTATACGTAATCGTGAGTTAATATTAGATTTTATATTTTGATTGAGAGTCGACAGTGTTTTCAAAAATTGTACTATCCATTATTACAATAAAAAAAATTTGGTTTGAAATTTTAAATTTTAAACTTCATTTTTTCATTTAGCAAAAATTGAAATTCTATTTTTTAGGTGGGTTACACAAAATTCCATCAACCGATTTATAAGTTTTGTAGCCCCTAACTTTTAGACATTAATTTTACAACGATTTCCAAATTTTCTCTAGCTCGCAAAAAAACTGGTTTTTGATAACTGACAAAACGAAACTGGATATGCAGTAAAATAATCACAACTGTGATTTAAGATAAAAAAATGCTGAAAGGTAATATTTCAATTTCTGATATCATTAAAATAACTAATCTGAATAATTACATACGATACATTTTCTTAACCTTTTTTTTTTTGATTAACATTTTTGTAAATAGCGGGATCCATCAGTTTTACAATATATAATTTGAAGAGCATTCTTGTTCCTATTGAAGTATAATTTAGATAACATAATGTATAATTCAACGTAAAATTTAACTCAATAAAAAAATGCGATTTTTCATAAATTTATTAACTTACAAGAAATATAAAATAATAAATAAGGTTTTTCTTCAGCTTAAGAATTTAATTTACTAATCTATAAAATTTTGTATCAAATCAACTTTTCATAATAATTTAAAGAAAATATCATAAAGAAATAATGACTAAACACATTCATAAATTAAAATCTGATTTGATTGGATTAAGCCTCAATTAGATATTAAATTTTCAATCCAGGAGACAAGTGTATAAGTTGCATATTTAAATTACATCAAAAGAGTCATGAATTTTCAACTAAGAAATTTAGTGATTTTTCAAAATCATAATTATTTTGTTCGAGAGCTTTAACAATTCTATCTCTGCTATAACCCATAACTAAAAGTCGTTTTACATCGTCAATATCATCATCTTCAATAGAGTTTGCAGGAGTAGTTGGCTGTAACTTTGGCTGAGATGATGTTGAAGCTTTTATTGACGTATTAGTCGTTGATTTTTTATCAGCTGGCATAAACTCTGAAAAGGCATCATCGAAACCAAAGTCGTCGAAATTTGTTTTAGAAGGTTCCGCAGAGATACCACCAAATGCTGCGTCAAGATTAGCTTTGGGTTTATTGGAAGATGGTGCGTTTGGTGGAAATGGATCAAAATCATCGAATAAATTTTCGTCTTTATCAAAATCTAGTGAAGATTTCGCAAAATTGTTAGTTTTAAAAGATGTAAGAGTATTGTTATTGCTAGTTGAAGATGATTTTGTAAGAGTTGTAGGTGTATCGAACGTAAAATTAACATCTTCTTCAAAATCCGCATCATCAAACCCAGTATCAAACTCAATTGGAGGAGTTTTGGTAACTTTTGCTTCAGTTAAATCACCAAAAGCTGCATCAAACTCATCTTGCGGTGCGAAAGATTTTGAACTTTCTATAGAAACCCAAGCATCAGGATCCTGAAGTGGTGGGAAAGCAGTTTCAGCAGATTCTGTCGAATCCGCCAAAATAGAAAAAGGTGATTCAGATTCCTTGTTAGAAGTATTGTTTGTATCTTTGTTATCAGTATTGATTTCCATATTATTTACCGACACAGCTTCCGCAGTAGTACCAATAGAAAAAGTATTGTCCGATTTTTCATTTTGAATCGTTTCCATCAAATTATTCACATTCATTAAGTTATCATCTTTTTTTTCATTATTGGTTATTAAACTATTAAAATTGTTATCAAACCCTGAATTAGATGCATTAGTCATAGAAGCTTCAAGTTCTTCTATGGAAGGAAATTCCTTTGTAAATGAATCAGAATTTAAATCATCATTATTCGAAACAGGCTTTCCGGGTGTTGGAACGTTATTTATATTTGCAAACGGATCTGCTTCACTTTTTTCACTTTCTTTAAATATGTCTTGCTTTGCCGTACTTTCTTCAGTATTTTGAATTGACTTATTAGTTTGATCATTACTAACCACACCAAAAGGATCATTGAAAGTAGAATCAAAGGGATTAACTTTATTATTTTCAGCATTGGCTGTAATCTCTTGTGGAGTATTCAATATTTGATCGCTTAAAAAGTTCTCGAATTCGGATGGTTTAGAACTTGCTACCGTTATAGGTTTATCAAACGAAAGTTCATCAGATTTGTTATTATTCAAAGGTGCTGATTTGATGCTTGAAGTTCCTAAAGTCGAATTAGAAGCTGTGGATGTATTTGACATTGATCTTTTTACACGAGATCCACTTATTGAAGATAGAGACCCATGGTGGCTATGATTAGATGGTTTTTGAAAATCATTGAAGTCAACAATCGGTTGAGAAGTTGAAATTCCTGGCCCTTGCGTGGTATTTGATGGATTAAATGCTAGAGGTGTAAAAGCCCCATTACCAAATGGATCATTAATTTCATCCGATGATAAGTTCTTGTCTTCGAAGCCTTGCAAGGTTTTAAATGCTTTTTCCTTTTCTCCTTCAACAGCCGATAACTGCTTCCTATTAATATCCAGAATTCCCTTTTGTTGTTTTTCATCTTTTTTGTACTTTTCTATCTCAATTTTAATTGACACAGTTTCCTCTTCTATAATTCTCATTCTTCTCTTGATATCAAGTGTTTCATCACGATCTTTCTGAATATTAGCTTGCAATTGATCTCTTTCTGATTGCAATGCTTTAAAGGCATTTTCTGCCTGTAAAAGTTCTTGTCTAGCCCGCTCGACACTTTCATGTTCTAATTCATATTTGGCTTGAACTTCTCGCATAGCTTTGGCTTCCGATTCATATAATGTACGAATTTGCGAAAGCTGTGTCATCATATCTTGCTTTTGCGTAACTAATGAAGAAATATTAGAGTCTACATTCTCCCGATTAGTTTTAAGATCGGTAATAGCTTTGTTCAAATTTTCGGACTGTAATTTGTAATTTTTTATTTCACCGCTCTCGAGTGCAATCTTGGTACTTATATCGGTGTCACCAAGCAAATCAAATTCGTTCCCGCCTGTCACAATTTGAGAAAAATAAGTATATTATTAAAGCTAAAAGTTACTTTATTAATTTAATATTAATAAATATGATAAGGAATATTTTACTTTGAGAAGCTGTACTTGAAAAAAATGGACTAGGTGAGGCAGCGGCGGTGTGTTGTAATGATTGTAATGATTCAAAAAATAAATCCGATTCACTTGGTTGAGAAGTATGTGGTCTACTTGGTTTATTACTCATCGTTGTTGACCTTTTTAAATCATTAAATGGGCTCGCTATACTCGGAGAAAATAATGAACAAATTTATACAAATATTAAATCTTGTGTAAAGAATGATAATGTAAGACAAAAACTTTATAAACCATTACCAGTCACAGGTCGCATTGATGGCGGAATTAGACTATCAGGTAAACGTGTAGGTAATGGTACACCAGCCATTTTTTTAGTAATTAAATGCATAGCGACTGCAAATTCATCTCTACTGAGACGACCAGATTTATTAATGTCTGCAAGATCCCTTTAAAAAGATTTAAATAATAAATTTTAATTTTTTTCTTTTTTCTTTTTAAATGATAAAAATAATATCAACCATATCTGAGCCAACTGATCGTGATGCAGTTTTGACTTCATAAAGAAATTTGCAGCCCCTTCACCTGTAGTATTTCATATTTTTCTAAAAGTTAATTAAAATACCCTAGCTTTTGCTATTCTTAAACTCTTAACCAAAGAAAAGATAGCACGACATAAAAACCTGTAATATAGCCATTTTTATTTTCTTCATCAAAAAGCCGATCAAATGATGCTTTCTCTCTTTCAGTCACATCCCATGAATTATCCTGAAAAATAGAGGGTGTTATTGTACCTGAATCTAATGTCATGTGTCTTGTAACTGGAGATTGTCCTGGTCTAGGTGAACTCAAATTTCTAGCAAAAATCGGCGGAGAAGCCGGAGTGTTTATTTCTGTCCCTGATGCCATTTCATAAAATCCGTTGGGGAGTTCAGAAGGAAGTGTTTTAATTGAACCCTTCATAGTTTGTTGTATAAGGTGCATAGCTATAATAAACTCTGGCAAATCCAATTTTCCGCGCACTTTCGTATCGGCCAATGTCCTTAATAATTAATTAAATAAAACAATTATTCATTTTAATGAAAAGAAAGTAATGCAACACTAAAATAAATACCAAATCTGACCAAGCTTTTCAACATTTAACTTTGATCTCATGAAAAATTCTTTAGCTTTTCCACCTGAATAATAATAGTGTTAATCAATCAAAGACAAAATAATTTACATATTTAAAAAACTGAAATACCCTCTAAAATGCCATTAATCGGATTAAGCTTATAAAACATGTCTTTATATTTTTCACGATCTTCATCTGTAATAATTTGTCCCGGCTTTTCATATGGTTCAATGTCAATACCCTCAAACCGAGGGACAGGTACTTCTAATATATAAACAAAAAAAAATCAAAATTTTATCGTATGTGCAATTATAATAATAAATATTGTCACAGTATTCTTATTTACCGGCGTTAAGGTTAGACGGATCAGGCGATTTACCACTTTGTACCTGAGCGATCAACTTTAAAGCAACACTAAAAGTTTGTTGTGTTAAAAAACCTTTATTTTCATTATCGGCAATTTGCCAGATCTATATGAATTTTATTGATAATCAAAAAAATTTTTTAGTCAGAAATAATTAAAATTGCATCAATTATATGCTAATCATTTACATACATTGCTAAGAACTGATGATGGCAAATGAGATTTCACAAAGAGTTTAACAGCATTTTGTCCAGAAATCACACCTTTGTTCTCTTCATCAGCAACTTGAAAAAGTTGGCTATATACACGTTTTTCTTCACTTGAAAGAGTAATTTCTGGCCCTTTTTATTAATAAAAAAAGAATTATAATTCAAATACTTTTCTTGAACGCTTGTTAATATATAAAAGCATTGTTTGTTAAGAAGTTATTCTTTTTCGCATACCCTTGGTTTTAATAAGGGAAGGAGACCGAGAAAGATCCATAGTAATATTATAAACGATATATTGTTTCGATCTTTATAAAAATGTTAATAAGCTTCAATGCCAAAAAGTAAATGTTCAATTATGATAAAAAGCTTATTGTTTACTTGCAATAAAAGAAAGTTGTAAGAGTTGGATTATGTAGTATAAAGATAAAAGTTTAAACGTCCTGATCTGCTCAAAATTTGATCGTCGACAAATTTTCTAGAATCTCGACTCAAAATGGAAATATTCTAGTAAACATTATAATTTAAGTTTAAAATCTAAATCAGTTATATTTTATGCTTTCATTATGGAAGGAACCAATTTTTCAACCGAAAAACTTTTACGTGGCAAATTACAAACTTTTCAAAACGATTTAAAGGATAACGTTGCAATAAAAGAATATTTTGTTCCTACTGGGACAAAGAATTCAAAAAGAGCAAGCATTTCATTGAAAGTCTTAGTATCTCATTTTTCTACATTTCAACCACAGGATGATTTGAAGCTAGATAATAAACAACAAATTTATTTACTTACAACAATTCAAAAGTTTATTATTTCACTTTTGAAAGGTTATACTATTCAGGACTTTTTTGATGCTATTTTAAAGAATGAAGAAGTTGATTTAAGAGTAAGATATTCGAATTGGAAAGATTTTATAAGTTTGATATGTTCTATACCTGAAAGATCCGCGAATTTGATGGCTTTGGATAAGAGCTCAGGATACACGGAAGAAAATAATTTTCTCAATGAAGCGTATCCCGTTAGATATTCAAAATATTTAAACAAAATAATTTATTTTATCTTTAATGTTACGAATAATAATCTGATAGAAATTTATTTGATAAGTTTACGACTGATAGTGAACTTCTTATTTATAATAAAAGTGGAAAAAGTGATTTGGAAGGCATGTATTACAACTTTATTGAAAATCTTGATTATGTTGAATCAATAATTTCAATAAAAAAAAAATCTTACCTAAATTTTTTCGTTAATTTTATGGACAATAAACTTTTAGAAGATGAGACTAAGTTATTAGTATTTGCATGCAGTGAATTATTTTCCAAAATATGCAGAATTGGACACTCAAGTGTGAAATTTATTTGGGAATTTGTAATTTTTTTTTTTTTTTTCAAAAAGAGAAAGCATTTACCAATTACCATTTTTTTATAAAAATTTAACTAACAACAGAAATTCTCGCGCAAATGGTTTATTCTAAGCTACTAATTCGTCTTCATAATTCCACATCTCATATATATTACAAGATCTGGAGAAACATCATTTCATCATTTTCGTCACATACTGTTGAGCTATTTCTTACTGCTTTTCTTCTTAATTCTCAAAGTCAAGATCTTTCAAAGATTACAAATCCTGTATCTATTGCAGATAAATCGCGTTATCTAATACGCAAAGTCGCTACTTTGCTCAGTTTATTAATTGAAAGGGATAAAAGCGAAAATATATCATATTTAATTAAATTTAAATATTTTATTGGAGGAAAATTATTTCATATTAGCATTGTAAGAGTTCTTTGTTGTTTCTTGAGTTGGGGTGAACTTCAAGATCAATTCGATGATATGTTACGAAAGATTATTTGTCAAACAGACAACCTTAAATTAAATGTTAATGATGGTATATATTACTTTTTTCTTCTTAAAAGAAAAATTTTTATTATTTCCGAGCGTAATTTTAATTTCTCTTAATGTTACTTCTGAAAATAGATCTTACACAATTACTTAAGACACTCATATCATCTTGGTCCGATCCCACGTTTATTAAGCACGCGTCGAATTCCACGCAAATATGTATGTTTATCTATTTAAAAATGATTAATAGAATAATAATGTTAAGTCAAATCTATTTTCTTAACAGACATTACAAGCGTCATTCTGATAATCTTTGGATATCTTCCAAAATATACTTTGATAAAAGCCGCTATTTCAAGGGAAATCACACCTGGAATCACTCAATGGTTACAGAGTACATCTGAGGAATCGAGGAAGCTAGGAATGGTCCGTGTATAATTCATCTTTTGTTTTCTTATATAGGCTCAAATATGGGTAATTGAGATTTACGCGTTTGTGACAAGTATCATACAGATATAAATAAATAACGTGTTTTTTAAAATGGATAAATAGGTTACTGCAGAAATGTTATCAAAATTAATTGATGTATCAGAAAATGTTTTAGACTTTGAATTAAATCCTGAAGATAAAGACGTGAAATATTTAAGACAATTGGTTGAACTTAAGGATGGAATTGTAAACCTGCCCGATATCGACTACGAAGAAAATGTTGAAGGTATATGCTTTGTATAATATATCTACTCTTCTACCTTTCTATCTTTTCATTTTGAAATATTTAAATATTTATTTTTTTCTGATAATTTAAACGACGAATCGATTTTAGAAAAATTCTCTTATCAAGAGAATGAAAATACAATCAATAATGAACTCGAATCGGCTACACATCAAAATGAAGTCAAGAGCGGGGTCTCCGTCAAGATTGGTTAAAATAATTTTTTTTCTTTCAAGAATTGTTAAGCAAAAATAAATTATAACTATTGACGTTGTAATATATTCTATGAAATAGAGAATATTAACGAAAGTGTAGTTGATTCTGATGATGAAGACGACTTTGTTCCCTATCCGATGAAAGAGGAAAGTGATGATGATGATGATGACAATGTTGAATCAATGCCACAAACAAAGAAGAAAAAGATACTCTCACCAGTGTATTTGATGTTTCTTTTTTATTTTGTAAAAACTTGTTGCGTTTTATATCTCATATACAAAATTCAAATTTTATATAGTTATATTATAGATCTATTATTTTATCTAAAAGCTTCAGATGACCCGGATAAATTAGAGGTAGCATTAAAGGCTGCCGAAAATTTGATTAGGGAAAAATCAGAATTTGGAATGGAGTTAGGTTGCATATAGCTTCCTTCATTTTTTTTTTTTAATTTATTTTATTCTGCTAATAAAAACAAATCTATTATTCAAAGATGATCATGCCGTAGAATTAGCCAGGATCCTCATTGGATTGCAAAATAACTTTGATTTGAATAGATTTGAAGAGAACAGACACGCAGCGATGGTCGCACTTATATGCGGAAGTCCAAAAATTGCTGTACCGTAAGTTAATTCGATGCAACGTTCCAATTTGTTACATTACTTTTCTGTTAATTTATATATATATATATATATATAGCTATATTATTCAACAATTTTTCGAAAAGAAATATTCTCTTGCCGAAAAGTATATGATTTTGTCAGTATTATCAACAGGAGCGAGAGAATTAGCTGGACTACAAGTAAAAAAGGTTATTTAGGTTTATTTTTTGTCTCATCATACTTTATCGTTTATTAAAATATTTTAACTTTTATTCAAGAACATTGAAGATAAGAAAGAATTGGATACTTTGTCTCAAGAAATTAGTAAACTTAATCTTATTCCTCTAAAAACTTTAAAAAATGATAAAGTTCGCAGGTTTTCCAGTAAACCTTTGGTCGAATCAATGCGTACAACTTCTGTTAATAGGTTTAATGAATTGGCGGCAAAAACTTTCTTTTTCCCACTGACGACTGGATTTTGGAATCTTGCACGTGATAGGTAGAAGATAATATCAACAATTTCAGTATGATGAAAAATTTTTAATTTCCGTTGACTCGTCTTTTTTTTAGGAGTCGTGGTAATTTTATGAATGATCCTACTTTAGTTCAAAGATATGTCACTACGTTAGGTATGATTGTTCAATGTTCAAGTAAGTTTTCTACTTTATAATAATAAAAAATATTTTTTTGAAAATTTTAATAACAAAACTCACTTTCTTCTTAATATAGTAAACACTATTTCTCTTTCACAAATAACGCGTGAATTTTGGGATTTGATATTTTCTTTGAGATTTTTTGATGATCCAGCTGTATTGTCTTCATTATTGTTTGGAATAAGTGCGATACTTAACGTATTATCAGAAAGAGAATTAGCGGAATCATTCGGTAAAGAATTGGTTGAATCACAACAATGGGTTACAAGTAGGTTAATTCTTAATCTTCTTATAATTACAATTGGACTTATTAATATTAATAATAATTTCGTCAAAAATTTTTTTTAAAGCTATATTTGAAAGTAAAATAAACGAACAAGTACAATCAATGGCTGCGTGGGTTTTAGTTAAAATCAAAGAAATTATTAAAGAATATCAAGTATTATTAATGGGAAACTTATTACCAATTACATAATTAATAATTTAAAATTTTCGAATTATTACAAGTACAAATAAATAGCATAATATTTATTCATAATTTCCAAAAATATACTTTTTTTTTTACACTTACAAATATTACACAATATGTTATCACAATGTCTAAATACAGTTGTTGGACACAAATATATCACAGAAATAGCAATAATTTAAATTTATTAACTTCTACAAATCCATCTCAAAAGAAAAATCCTAACCAAAATAACTTACGAAAGGAGCAATCATTATAGTAAATCCAACAGTAAATACCAGTATACAAATATCTTCCCAGAGACTATTCCAAATTAAATTATATCTTAATAATACAGTAAGTACATCAGAAAATGGTGCAGGTAATTTACGTGCAAATTGAACTAATGTCGAACTTTGAAATACTCGATCCTATTATATAATATTAAATTATGTTAAGTATATACAATATTATGTCTAAGTATTGATGAATTTAAAAATTATTAATTATTACCTGTTGAAAGAATATTCTAGAAGATTGTAATATAAGTTCCACAGTTATAAAATACCAAAATGCGCCCTGTTTTAATAAATTAATGTAAAAATTATTCAATATATGCACAAGAAAGTCTTTAATTACAGATTTACTTAAAAATACTACCATAGATGGAATCCTTTCAGCAGCGATTATATCTTCAGGTCTTTCATAATTTAATAAATAAAATCTGTTCCAAGCACCTTTTTCTCTCAATGATTCTTTCCAAACAATTAAACGACCCAACAATATCATTGCAACAAAATGTATAACTTGCCATAATTTCGATTGTAAATCCAAATTTTGTTGTTGATTTGCACTTCCAAATGGACTAAAAAATTGTTGAAAAGGAAAAGGAATTTGTTGTAATTGCTGTTGTTGTTGCAAAATATCTTGTTGAACATATTCATCCTGTGCAGTTAAAAGTGGATTATATTGACATTCACTACCTCCAATAGTTGAAGCTAATGAAGTAGTACTGCTATTTCTTCTCTGATAATTTCCTGCATTTAAGTTATTAAAAAATTGACGAATATGTTCATCTTGATCAATGTATCCATTTGGTTCATCTTCACCTAACAAATCGGATGTTGTTGGTATTGTTGGTATTGTTGGAGAAATCGAAGTTGGTAGAGAAAATCTGGGTTGTGTTATCGGACGAGCTGATTTATTATCCTCCTGTGAAAAATTTTGCGGTAATGGTCCTCCAGACCATTCTGGAGGGTCGGCATCGCTACTAACTCTTACACGAGGAAATGTTCTTTCAGTAGCTATACTTGCATCTGATTGAGTCGACGTTAAAGGTTCTACACAAGAACCAACCATTTTTTAATGGATTCGATGTTTTATAGTAAGATCATCATAAATAATATTAACAAAAATTTTTAAAATTAGAAAAAAATGATAATTTATTAATATCTGAAAATATTTACAATTTTTTTACAACTTTTTACTATTTAAAATTTTTTTTTTTTTTATAAAGTAAAAAAAAAAAAATATCTTGATTCAAAATTCAATTATTCTATCCTTCTAAACACACCATTATGAATCTATCCTTTCGCAATCTAATTTAAAAATCACGTACCAAGATTTCCTGTATTCCTTCTTCTTGGAGAGAATGGATTTTCTGGTGGTTCAATACTAGTTGGAGAAGATTTTAGACTAGGTTGAGGAGACGATTTCCTACTAACAAAAGGTGAACTTAAAGTAGAAGAAGTTTCTCCTAATGTATTTAAACTAGTACTATGAGTGGCTGTTATACGATGCAATCTACTACCAGCATCATTTAAGATTTTTCTTTCTCTTCTTGCTCTACGCCTTTCAGCATCACTAACAGATCTGCTCTTTTTGGGTGGGTTAGGTTGTTCATTTTCATTAACATTTGAAAGATTTTCTACATTTGAACTTTCTTCTGTCATAATTTTACAAAATTTTTTTTTTTTTTTTGAAAAAAAAGTAAAAAAAAAAACTATTAACAAAATGAATTTTTATTGCCTATTGTTTTCGAGAATGAAAAAAAAATTTTTTAAATTTGAAATCATATGATTATTGTGGCTTAGCAAAAAAATTTATTTTAGCTTCCAAGATCGGAAATTATTTGTGTCCGATCATTATACACAAAAACAGCTGAGTGTTTCACAAAAGAAAAAATTTTTTTATATGAATCACGCGTTTAGGAAATAAAGTTTACTAAGAAATCAAAAGAAAAATTGATGAATCTTTATTTTGTGTAACAAATAAGTTTTCTCTTTTTAGCGCCACAGTTTAAAAATTCTAACTAAGTTAAATCGGCCCAAACATTTTTGGTTGATTTAAACTCGTAAAATTCCATAAAAACTTGCTAAATGCTTAGATAATATTGCTCGGGAACAAAACAACCGAGATTAAATTAATTCATTAGATGAATCAGGAAATTAATGCTTACCATATTTCTTTTTGAGACATTTTGGTTAAAATCTCAGAAGGGAAATCTGGGAATGGTAAACTTGATATCATAATAATTTATATGGTAAGATGCATATAAATAACTTGATCAGATATATTATTAACAAGAATTACCTGATAAATTTAAGATTTTATGTCCAAATCCTTTAAGAACATCATTCTTAATATTTATAGGTAGCATTATCCATTCGTACACTGAAAATATACACAATAATATAATTTGATTTTGGATAATAGCCTTAGATCCCACAATCAAAGGAAATAAGGACGAACTTACACCATTAATTTAATTGAATTGAAAAGATAGTGATCAAATCGATTAGAAACGTTCAGATATATTGTTATTATTAATGAATCTCGAATTTTGTTGTTTGTGGGTAAGGGAGAGGGAGGGAGAATAATGCCATACAAATTATTCGCTGAAGTACAAAAATAAACCCCTTAGTCTACCAAATTATGAAAATAATAATAATAAAAGAAATGATAGAAAAGAAAAAAAAAATTAAAAATAAAAATGATTTTGTTTTTGCCTCCAGAATGGATCGGCGGGAATACAGAAATGTCTATCAATGAGGATGACGCGTCTTTTTTTGGTGATGTAATCTAAGAATCCAAGAATGATGAACAATTGCGGATGGTCGGAGCTTTTGTTTTTCATCGGCGCTTCCTGTTGTTCTGACAATAATAACCCCGACGAAAAAGGACCGTAAATGTGCAAATCGTAATCTTCATCAAACAAACGTAGATTTGATTACTATATGCACAAAATGCACAAATCTTAAAGAAAAAAAAAGATGAAACACGGACATTAAAATCCATGTATATCGTTTTTTATCTCGTAGAACTGTTACTTTCAAACCTATGAGAAGTAAATTTGTACAAGAAGATTCTTAACAATAACCCTAGATCCTTGAAAGAGCACGAAACTGCGCCTCCACAGCCTCTAGTAACTATCACCACTGATTCGTCCTAAGACCTCTTTGAAATATCAACACTTTTGGTTTACCCGTAGCGTTAATTATAATCGCTAGCCAATCCAAAGAGTTAAGTTGCCCAAATTTACACTTGAAAATACCACAGAAAACCCCTATAAGCATCCAGCGAACATAGTAAACAAAGCCTCCAATTTCCCACTGCCCTTACGTATTACTCGTCATAATCATCATAGTCGTCGATTTTTTCAGCGCAAATACAGCGTCTTGCACGACGACATTCCGGACTCCACATAGCGCCGCATCTTTTCTTCTTTTTGATAACTACTTCAAATTCGCTTTCTTCTGAAGCATAAGAATCTGAATCTTCAACAGAAGAATCAGAATATTCATCTGAGGAAGAAGAAGAAATGTCTGCTTCATACTCACTATTGTCAACTTCCGAAAACTCGAGTGTTTCAATCGACTCAACTTCTAGTTTATGTGGAGCGACTGATTTATTGAGGTCCATTTCTTGAATATTATTATAATCAGCTATGATAGGAGTTTCTGTTGTATAAGGTTCAGATAAATTGAAGGGGAATAACTCCAAGAAAACTTCCCACTCATAACTGGATTTTTGTCTCTTTATTGGAATTACTAATTCCTGCAAGAGTTGGGGTTCAACTTGTTCTATACTTCGTTTTACTTGCATATTAAAGCTTGCTTTAAAAAAAAATTATTTTAAAAAAATTTTTAATATATTTAAAAATACTTTTTTTTTTATTAATAAAACAATTTTCCTTTTAAAACTCTAAAAAAAAACGCGGGAGTAAAAATGAGGGAAAAAAATTTTTTTTCAGTCGGATTTTTTTTTTGGGAAAATGAAATAAAGACGAGATCATCAATTGATTGGTTGTTCAAACAGGTTACACGCACTGAACCGATTTTAGTTTACGAGGTCAATTAATCAGCCTCGAATTTCATCATAAGTTCTTTGATAATCTTCCTCATTAAAAAGTTCTTTTGGATAGTTTTACTTATTTAAAATGGGCAAATCAAAAGGTCAGGGAGGAAGTAGTAAAGGAAAAAGTAATAAAAAAACCGCGGATACTGAGGGTATGTTTGCGTTTAATTCCTTTTAATTCAATTTATTCTTTAATTTTAATTAACGTTTCAATAGAGGAAAGTTCAGGAAAATCTAATAAATTAAAAGCCGCAAACAGTGTGAAAGTAATTAAAATTAAATTTACCACAGCAAGTTTAGCCAACTATCAACCATTTACTTATCCTTAAAATGGAAAAATTGTTTTTTTCATTGCAGGTTAGACATATATTGTGTGAGAAACATTCCAAAGTAACTTGTGAACATTTATTTTTTTTTATTTAATATAATTTTGCATATAATTCAATTATTTTTCCTTCAATTCAAATTTTATAGATCATGGAAGCTTTAGATAAATTAACGGTTGAAAACATGCGATTTGATAAGGCAAATGTTAGACTATTATATCAATATCATAATTAAGACTTTTATTATATAATCGTTATCTTATTCTTTATTAGGTTGCGGAATTATATAGCGAAGATAAAGCGAAACAAGGAGGTTAGTAATATATTAATGAATAGTTTTAATTGGGTCACATGAAAACTTTGGGGATTTTTGGCTTGAATAATAAATAATATTTAATGATTTCTAGGTAGTTTAGGTTGGATGAACCGCGGATCGATGGTAGGAGATTTCCAAGATGCCGCGTTCGCATTACAACCAAGCACATTAGGTACATTAATTGTTTATCTTTATCAATTATAATTTATTAATTTGCAGATTTATCTCACATTTTAATAATATTTATTATTAGACAATCCAATTTTTACAAATCCACCGGTATGTGTATAGTAAAAAATATTAATATATAATAATATATAATGGCTGATCTGTATTTCTATTTGTTAATAAACAGATAAAAACAAAATTTGGATACCATATAATATTGGTTGTAAGTTATTATATGAAATATGAAATATAATATAATTATTTAATATATTTTTAATTTTTTAATTTTTTATTAATTTGATATTATTAGGAGGGTCGAAAATAGTAATTTAATATGTATAATAATGTACATCTTACCGCGAAATATATTGTATGTAAGGAATTTTTGGTCTTCGAAGATCTATGATAATTCACGTGAGTTTTATATTCAAGCATCAACATGTGAAAGACTGTTATTCTGAAACTGTGTTCCAAATAAACCAGAAAAACGGTTAATCACGTGATATATATTAGCATTACATAATATTTTATTTTTCCGAATTTATAAGAATTACAGTTACATTAAAGGTTTTCGTGACAAAATAATTATTTAAATGGGGTGATTTTTCTTTTCTTTTCGTTTGCTTAAAGCTTTTCGAATTACTTAATAAATTGCTAATAAATTTCATAAATCAATTCAAGTCAAATGATAATGTAAAAAATGCTTATCCATATTCGTTTATCTTAGTATTGAAATTATTTAATACAAGAAAATAATACCGAAGAAAATGAGAAAATGACGAGCTCAATTGTTGTCATTTACACAGATATCATGGGGTCCAAATATACTTCCACACATGACCTCTAAGACTGCATCATCATTTTATAGTATCACCCATGTAATGTACCCCTCAAATTCGATATATTATAAGCCTTTAATTTACACATGCTAAATTATTTATCTTAATGCGCGTTTGATTGTCAGCAATCAAAAAATTCTGATGTATGCACTCGAAAAGCCAAAAGTCCCAAATTAAATGAAAAACCTTGGGAAAAAATGATCCTTTTATCTCCGTTCATCCAAATAAAGAAAGAAGATTCTATTATTATTTATTATAAACCAAAGTATATTTTTACATTATTTCGAGAATAAAATTTAATCGGAGACAATAAAAAAAGAAAACATCATTGTTTAATAATTTACGTTATCAGATATTTCATTTAAAATATGTATTATATAAAGTAAAAGTATCATCAAAGGTCATCAAAGTTCAACGATGCATGCATGTTAAAATTAATTTAAACTTATTTAACTAATTTAAAATTTTTGAGATTATCTTTATTTTTAACTTCTTTAAAAAGAAAATTTTTTTTTTTTCTTAAAAAAAAAGAAATAATAGTATCGATTTATTAACCGATAAAAGAAAATTTCATAAAACCATTTTTTCTTTTAGGTAAAATAAGTTGGTCATAAAATTTTATAATGTAGTGACTCACTTAATATGCGGAACGCTTGTACCTAGACATACATCCTTTAGACATACCTAAACATCCGGTAATATTAAAATCGAAAAATAAAGTTTATTTAAACAAAGCCCTTCAAATTTATAAGATATTCATGAGATTTTTTTTAAAACTTGATTTATTGATTATATTAATATGCTTAGACTAATGCTTTAACTTATGCTCGTAGTTTTTTTTATCATTGATTTATGTTCGCTATGCAACAAACTCAATATGTATTTACTTTTTAAAGCTTCATAAAATAACCTTATTCAATCGCAGAAAAAAAAACCAAATTTGACATCATACATTTAGCTACATTGGGAGTTTATTAGATAATCTCAATTTATTATATATATTGAGCCAAAAAACAAATAAATAAAAAAAAATTAAAAAAAAAAAAAAATCATAGTGTTGTTAACTCGTTGATTTATTATTAAAAAAAAACATGAAAGACATAAATAATATTGAAACCTTAAATGATATGTTTATGAAAGATGATGATGAATTATCATTGTTGTCGGTGGATACGGAATTTTCATTTTTCGCAACATCGAATCATACATCAACAAATTCGAATTCTCTTACATCGATCACAACGCATGGGATAAATGAACAAATGGATAACATTGAATTACATATATTTAAATTAAATGATCCATCAATTATCAATATGATGGAAAAACAATTATGTAAAGTGAATGGTATAGAAAATGTTGAAATTAATTTTGCAACAGGAAATGCTCTAATAAAATATGATAAAAATTTATTAGGAACAAGAGATATAATAGAAAAAGTTGAATGTTTGGGATTAAAATGTAAATTCATTAATAATGTTAAATTAAATCAATTGGAATATTTTACTAGAAGAAAAAGTATTTTAAAATGGAGGAATGCACTTTTTTATTCTTTATCATTTACTATACCAATTATTATCATTTCCTTGATACAAAGTATTGTCGATATAGAATTATTTCATGGTTTATTCATTGGTGATTTAATCTCATTTTTATTAAGTATTCCTGTACAATTTGGATTTGGAAAAAATTTTTATATTAGACCATTTAAAGATCTTAGATATGGAAAATTTACTACGGATATGTTGTTCATAATTACTACTTTATTATTATTCATTATTTCTTGTGTCTCAATGATTTATTCAATTTTTAGCACGAATTCATCACATCCTTTGATAATGTTTGATATATCTACCACGTTAATAACTTTCCTTATGTTAAATCATTATTTAGAAAATATGATCAAAAGAAAAAGTTTGAAATCTATAGCAAGATCATTATCCCTTATTCCTGAAATAACAACTATTATTTATATTAATTCTAAAACTGGAGAAATCACTGGAAAAAAGACCATTCCAACAGAATGTTTACAAGTAGGTGATATAGTAAAAATTACACCAGGAACTATTATTCCTTCGGATGGGAAAGTTATATCAGGAGTTTCTGACGTAGATGAATCAATTATAACTGGAAAAAATATTATTAATAAAGTATTAAAAAATGTTCGTCGTGGTGATGAGGTTTTTGCTGGAACAATTAATGGATCAGGATACTTTGAAATGCAAATTGTACGCGTAGGAAATGATACTATTTTATCACAAATTATTAAATCTGTTAAAGAAGCTCAAACGAATAAAGCACCCATTCAATTATTTGTGGATAAATGTATAACTTATTTTATTCCTATAATTATATTATTAGGAATCATTTCTTTTATTTTATGGGGAGAATCAAGTATCTCAATTATAATTATGGCTTGTCCTTATATATTAACTTTAAGTAGTTCAATAATTGTTATGATTGGTACAGAGATTGGAACTCAAAATGGTATATTAATTAAAGGAGGAAGAATAATTGAAGTTGGATCCAAAATAACAGAAGTAGTTTTTAATAAAACTGGTATATTAACTCAAGGAAAATTTGATGTGGCTCACTATGAACTGAACTTATCAGAAATCACTCCTGAAACATTTTTTACAATTATTGAGGCTGCAGAATCTTCAAGTGATCATCCAATAGGAAAGGCTATAGTTGAATTTAGTAAACAATTATTAAGTTCAAATGAGAATGAATATGATATTGATATTAATAATTTTGAATCCATGCCGGGACATGGAATTAAATGTGATGTTTTACTTAATACTTCCGCTCGTTTTTCATCTTACGCTACATCAAAAGTTTATAACGTTTTAATCGGAAATATTGAATTTATTTCACAATTATATCAAATTGAAATTCCTCAATCAGCTTTGATAATTAAAGAAAAACAAGAATTATTAGGTAGAACAACAATATTTGTCGCTATTAATGATTCTTTTATGGGTTCATTATTTCTATCGGATTCAATTAAACCTGAATCAAAATTAACTGTCGATGCATTAAAATCTATGGGATTAAAAGTTTCTATGATAACTGCAGATCAAAAATTGACTGCTCAATCGATTGCTTCTAAATGTGGTATAGACGTTGTTTATTCACAACTTTCATCAAAAGGAAAATTAAATATTATTCAATCATTACAATTGTCAAATGAAATAGTAGCGATGGTAGGAAATGCTGATGATACAAATGATTCTTTAGCATTATCAAAAGCTGATATTAGTATATCATTATCTTCTTTAACCACGGATTATAACATGGATTATTCTGCTGATATTATGTTCATGAATGGAAATTTGTTAACTGATATAATATCTTTATTCGATTTTTTAAGAAAATTATTTAATCGAATGAAATATAATTTTATTTATATCGGTTTATGTAATTTATTATCAATACCTATAAATTTATTATTGTTGTTGTTAGGTTTTTATTTAAATCCTATTTTGGCTGTTATCTTCATTTATTTAATTAGTTTGCCTGTTGTATTTTCTAATTTGTTATTAAAATCTTGGGAAAAACCTCTTTGGATTAGAATTTCTGAAGATAATGTTGTTAAATTGGAAAATAGAAAAAATTATATGCCGGTAAATATCAGTAATAGTAATAGATTAATAGATTGGTTTAGAAACAAAAAGTTGAAGTTGATGGAAACGATGTTTGGCACTTGTAATGATTCTAGAGTAGAAAACGAAAATATTATTCGGGTGTAAATGTTGGATTTTAACTCAAAATTTTTTTGGTTTTTTTTTTAATAAATATTCATAGAATACTTGTACATTAAAAATTTTAAAATAATAAAAAGTGTAAAAAGATAAAAATGATGTGACTTGATTTTTAACCAATCATATTGAAGGAAGAAAGATAAGACAGATAAGACAGGTTAATCATTCAAAATCATCATTCCTGAAAAAATGTCCTCTCAAAACAATGATGATTCTAAAATTCAACGTGCTCCTACTAGTGAAGAATTAAAAAAATTTGAATTTATTCAAGTCCTTAATGAAGGTGATTATTAAAGTTGGTCTAAAAAAATTAAACATTTATTAAAATATTATTTTTTTTTTTTTTCGTCAAAGACCCTCGTACAAAAGGAGTATGCATTTTAGGAAAACTTAAATCTTCATCATCATCTGAAGACCCAAAAGATGCAATATTGTTATTAGAAAAATTACATTTTGGCAGTCAAGAACTTCCTAACCTTTTAAAGGAAAGAATTCTTCAATGGATTTCCACAGATAATAATGACATATACCATTGGTACAATGGTTTATTGACAAAGGACGAAAAATTTCCAGATTTCAAAGCTACGCTTATTTGGCCTGCTACTGAAGCGGTAAACTCTTTTCTTTTATCATTGGTTAATATTTACTTTTAATGATATGTATAAATTTTCAATAGCATATACGAAAATACAGTTTTCAACCTCGTTTCTTAATTCGAGAAACTCCTCATATTTACGAAACAATCGTTAAACCTTATATTGAATCTATACCTACAAGCAGAATTCAATGGGTTTACAATATTTTGTCCAAGAAAAGTGAATCTGAAAGGATCGTGTTAGAAGTTGAAGAAGAATCAACTGGATTTATTTTATTACCGGATATGAAATGGGACACTGTAACGTTGGAAAATCTTTATCTTGTCGCCATTGTACATAGAAGAGATATTCGTTGTATACGTGATTTAAATGACACGCATTTGCCATTGCTTAAGAATTTAAGACGTCAAATTCTTCATTTCGTTCCACAAAAATATCCTGGAATAAGATCTGATGAATTACGCCTTTTTGTTCATCATTTGCCATCATATTGTAAGTATATGTACGCGAGTCTTATTTTTTTTTTTGAACCGAGTTAAAAAATTCTTTTTATTTCCCTAAATTACAGATCACTTTCATGTCCATGTTACACATCTTAGAAATGATACTATTACTGGGGGAATAGCAATTGCTAAAGCATACCTATTAGATGACATTATAGAAAATTTGGAGAAGTTTGCTAAGGATTATTATAAGAAAGCGACACTAACTTATGTTTTGGGTGAAAATGATCCGTTATTTTCTCAAATGAATGATATTGGAGCAAGGGTTACAGCTGATACTTAATATTAATACAAAATAATTCTTATTGTATTTTTTAATATTATTCAAATTAACAATCTAGAAAGTCAGCTGTCATAAGTAATTCTAAAGCTTGATTTGGTTCAATTTGAAATTGTGGTATTTCTGTCTGAGATCCGGTATATCGAACTTTATAATATAAATATTGACATACTTTCTCCAAGATCACAGCTCTAATTATAAAAATATATAACAAAGTTATAGAGTATGTCGTTAAATCGAATTATCTCGATAAGAATTAAAAAAATTTTCATACGTAATATCTCGAAAATGAACTTCGTTCTGTTCGGATTCCATGAATTGTCCTAAAATAAGTTAACAATACTTTAAAAAGTATTTAAAAAAAAAAAGAATAATAGTTCAATTTTTATTTACCAGGACTTGATAACATGTTCTTTATAGTACCGGAGGCTAACGCAGCATTTCTTTCAATAATAAATTCAAACCCGTCTTTACTTATAAGCTTTACATAATCTGTTGAAGGCTTGTCTGTCCGTGACATCGTTCCAGAGATCTACAGTAAATACGGAAAGGAAATTGCGCAACACTATTTCCTTTATAAAGTAAAATCACATGATTTTAAATAACTGTGTAACGTAATTTAAGCTACTATTGCTATAGCGACTTCTATTTTATTAACAATCTAGCAAAATAAAACATAATTCCTTATCAGTTATCAGAATTATTGTAATAAATAACAAAAAAAAAAAAAAATTAATAAAAACTTTCTATCTTTTTTAAATTAACTTTCAAATCGAAAGAACGATTCGTACCAAAATATACTACTTTAGCAGGACTAATTTTATCAATTAATTCAACATTATATTTTCTAAATAATAATATTAATAAACATTTTAATATAACTATAGCCAATTTTTTTCCTGGACAATTTCTAATTATACCATCACACCAAGGTATAAAACTATTTTTTTCTTTATCATTTTCTTCTTTATTATTATTACTATTATAAAATCGATCCGGAATAAATTTTTCTGGTTCATACCAAGAAATTTTATCTTTATGAAGTTTTTCTTGGTGTAACCATATCGGAGTATCTTTTTCAATTATATGTCCATTAAGTGCTGTTTTAACATGTGTTTGACGTGTTATTAATGGATTTAACGGGATTATTCTTTGTGTTTCTTTAATTATTGCTTCGAGGTATTGGAATTTATTTAAATCTTCGAATGTTATTGGTCGTAAAAAATCGTTGCCCAATACTTCAAAGATTTCTTCACGTAAACGCTGTAACACTCCAGAATTTTTGCAAATATTATAAACTGCAAAACAAAATGTACTAGCAGTCTAAAAAAAAAAAAATAATAATATTGTATGTTAATTATATTATTAAATTTTTCAACAAGAAAAAAAAAATAATAATTTTTCTTTTTCTTTTTACCGGATCTCTGCCGCCAATATCAATATCTAATATAGTTGCTAGAATTTCATGATCAGTCATTGATTTTTCATTATCAAATTCATCAAATCCAAATCCGAACCCGTTTGGATCACGTGGAGTATTTATTGTTAACAAAATATCCAAGAGATCCGTTGAATTGATAGGTTCATTTTCTCTCATTAAATCGATTTCTTTTCTTCTTTGTTTAATAATTTCTAATAAATTATAAAATAACCATTTATTATTTCTTCTAAATTTTTCTGATAAACCTCTAAATCCTGGTAAATAATTTCTAATCAATTGAGGAATTGAATTGGAATAAATTAATGAATTAAAATAAGTTTCAATTGAATTAAATAAATTTAAAGAATTGATCATCTTTTCTCGTGTTTTACTAATACGTTTATCATTATCCTTATTATTATTATTATTAATTGCTTTCATAAAACAATATGATGATTCTTTTGTTGATGTTGATAATATAATATCTGTTAAAAAATGTCTACTCCAAACTGATAAATCTAATGAAATAATATCATTATTCCAATTTAATTCTACTTCATTAAAAATATTTTGAATAGATTTTGTTAAACCTTTTAAAAAATTTATGGAACAAATAGATTTTTCAAAAACTCTTCTATAAATTTTCCATTTTTCATGATCATTATTAAATATAGCACCATAATTTATAGTAATATTATCTAAATCTAATTTAACATCTTTATATTTTGTAAAATAATTTATTGAATTATTATTTTCTTTATATAATTCTTGTATTAATCTTGGTTGTGATATAACAATATTTCTTTGATTTCCTATATAAAATTCCCAGAAATTTCCATGTTTTTTGGTCTGTTCATTAGCAAATTTATTAAATCTTATTCCGATTTGATGTAAATTTCCTATAATTGGTAAAGGTATTGGCCCGGGAAGTGAATTTCTTTTTCCTATAAAATATCTAATATAATATTGTAATACATAAAAAATCAAAAAGGAAATCAAAAATTTCAAAAAGTTTTTTAAAGAAAAAAACTTTATATTTAATAAAAAAGGATCAAACATTATAAAATAAAAAAAGGAACTATAAAGAAAAATATATTAAAAAGAGTTAAAAAGAGAGGTGTATATATTTCCGTCGTTAAGTTAAAGATTTACTCAATTAATTTTATTGGTTTATTTGAAATTTATTTTGTAACACGTTGAAATTAAATGCATAATATAATATAATATAATTAAATTCAAATTAATACAGTACAAATAATGCAGTAGATCATTTTTATACCAAAAAAAGCCATGAATAATAACTTTAAGTAGTAGTAGTAGTCTTCTGTAATTTATCATTATTTTTTAAATTGTCTCCAAATGTTTTTATTTTTACGGAATATTTAGGTTTATTCTCTTGAGCTAATCGTCGTTCTTTAGATTGTTTCAAAGCTTTCTTTGAATCTTTAACATCGGATTTCGTTATACGATGTCGTTTTCTTGAGAATTTCATTGATTGTAATGATTGATGAATGATCGTTTCACAATTTGATTTCATTTCGAGTGCTTCTTGAATATTTAAAAATGTCTCCGATAATCTATAACTGTTTTCATATTTTAATAAAGTAAATTAATAAATAATCATATATTTATTTATTAAAAATGAGACCTATACATGAGAATGTAATAATTCGGCGTAATGGTGAAATATACTACACCAAATTATGATTCATATCACACTGCTGTAATGCCAAATTGGTGTAATGTGCCGAACCCAATTCATCCCCATGTATAGGTATGTAAGACCATGGAATCGTACCTTAGCCACAAATATAACATGATTATACGATGTTTCAATTCAATATGAGATAGACCCAACGTATCTTCTGGTACTTTAACATCAAGAGACACGACTGAATTAAGTGAAATTGGTTTTCGTTCACTGTAATGTTTCGCAAACTATTTATTAAGAAAAAAAAGTAATTTAGTATTTATAAAAATTAAAAAAACAAATGTCGATATTTTTCGTAATACCATTTTGATAATAGTGACAAGTTTTGGATCTGATATATTTACGGGAGATGTTGCGAAAATAAAACGTTCAGGTATAGTCAAATCAACGTGTTCAATCGATTTAGCAATTGCCTAAAATATAATTTATTTTTAATTATTTTGATTTAAAAAAAGAATAAAAAAAAACAACTACTTAATTTACCTTCTGAGTATCAAAATTACACAAAAAAAATTGTCCATCGACACGAGATAAGTCTTCAAATTTTTCCTATATATAAAAAAAGTAAAATAAACGAATTTAAAAAATCTTTCAGGTTAAGCAATAACAATTCAAAAACATACCAAGAGCTTTTCAAATTGTTTAATATCGGGCAATTGATGAGCAAATTGTTCAACCATTTCCATTGTAGGTTGCAATCCTGCAACCTTATTTAATTAGAAGTTAACATAAATATTCTCTTAAAATGACAGAAAGTTTTAAAACGGATAATAAAATAAATACCTCTAACTCAATAGAAGGTGTGACCATTGCTTTTTGGACATATCTCAAATCTTGAGATTCCAAACTATCAAATAATCGATTGTATTAATATTTATTATTATTATTATTAATATGGAAAAAAAACTCTCCTTACGCAGTAACTTCACCAACTGAATTTTCAAACCCATATCGCCCAGCCCGTCCAGCAATTTGTTTAATTTGTGGAATCGGAACATATCCAATATCCTTCCCATCATATTTCCTTACAGTCTCAAACACAATTCGCCGGATATTACTGAAATTCCAAAGGTTGAATTTAAATCTAATTCGTGAATATAAATTCAATCCAGAACTCAAATAACAAAATCTCACAGATTTAAGCCCATTCCGACCGCATCGCTAGCAACTAAAACATCATATCCGCTATTTGGATCATTGAATAACTTAGCCTGCATTGCTCTAGTCTCTTAAAAGTTATAAATATATATTAATATTTTTTTAAAAAAATAATGAATTACATATAAGTATATATGTTACCTGGTGGTAAAGCACCGTAAACAACAGCACATCGAAGACCCGTAGCTGTTTCAATTTCATGTTTAAGACCAAAAATCGCCTTTCTAGAAAATGTTACCACACAATCTCCTTTCTGAATTTTCTTTATATCCCCATTTAGACTTTCATTTGCTACTACAAGTTTTGAAAGTCTGTTATACTCTCTAACTTCGACATCTTCGTTTAAACTAGCACATATTGATTTTACTAATTTAACAGCTGAAGCTTCTCCACATAAATGAATTTCTTTTGCTTGCAAACCCAAGAGTGCCTGAGTCCATGCCCAACCTCTTTGCTGATCAGATATCATTTGAATCTCATCTATTACTGCAACATCTAATGGAGTATTTAAATTAGCCATTTCTATAGTTGAAGCGGTTAAAGGGACATGATCTCCTAATAATGTCCTTCTTTCTTCTCCTGTTACAAGATTACATGGAATACTTTTGTTATTCATCCTATCAAAAATTTCATGAGCAAGTAATCTTAGGGGTCCACAATATATGCCTGATTCAGCTTTTTCTAACTTTTGAAGTGCGTTATATGTTTTCCCTGAATTTGTAGGTCCAACATGCAGGATGATTTTACTATCAATTTGATACATAATTGTTATAAGACTTCAATATTATAGAAAAGATTAATTTATTCATTGTATGAAGCATACCGTTGCATAGCTCTTGCAGACGGATGCCATTCTGCAGGAAAACTCAAGTCACTTAATTGTTTTAGTGAATGATATTTTTCTTTATCCTGCTCTTCCATATATTCTGGAATATACTCCAAAAATGCACTCGTTAATGCTCTTTTTACTCCTTCTTTCTAGATAACAACAATAAGATTAAATCACGAATATATATACTTTCTTTTGATGAATTTGAAAAAAAACTTACCCCATTAGCATTATAAGCAGATTGTAAAGTTTCAGTTTTACATCTGGTAAGTTTATTATCCCAAACTTCGCCAACAAATTTTTGCATTACTTTTTTAAATTTACTAGGTGATAAACCTAATTCTAGAGATTTCTTCTTAATTTCAGTTGAACTTTTAAATCGTAATAATAAATCAGATAGTAAATCTGCGCTCCATTTTACTTTAAGGCCCAATGCTTCTTCAAATAATGATAAATAACTTCTTTTTGTATTATGCTCTTCCTTTTTTTGTCTTGATAGTGTTTTATATAAAGTATTTGATAAGTTCTTTATTACGCCATGGTTTTTTGGTGGATTTGGAGAAGCGTGACGCGATAAAGTTTTTGATGTCGAAAAAGGAGTTATAATCCTATTTTGAAAATAAAAAAACTCTATATTCGGCAATTTTAACTTTGATGTTATTCGGTATGAATTCACGTTTGAAGAAGAATAAAAAACAGGTCTCATTTTTTTTTGAAATAATTTTCCGAAAATCTGGTATCTCAAATAAGATTATCAAACCACCCCCATATTAGGTTATAAGCGTAAACGCAGTATCACACGAGAAATAAATTTTGCGTCGATCGATTTATTATAAATATTTATCCAAAAAACATTCATTTATAACTAATTATCGCTCTTAAAAATGTCCATAAAAACACCGACGAAATATGGGTTTAATACTGACTTTAGTTCTACAACTGATGCGGATGAACTTTTCATAAAGCACAGTATTCCCGAACTTCGGTCCCTTGAGAAAAGAACAAGGTTTGATATTCGTTTACATACCATTTTTTTCATTTTATTTCGCAAATTGTAATTAAATATAATAGATCAGATATCGAGGAAAAGAAGCAAGAATTACGACTTATGGTCGGGTAAGTGACATTGTTATTATCGCGAATTGTTTACATAATCAGAATTAATAAATGACTAAATTATTGCAATTTCAGTGAAAGATATCGTGATCTAATAGATGCTGCTGATAGCATAGTTAATATGCGTAAATGTGCTTTGTCAATTCAAGAAGAATTGCATCATATGCAAGATTCTTGTGATGTTCATGCTTTGAAAAGATCCGTACGAACTCAAGTCAATGAAGACAACAAGGGCACAAAAGGTAGAATGTAAATCTTTTTCTTTGCTTGATTTGCCATAGAAACTTACTGTAGTGTTTTTTATGTATAAAGATGAAAAAAAACATCACCTATATTCTTCGGCTGCACAAATCAAATTACTAGTAGACGTACCTGAGCAGGTATATAATTATTCCAATAAACATTAAAATGATGTAATCATTTTTTTATTCTAAAAAAAAAAAATCTTTTTTAATAGATTTGGAGATCATTGGAAAGTCACAAGTATTTGAATGCAAGTCGTTTATATCTTATTGCCAAGTTAGTGTATAAGAATCTTCAAGCTCATGACGACACTCCATTCAACGTTTCAGTAATTATTTAATTTAATCTTATGTATATAAATAATATTATAAATTTAATTCAATTACCAATCAAATAAATTATTTGTAGGTAACTTTTCCTGTTGTTCAAAGACAATGGGATGCTGTGAGTCATTTTAAGTCACAGATTCTTCAAAAAGCTAGACATTATTTAAAAATAACAGAACAATCTGAGCAGGTAAATTATAAACTAGTATAATATATTTTTATTTTTATAAAATTTTAAAATTCATTACTTACTATTTTAATTCTCTTTTATATAAGAGTCTAGCAGAAACTTTATGTGCGATTATGTTGTTGGATGATGTGACTAAAAAAGATGTATTTCAATTGTGTCTAGATGGGAGAACTTCAGTGTTGTCGCAACTTCTAGAGAAATCAATCACCAAAGATGTGAAATCTTTAACAGAACAATTTAAGGAAATGATTCATATAATTAGAAGCAGTGTTTTTCATATAGGATTAGTTTTTATTCGAACAGGAGATGATCTGTCATTATTTGAATCTTACCTTCACCAGCTTCAACAAGGATTTTCTGTTAATGAGGATAATTTACATACGCCGTCCTCAGTAATGTCACCATGTGACTCGAAGGTTTCACTTACACGGTTATATTCTTCTTCAGCTAACATTCATCTCCTGATGCGTTATTTGCCAGAATCAATTCAGACCTTTACACCATTTTTTCATATGTCAGGGCCCCGTGGAAATTTTACACAAGATGACATTCATGAACGTATGAATGGATGGTTCGATTATATAGTACAATTATTTCGAGAGAAACTTGGAATGCTCCTATCAAAAGTTACATGTGCTCGAGATTTAAATGAATTAAGAAAAAATATATGGAATATTTTAAAGGATGATGAAAGTTCAAAGGAGGAAGAAAAATCGACGACCATTAAACACCCAAGCAAGGTTCATAGAACTAGTTTAGGATTTATATTAAACATTCAACGAACTGCTTGGTCTTGGTCTTTTGTGAGTAAATTCTTTGTTTTAATCAGTGCTAAATTAGATTATTAACTCTGATTATTGTAACCCATTTTAGGCTTGTAATCTTGTTTTCAATAATTATTTTTCCATTTGGAATGATTTGCTAAGACAAGGTTTTAATAAAAGATTTCAAGATATTATTCAATCTTCATTTGCTGAATTATCTAAGCAACCCGAAAAATTGCTTAAAAATCGATTACATAAATTAATTAATCCAAATAATGAAGGTAAGACTTCCGCATTTTTTCATATAAATAATGTATTTATTTACTTAACTATCTATCAATTAAAAGAACGTCATTTGGGAAAATTCATCTGGGCACATGATTCCATATTTTCTAGTGCAAATGTTCAAGAAAACATGATATCAAGTTTTAAACAAAAGATTGAATGTCTCGTATTAGCACAAACATCCATTGTCGGTGAAGCAAAATTAACATTTGACAAGAATTTGAGAGATATTCGAGATGACATGGAAATTGTCTTTGCATTAATTAATAATCGTACAGATGAATTATTTTACGGCAAAAAGTTTAATGGAAAATTATTTAATGCTCATAGGTATTTTAAGTTTCTTTAAATATTTCAACTAGAGTGGACAAGCATTAAATAATTCCTTTTATTTGTTAGTGACACTGAAGATTTGTCTAGTTTTTTTCAAGAAACGTTAATGAATTCAGTTATTTCTTATCGTAATCAGCTAAACGGACTAATAGAAGAAATTGACATACTCGAAAAAACACAGGAAAATAAATCCATTTTAGAAAATAATGGTAATTATTTAATGGTTTTCTAATTTTTATACTGGTACGTTTCACACTAAAAATTTGATTATTTTTTGTCCTTTTTATTAGCAAAACGTTTGCTTATTGCCCGAATTTCGCAAACAATTGCTTATGAATCCTTGGAACTTCCTACACTTTTACAAACAACTACAGGACGTGATAAGCCAAATTATTTTAGTTCTCGTCTGTCTTCAGCTCCAGGTATAAAAATCATCCCGTAGAAGATTCTGATTTGCCAATAAAATATAATTAATAATTCACATATTGATCTTTAATATAGATCCACGGTTAGTAAATTTGCGGCAATTATTAATGGAAGTTTATTTTTCAGCACATAAACCTTGGATGCAATGGATTACTAATAATGCTCAAGATGCTGTGCTTAAAATGTTATATAATTCACCTTGGAATGAATCAAATATTCAGACTTTGATTTGGGAAGGTAAACATTATTCATTATTAGTTGTTTAATTTTGCATTCTAAATTTTTAAAATTTTTAACATATTGTATTATCATTAGAAATATCCATGCAAGATAAAGCAAATTCTAGTGATAATGAAGGTGCAAAGATAACTTTACCTTCACAATCCTCAAATGAACTTTTAAGGTGCTTATATGATATATGTAAAGAATTAAACAGAATTGGTAGTCCAACTTTGCATGAGGTTAGTCTAATGTATATATATTTAAAATTCAATAATTTAATTTTCCAACTTTACATATGTAAAACCAATAACCCGATTTTTTAAATGATCTGAAAAGTTCACTAATGGTAATAAATCTTTATAATTTTATTAGGACATTATCAAGGATTTTTTTGCAGAATTATCTCTGAAAATAATCGAAAAGTATAATTCTTTTACATTAGATGAGGAAAGTTTTACAAAAGTGTCTGAGAAAGGAGCTATACAATTATTATTTGACATTAAATTTCTAAGAAAAGTGTTTGAAGGGTGCTGGTCATCGGACCAAGATGAAGAAGATGACAATAAAGCATATCAAAATAAAGAGGAAATGTTTAATCAATCATTAAGAGCTATAAAACAAAAGGTATTTGTATAATAACATCTAATAAATATAATTATTTTTAAATATATTAATTTTATTTATGTCTTATTTTTATATAGATTGACCCTATTGATTTGACTGTATTTGAACCATATTTGAATAAGAATGTTGAAAGACATTATGCAAGAAGTTCTATCATGTTGGGTTTATTGTTTCAACTAAATCCGAAAATTACCGATATGTAAGTAATAATTATTTTAATTGAAGCCACATGGTTGTAATGTTTATTAATCTTACTTTATGATATGTAGGAGACGTAAAAGTATTACATTACAAGATTACCATAATATAATAATGCCAGTTGTACCACAAGCTGCTAGATTTACTTTATTACCAATTAGTCATAAATCTAGTGGAGGAAATTTCAAAAATTCTTAATGATAGTGATGATCTAAGAAATAAGTGGGTTAATGGTTGCCATGCTAAGATGTAAAAAAAATTATTTTTTGATAGTAATATTTATCGGATAATTAAACTACAATATAATAATTAATTAAAAAAACTACCATTACCTCAACATATAGTGAATAAAATATGTTATGGCATTGGTATATAAAATTTATTTGAATAGAATACACCACTAGACATAATCATAAAAGCTGATATATAATAGAAATTAATAAAATTAATAGTTTTATATGTTACAGTAATTACAGTAATAAAGTTATACTAGGAAACGGAATCCGTTATTAAGTCCGAAGTGCCATTTAGTTTTTTTTGTTGCACAATGCCACGTGCGAAGCAAAAATATGATTCATACAGTAAATTTTATATATCAAGAATGACATTAGGCGGGACGACTCCTCTCCAGTTGGATCAACTCGCATTCGTTTAGTTTAGCTTCGTCTTTGTAATTCGAACTTCTAGCATTTGCTTGTAATCCCGGTTCCTGTCTATATCATAAAAATATCAAGAATGACACTTTTTACCGGACACAACTTGCGTAGAAATATAGTCCTTCGTTACACTTCGGACTAATTAATACTTACAGGAGGCATTTAGCCACCATATCTTGATAAATAACAGTATAACAAAAAATTTTCTTTGTAAATAAAATTTATAAGTCTAAAAAAATAAATAAATAAATTATTTATTTACTTTCATTATTTCATTTGTTAATTTCTTAATTTAAAATATTTGTATTTACATTATATTAAGTATCTATTGTTAATAAACATAATTTTCTTGTAAAAGGCAAATAAATTATCATCACTTTCTAGATATAATGATTCTGTAGTTTTGATTCCCGAATCCTGCACCTCAAATCATCCATCATATCTTTTAATTCAATCTTTAAGACAGTATGATCGGATTGTAGTTTCAATTCATCTTTCTTCATCTCGGTGTTTCCAACATCCACTGTCATAATTTCAATATTAATTTTACATATCCTTGGGTAAGAATCCCAAAAGAACTTTGGCTTCTGGTAAATTTCGAACCTGATTTGGAAGATTGCCGAGTGTCAAAAATACTGAATGACCTGCATCACTCCAATGTGCGGGCATTTTTAAGAAAAAAATATATAATAATAAAAAACAACGACAGCAAATTTGACTATGGGAAAACCTTTAAGTAATGATATAAAATTGCGTGCTGAAAATTTTCCAAATCCATCAAAAGTTGATGTGTCAGAATACAAAATGATGGATAGTAGGTGGTTGAGAGGTGGCAGAGTCTTTTCTGCTTCTAATGTAATTTGTGGAATAACCTGTTACCATACACCCAATTTTAATTTACATTCACGTTCTGCGAATTTATCTTGAATACAATAAATTACAAGTATCAATAAAGAATTTGACAAGTAAAAACATCTTAAATAACATGTCTGAATGCAGGAGAATGGGGAAAGTGGGATAGTTGTATGAACTTTTATATTGTAACAAATTGCAATATCTTTAGTTCATTTGTACTTTGGAGACAGATCTTTCTGGTTTTTTTTAGCAATATAGGACAAGAAATTCTTAAATTATAAACCAATTTCTATTTACAGACCACCTCACCAAATCTGACATGTACATTATGGCCTTTCCTTCATTAGGGTGATTTGAAAGATTCTTCTGAAACTTATTGTCCATATTTCGAATTCCAGAGTGGATTCACTAATGAGACTAACTCCATTAATTTGATCTAGCAGACATTCCCCTTCTCTCATCAATTAAAACTCTGATCTCCAAGGTCATTCCACATTTTTAAAATATTTAAATTTGTTTGAATTTGTCAAGAGAAATGAAAAATTCAATAAATGAAATTTTACACTCAACCCTCAAGTCAGTCAGATCGTTAGCAACACTAACTATTACATAAAAAAAAAAAATTTTTTCCCTATTTTTAAAATAAAATTACTACTATTAATAATGAGCATATTATAAATTTCCTTCTTAACTGTTAATCTGTTAATTACTTTTTATTTTTTGAAAGAAAAAAAGAATAAAAGGTTGCAGTGATGCACGAATTGCGAAACCGCTATTTTTTGTAACACGCGTGATTGTAGATCATTATATTCCGGTTAATTCGGGCGGATCATGTGAGAGTGGAAATTTTAATATTAACTTTTTTTGTGAAATATTTTACAAACTGTAGTAAAAGTGCAATCAAGAGAGATATCCACATTTCGAACAATCCTTACTCATCTTCCCATTCATTACTATTATAAAATAAATAACATTATAAATAATAATCAAATTATCTATCATATTTAGTCACCACTAATTAAGTGTAAAATTTAAGAATAATAGTATAATGTTTATACAGTTATAGGTTACTGTAATAAAAAAAAAATTCCCATACTTAATCATCAAAAATTCCAAGTTGAAAAAACGTTTTTTTTTTATATAATAATATTTTCTTAATAAAGTTAATAATATTATTAAGCTTTTAAGTAATAAAATAATTTCTATTAATATCCGATAAAATTAGTTTCGGAATCTCCTTTTTTATTGAATATTATATTTTTGGGAATTTTTTATAGCAGAATCTAGCATGTCCAAGAACAATAAATAATCTAGGTAACAGAGACATGATGTTAGATTTACTGCATAAAAACTTCCGTGATTATAATATAATGTTTAAAAGTTAACGATGACAGATACATGTGATATTTAAAACTTCGCTTATTGGGTTAGCCGGCTTATCATAATTCCTTAATTGTCAAAGTCAATTTGTACACGTGAATATTTTCAAGTCAGATTTACCCTTACCTAATTTCCATTGACGAGTGCCTAATTTGTACAGGAAATAAAAATAACATTCGATGAAAAAAAAGTTTTTTTTTTTAATTTATCATTTTTATCACTGGGGAAATAAAAAAAATTTCAAAATGTGAGAAGTTTACTCGTCAGAATGACGTCCCTTTATTATTTGATAATAGGGGAGCATGTGAAATAAAAATCAACCAACATGACTTGGATCATTTGGTTTACAAGTGATTTTTGATCCCTTGCCAAGAAACCTTTTGTTATTATAATCATATGATTTAACGACATGACAATTTTTTTGCCAAATTTTGTAATTTCAAGAAATTTCATCTTATTTTTACTTTTTTTTTGATAATTTGAAATGCGACACGAAAAAAAAACCAAAAAGTAATCCGTCAAATTTCAATTTGGGAAAGGATTTTCCGGGAATCGAGTTTTTTTAATTTTTTTGATTTAATTCATTGTATGTGGGAATAAAATTTTCATCGAATCTCTTCTTACATTTTCATAATTTAACTCAATTAGGAAAGGATAGTGGAGTTTTTGAAAAATAGCGCCACAAAAATTAGACAAAGTTGGTGAATTACTGATGCCATAAAAGAGAAATCAGGATCTTTATCGTGGCCAAAGCACATTACACAAGATTCTAATTAAGAAATGATCTTAAAGGGGAAATCAAAACCCATTTGCATCATGATGACGACATTTAAATATTCTTGGATTTTCTTGGTTAAAAAATTGTAGAAATTATGCCATCTGTGTTTTGATAAGAAATGATTTATTTATTAACCGAAAAAGGTCAAAATAAAATACATAAATTTTAGGTACCAAAATGTTACCGAATAGTTCAGGGTCTTCCAATCCCACAATACTATTTCATTAAACTCAGTGTTTATGAATTCATAAATTTCATCATAATATCATAATTGATCCTTTGGTTCTTTTATTACTTTATTACGAAATCATTATGATCAAAATACCCGTGCCAAAATAAATGTATAAAAAAAAAATTTTTTTTTATTATCATCACTTTTAAATTGTTGTAGATCATGACGATTTTTTGATTTAATAAAACATTACATCACAAATAACCTAAATTTTTTTTGATCGGGGAATTTTAATTTTCCAATATATAATGTGGGTTTTCTTTGTTCTCATTCTCTCAAAAAATTTTTTCTTTTTGTAAATCTTGAAGAGAAGAAAAAGAAAAAAATTTCGTTCTGTAGAAATAAATAAATAAATATATATAAAATATATATATATATGTATTTTTTTATTTGAACTTAGAAATATAAATAAATAGAAAAAAAACTAAAAAAATACGGTTAAATAGATAAAAACTATATTATTTTCTACAGTCCTATATATCATTAATCATGCAGGTCAGTCCTCAAAACCCTAAGGGTAAATCAAACATGGTTTATGATGATGAATTTAAAAGACACCCTGGAACTGATAAATGGATGGTTTCTATAGTTATTGAACAAGGTAAATATACAAATATACTTACAAAATACACATATATATATTTTTAATGAGTAAGAATTTTAATTCTAATAAATTAATTATAATTTACAGGACGAATATTATCAAAATTCGAATATAAAATGACGTCATATGATCCAAATACATACCGAGCGTTTTTCGAACCTGTCAAAACAACAAAACCAATGCGAATATACGCTTCTAATTCAAAACGTCACAGACCACAAATAATATCAATTACATTACTTGAATACAATCAAGGTCGAATTACAGCTGAAGAACAAATTTCTTTACATCCACTTTCATTTTCCGTTAATGAACCTGGGACATTTTGTTTATTCCGAGATAAATCATTTTGGCATATGTTTGTTCAAGTTACAATGGAAGAGCATTTACATGAATTTAACAGAAAAAGAGATCCTCAAAGATGGGTTACACCTTTAGGATTCGAAGTTGAAGTTGTCATGGATGATGGCTTCTCAGATGAGAAAAGTCCAAGTGTTGTTGTTGAAGAGTACGTTGAAACCGATGATAACGAACCAAAAAATAAGAATGTCATTAAGAATGTAATTAAGAATGAATTTAGTCCAGAAAATGTTACAACACCACCACCAATTGCTCGTTCAACTTCCTCATTTCCATTTCATAATCGCACCTTCACTGAGTGGTGTGTACATAAACCACCAAAATGGAGAAGAAAATTGAAAAAACTCGGTAACAACGTTCGTAATGCATTTAACCGAACAAGATTCTAAAAAAAAAGATTCATCTCGTTTTGTAAATAATCATGACACAATTTGTTCATATATCTTATCCTCCCCCCCAAAAAAGACATTTTTTTCTCTTCTGTAATATTTTCATATTATTATCAAAAAAAAAAATTTTTTTTTTTTTTTTTTTTTGCCTTTTTTGATCGTAAATTACGATTCAAGTTTCATCGAAACGAAACGTGTTCCTTTAAATTAGATGATACAATAGTTCTTCAAAAACGTAGAGAATCCTTTAAAGACTTCTCAAATTATCACATATCACCACCATAAGCTTTTTTTATCACCATATAAAACTCTAAGCAAACTCTTCTCAAATTAAGATTTATAAACCTCATTTTCCGTTATTACATTACCCGAATCTAATTTTAAGATTTCTTTATATGTATTATTAGTTTATATTTATAATTTATAATTTATTATCATCATATTTTATTATCGTTATTTTATTATTATTTTTTCTTTTTTTTTTAATTATTAATTTTTTTTTAATTAATAATCATTTTATAAAAAAGATGTATTTTTTTTTATAATCTTAATAATTTTAATTAACAATTATGCTTAAAATTGTGATAATTTGTAGAAGTCTGTGATTTTTCTTATTCACTTTTGTTTGTAATTTTATTCTAGAAATTTGAATTTGTATATTTTTGTATCAGTAATTTATCATCTTTGTTCTTTTTTATTCGGCAAAAATAAATAAATAAATAAAACTATTGAATTTCATTTAAAAAAGTTTGTTTGTTTGTTTGTTTTTTGAATCACTAATACCGAATTTCATTATAAGCCATTAGTTAAATTATACCATAACTATTCATAGGTCCTTATTTATGTTACTGAATTTTTTAATTCTATGATCTTCGCGTATTGAAATATGGTCCGAATGACTTTATATTGTTTCATCCTGGTAAAATCATATTTTTAAAGTTATTATTAGTGATCAAACCTTAATCAAATAGGATCTTATGACTTTAACTTGCCATTGGAGATTTTAAGAAATTAAACTTGGGAGAAAATAAAACATATTGTTATTGATGTTCTTGATGAACGAATTTTTCAAAGATTCTCCCAAAACAATACATCCATATTATCATAAAACCAACCAAAATGAAATTTCAGGATTATCAAAAAACAAGAAAATTCCATATGCTTTTATGAAATAGTATATGTGATTTTTAATTATTTGATTTTATTTATTATGTTTATTATAATAGGATTCAGAATATTTAATATTAAATTAAATATAAAAATTTGTGAATGAAATAAAATTTTTAAAGAAATTTAATGAAAATTTGTATAATGTTATTTCATATTATTTAGAATTATTGAATTTTATTTAAATTTTGTTTTTTTTCTTATAAAATATTTTATTTTACATTTTAAAGTAGGTATCAATATTTTTTTTTGTTTTATAATATCCTAAAATTTATTTGAAATTTATCTTCATTATTTTTAAATAATATTTATACCTTTATTATCTTAATATATTACTTAAATATCTTAAATTTCATTATTTTTTCTAAATATAAATATTTTCTGAATATTTCTGAACATTTTCACTGCAATTTTCAAATATTTCTTTTTTGTAAAAAATTAACAATCTAATTATAAAGCAAATATATTAGTTAATTTGCAATTTATTATAGTAAAAAATGTGGCAAATTACAATAATTTTATTAGTAAGTGGAATTTAAATTACTTAGTAAATTCATGAAATAAAATTTTTATTTTATAATGAACTATTATCAATTCAAAGAAAAATTATTTTAAATTTAATTTTAATGTTTTATTTTATAAATAATATTTTTAATTAAAAGGAATAAAAACTGTAAAATTATTATATTTTACACATTTCCAATTTTATTAATGAGACATGTTCAATTCTAATAAAATTCATTTAATTGGAAATATAAAAAAATTCAAATCCAAAAATTCCTAATACTTAAATTATTTATTTCTCAATTTAAATTAATTAATCAATTTCTTACTTTATATTCAGTTAAATAATTAAATTAAATCTTATTTAATACCTTTTAAAATATAAGAATTTTCCGAGATTCTTAATCTGTAAAAAAACAATAAATGCAACCTTTAAAATTTTATCAAGTTCATTATAATTGGTTGGAATTTCTAGCTATTTTAACTTTAATTCCATTGGCTGATAAATCATTTTATTGCTGATGACTTATTGCAGCTTTATTAACTTTATTAGTTTTAGTTCGTCATAAACAATAAATTAAGGTAACCACTAGAAATATCCATATGGTCCATCTCTAAGAAGAATATAAAAGATAATTTTATTTAATATTACCATAAATTAATAATTTGTAGCGAGTTTTGTTAATAATTCTGTATGATGTAACTAACAGTTCCAGTTTTTAATATAAATTCGTTTGGATAGCTACATTATTGGTTCTTCTTGTGCGCATATATTTGTTTTGAAATAATCAATAACACAAGATGATGTGCCGTGTTTTTAGTTTTGGTAGCATTTTAATTTATCAAATCATTGGAAATTATAAATGGTAATTTCTTTACCAAAAGAGATTTTTATAATGAAGAAATACTTGTTCGGATTTCGGGAAAATATAACGCTTAATGCTGGCATATTTAATATGTTTATAATACAAATATTCGTAAGGTAGGACAAATTTATCAAAATTTTTAAAATTTCGCAACATTTCTCCTTTTTTCATTTATTAGATTCAATAAACAAGTCAACAAATTGATATCCTTATTAATTTTTTTTTTAGGTGGTTTTTTTTCTTCTGATTTTCTGATCTTTATAGATTTCTCTTTCTTTTGAGGATTGGAAATTGCTTGAGGGTTGGAAAAATATTTAATCACATGATCTTCACGAATTAGCTATCTATAAATATTTCTCAAGATCCATTTAATATTCAATGCCAATTGTTACATCGATCAAGAAACACAAGCACCAAATCTACGTATTGTTTTTTTCGTTTTGATGGTTACATAAACATTGAGTAATTCTTTGTTTTGCATAAATGCTTTTATATGTGTGAATTTCACTTTTAGAAGATGTTTTTTTCCGATTGATTTTAATATAATTAGTGATACATGTATATTTTTTTTTAGAATTTACATAAAAGGATACTCATTCGGGTCTGGAACGGTCTGGCTTACTTTTATTCGAAGATATCTTTGAAGCAAGGAACAAAAAAAAGAAAAAACATCAAAATTATCGTTTTTTTTTTTATAATAAATATTTATTAAAAAACCTTTTAAGGTAACACTCATTTATTTAAACATGAAGGAAGAATTGAAACGGTCAACTATGTGGTCAGGTAAATTTTATGTTTGTTTGTTTTAATGTAGGCATCTCCATGCCAAGTTTATTCTTTCCTTAATTATGATCTTTTAAATTTTACGTAACATAATTAATTATATTTAATAGTAATATTACTAACTGATAATTTGTGTTTGTTTATAATATGAATGATATTTTAAAAATTTATATTTAAATAAAAAAAAAGACTTTTTTTGAATATTTTCTTTTTTTTTTTTTATCATCAACACGATAAAATTTAACTATATACTGTATATCAATAAAAAAAAATATTATAAAATACATTGATTGATTCTTATGCTTTTTTAAATAACATATATGTCAGTACTAGGAAAAGAAAGCCCCTATGCCGATGAAGCTCCAGTTGCTGACCTAGTCCATTCGTTTGACTGGTCAACAACTCCACTTGGAGATAGGTCAACGTGGCCACCCTCTTTGAAAACTATCGTGGTATGAATTTAAGCATGCGAAATCATGTGACATCAAGATTGTCAAGATTTCAAGATTTCAAAATTGTCAAAGATTGACACGTAAAAAATTATAAATAAAAAAAATGATAAAAAAATTTCATTAAATTTTGTCAATTTCTAATTTTGATTCTTGATAAATTAACCACAGGACCTATGTTTACATTCAGTTTTTCCGATTGCCATTTTCTATGGGCCCGAATTAAGGATGATATATAATCAAAGTGAGTGATATTAAAGCAGAAAATATCATATGTCCACATATCGGTATAATACTAATTTTATTCTAAATACGTATAGTGTATCGACCCATATTAAAAATGAAACATCCGCAAGGTATTTAAAGATACTATAAAATAAGTTACATAAGTTACATAAAAAATTCGTTAATTAATTAATTCATTATATAGCAATGGGACGTTCCTTTAAAGAAGTATGGTCTGAGACGTATGATGTCATGGGACCTATATTTGAAGAGTAAGACAATCATTAAAATTTTGCGTCTATCGATTATATCTTCAATTCTTAAATGAAATCGACTTCCCTTATTAATTGAAAGTTGGTCAGCAGGGTCGTAACTACTTGTATATTAATTTTTATATTATCATTCATTTTTCAATTTGTCCTTTATAATTAGAGTAAATTTAACTGGAATAGGTTCATTCCAAGATGATATGATGCTTTTATTGCATCGTGATGGTTATGCTGAGGAATGTTATTTTTCATTTACTCTTAGTCCAGTATTTAAGGAAGATGGAACTATTACTGGAGTTTTTAATGCTGTTCAAGAAACAACGCAAAGGGTATTAGCAGTTAGAAGATTAAAAACTCTTGAAGATTTAGGGAATAGAACTCCAGGTATATTTATCTGATCGCGTTCATCGAGTAATCTCATATATCAGAATATTATAATATCATGTAATTAAAAACCATATGTACATACGGATTATTTTTTCCTAGGTGCAAAATCAGCTGAGAATGCCTGTCATTTGGTATCATTAGCATTACAGGATAATGATGATGATATACCATTCGCAATGATTTATCTTTTAGAAGATGATAATCGTACGTGACCGGATATTTCTCATATTCAATTCTTTATTAACGACATAATTTATATTTATTTATTTTATTTTATTTTATTTATAATGAAATATAAATAATAAACCAGACCAAAAAAATATTAAGAAAGTTAAATTAATTGCAACAACTTATGACCAAACATTAATGACAATTAAAGGAGATGATGAAATTGAAGAATTAGCTTTTGTTAATGGAATCTCAAAAAGAATATTGCCAGATTTTTTGTCAGAAGAATTTACCAATGAATTTATCTATGATGGCAATATAATAATGGACAAAAATAATTCAAATAATAATGATATTTCCCATTGGCACTTACAAGAAGTTATTACAAGGAATTCTCATGTCATTGTAACGCTTAAAGATGATTCCAAGGCAATACTCTTACCGGTACTATCTTCATTTGCTGGAGAAACTAATACAACAGCCATCATGGTCTGCGGACTTAATCCAAGAAAAGCACTTGATAGAGATTACATGGAGTTTTTACGGGTAATTAAAATTTTGTGATATTTTAAAGCCATCATAAAATAATTGATTAAATCTATGGTAAATCATATTAGCTTGCTGTTAGTCATGTAAGTACAAGTTTAACACAAGGGAGATTAAGAGAAGGAGAAAGGAAACATGCCCAACTTCTCGCAGACCTAAATAAGCAAAAAATTAATTTTTTCCAAAACATAAGTCATGAATTGAGAAGTAAGTTTTTTCTTTTTTATTATGTATGTATTTTTAATTAATTATACTAATCTTACATTTTTATATTATAGCTCCTCTAACTTTGATGCTTTCACCATTAGAAGATGCAATAGCGTGTTGTCCAAATAATTCAGACGTTTTATTACATCTTCAAATGGTCCGTCGTAACTCTCGTAGATTACTTAAACTTGTTAATACATTGTTACAAGTAAAATTCCTTTTATTTTTAGCTTATTATTTATTTATTTTTATTTATTTAAAGCCGAATATCAAACATGCAATTTATTTTTGAACTAGTTTTCTCGGATTGAAGTTGATAGCATAAAAGCACAATTTCACGAAACCGAAATAGCAAAGTTAACCGCAGAACTTGCGTCCAGTTTCGAGAGTATGGCTAAGTCATTTGAATTAAAATATGTCATTGACGTGCCAAAAGAATTAAAGTTATCCCGACGTATCTTTATAGACCAGAATATGTATGAAAAGATTTTATTTAATTTATGTAAGTATAAAAAATTTTACGTTGATCTTAAATATTTTATCATATTTATTTATTCATTTAATTTTTACAGGTTCAAATGCTTTCAAACATACTTGGACTGGAAGTGTGACCGTTCGGTTATATTCCGAAAACGAGGATGATAAAGAATTTATTGTCCTCGAAGTGATTGATACCGGTGATTAATCTAGTTCTTGGTTTTAAATTTACGTAATATTCCTTGACGTAGCATATATTTACACATTTTGAAATTTTAGGTGTCGGTATCCCAAATGATCACATTCCTAATTTATTCAATCGCTTTTATCGCGTTGAATCACGTCAATCACGTAGTTATGAAGGGACCGGAATAGGTCTTGCTCTCGTAAAAGAATTAGTTAATCGACACGGTGGCGATATATCTGTAGTCTCTGTTGTTGATAAGGGTTCTATATTTAAAGTTCGGTTACCAACTGGATGGGAGCATTTGCCACCGGATCAAGTATACTTTGATGATGAGTACAACACTAAAGAGCATGTTGTTCATGGAGAGAAATTATATTCAAATTGTGATCTATTTCTGGAAGAATCAGCACAATGGATTCAAAAGAACAATATTGAAGATTCTGATTATAAAGACATGGATTTGGATGATAATTTAACTACTGAAGGTCACACTATTCCGTCTTCATTGGAAGACAATCCCTTAACTTTTGGTGAAAACTTTACAGTGCTTATCGTCGATGATAACACTGATATGAGGTAGACATAAAGTTTTTTAATAAAATTGCGAGATTAAATTTAAATTGAAATTATTTTTTAATTTTAGGGATTATATATTTGGGGTTTTAAAAAAAGATTTTGATGTTTGTTGTGCTTGTGATGGTCTTGATGCTTTGAGAACCTTAAAAAAACTGGACAAACCACCAGACTTAATTTTAAGTGGTAAGGATTCTATTTATTTAACCATCTTAATTAATGATACAAGTTTAACATATTATTATCTTCCTTTATTTAGATGTTATGATGCCTAATATGAATGGGTATGATTTATTAAAATCATTGAAAAATAATAAATCAACTCGATTGATTCCAGTAATTTTGTTATCCGCTAAAGTTGGAGAAGAAGCCAGCCTTGAAGGTATTCATTTTTTAAGGTTTTAAAAAACAAATTTTTAGTTTATTAAATAGTCGATACATTTCCTTAAATAGGGCTGGAACATGGAGCCGATGATTATTTAATTAAGCCGTTTAGTGCTAAAGAGTTGATTGCGAGAATACGCGTCAACATTAAACTTAGTTGTCTTCATCGACAACTTTTCTTGCAACAAAAACGACATTTAGAGACAAAACGACTATTGTTCTCGATAAGTCGATCAGGATTAAATATTCAAGAAACTCTTTCAACAGCTGTTCAAGAAATTCATCACGTCCTACCATGTGATAGATTTTTTATTGTTGCTGTAGAGAATGAAGATTCAAGAATAATGGCATTTTCATCAACAGACCAAAGTGAACCAAACCTACAAGGAAAGTTGGTCTATTTTCCAATTAAAGAAAATAATCAAACTGAAAATTTGAATCAAAATAGCCTTGAAGTAGTAAATGAAACTCTTGAAGTTGTAATATTTCCAAATTATTATTTATTAGCCGTCCAAAATTTAGTTTCACTAATTGCCCTTCCCATTAAAATCGATTCAAAAACATGGGGATGGGTAGTTGCAAATAGACCTCCAAATAATACTTGGTTAGACAGCGAAAAAAGTTTTTTGCAACAAATGTCTAACCAGATTGGTTTAGCCATCAATCACTCTATACTTTTAGAGGAAAAATTAAAGAAAGAAGCGCAGATGGAAGCGATGGAGGCAGCAAATGAAGCCAAAAGTCAAATTTTGGCTAATACTTCTCATGGTTTGTGTTGTTTATGTTTATTTATTGTTTGATAAAAAATATTCTAATTATTTTATAATGTTTTAATATCGTAGAATTGAGAACACCATTAGGAGCAATTATAGGAATTTTATCAGCATTCGAAGATTCTCAACTTTCAGAGGATCAAAAGGATATGGTACAAATCATGACGAGAGCATCTGATGTAGTATTAGCAGTTGTGAATGATATTTTGGATGCAGCAAAATTAGAGGCGAATAAAGTTGCCTTGTTGAATAGTACATTTGACCTATTTAGCTTGATGGAAAAAACAATTGAGCTTTTTGGTGAAAAGGCTGGGGCCAAAAACATAGAATTAATTTTATGTTGCGAACCAACTTCTCTGCCAAAATTTGTAAAATCAGATCCCGAGAGGTAAAAGAATTAATAGTTTTATTTATTTATTATTACGTGATTTACGTACGTAATTTAAATTATTTATTTGGTTTATCTAGGCTGCAACAGGTTTTGATGAATTTGTTATCTAATTCGTAAGTATTATTATTACTTTACGATATTCTATCGATTTTATAATCAATTCTGAATACTATTTTTCATAACATTAATTGTCAAATTATTTGATATACGAAAAAAAACTTTTTTGTTATATTCTTCATTATAGTATCAAATTTACCGACAAAGGGGAAGTTTGTCTCAAGGTTACAATGAAGAACGATAATGAAAGTAGTAAAAATACTACAGCGAAAAAATCGACATTATTTGTTGAAATAATTGATACCGGCATTGGGTACTTGAAGATATTTAACTTGTGTTTTCCAATCAATCATTTATATTTATTCCAATTTTTTTATCTTTTAATCTTTTAGTATTGACCCCCGGTTTATGAAAGTCATTTGGGAAAGTTTTTCTCAGGGAGACGCTTCAATGACAAGACGTCAAGATGGGACCGGATTGGGTCTCCCAATCTGTAAACAACTTGTAAAGATTAATGGAGGCGAAATGGGTGTTCAAAGTGAATTAGGAAAAGGAAGCCGATTCTGGTTTACTTGGTATTCATTTTTTAATTAATTTAAATATTTTGATTAATTCCATATTAATATATATATATATATATTTTTTTTTAAAAAAAAGGCTTGTCGAATCTTCTTTATCTTGGTCACCTATACCTATTACATCTATCTCACAGACTCCGCCTGGATTAAATTTACCCACTACTATAAGATTAAAACGTGTAGTAGTAATTGACCCCGTTGAGACAGCTAGAAATGCTTTAGTTAAATTGATTGGATCAAGTGTAGAGAGAATTGATTCATTTGATTCCTTTAGTGAAGGAGTTTCAGCGGCCAAGGTTTGGCGTGAAACTCATAATGGACCATTATATGACATTGCATTTTTTAATGTCAATGAGGACAATGTAGAGGAAGTTAAAAAAGCTTCTGAAGAATTAAGATATACCTGCGGAAAAGACCAACTTTGCATAACACTTATGGTATATTGGTCTGCAAGCGGACGTGCTATAGGACAGAAACTAATCAAGGACATTGGAGGACCAATTGTAACATTATGTAAACCAATAATGCAAAAAAGGTTATTGGATTGTTTACATAATAGCAAAATATTTAGATCATCCTCATCCACACCAAACCATCATAGACGTAATTCCGTTAAGCCTTTAGCGGATATAAGAGTTGAAAAATATTATAATGACAATCGACATTTGTCATCATTACCGGTAGAGAAAGAATTAACAATTATAAGGCAATCGCCAAAAGATAATAATGAAAAATTATCACAGGCATCTAGTAGAGATAAGTTGAAAAGAACAGCATCTTTTAGTTCAGAACCTACAAAGAGGACAGCTTTAAAAAGAATGGAACCTAGCGGAGAAGATAATAATCAAATTGACAAGAATCGGGCTTCAAAGTCTCTTAGATCACGCCCTATTTCAAAATCAAAACGTATTTTATGTGTAGTACGTTCAAATATTTTTTTTATTATTTTCTTTTTCTACAGTAAATATTATAATAGTATTTTAACGTTATTTTATTTAATTAGGAGGATAATCCTATCAATCTAAAGGTATTTATTTACAAGAATTTTTTTTTTGTGAACGTTAAAAGTATTATTTATTTATTATCATTCGACTTTTTATAGGTTATTCAACACCAACTCAAAAAACTTGGGTACCCATCCTTATCAGCAACAAATGGACAAGAAGCTGTTCATTTGATCCAAGCAGAATATAGTGGGGAATCCTCGAATTTATCATTGTCTTTAGCAAAAGAAATTCCAACAAAAATTTCTTTAATATTAATGGATTGTGCTATGGTAAGTTACATTATATTTAACATTTATTTCAATTATGCATTGATTATTGATTTCTATAATATTTTTCTTTTATTAGCCCATTATGTCAGGATTTGATGCATCAAAAGCTATAAGAACTATGTCAAATATTCCTATAATTGCTTTAACAGCATCAGCTATTCCAGAAACAAGAGAGAGATGCTTCGAATCAGGGATGAATGATTATTTAACGAAGCCATTAAAAATTGGACAACTTAAAGATAAATTGATTCAATGGCTTGGAGATGATAATTAATTAATTTTGAAAATATATATATATATATATATATATATATAGACGTAACTAATTGACTGTAAATTTTTATGTATATAGTATATTTTTAATATATATAGTTTATATTTTATGATTTATTTTATAGAAAAAAATTTATCAGTAAAATGAAATCATTACACATTTTTACAATAACTAATAGTACAATCTTTTTTGCAATTTAAATAATGCAAAATTTTTTTTTAACTTGAAGAATCTAAATTTTACAATTATTTTATTGTAGAAAATTCTTTATCTGGTATAGTTCAAAAATAGATACTTTTTTTGTATTTAATTAATAATTTATATTATAAAATTTTTAATTTATCATTTATTTTACCATAAAACATATTATTAATGTGAGTAAAATTAAAAAACAGGAAAAATCACATAAATAATATATTGGAATAAATGGCATATAATTAAAAAACTAATCAATCAATCCAAATTAGATTTTATATTATTTATATTTGAAATTTATCTTATTCAAATTTAATTTGAATGTATTTCTTTAATAGGCCACTATATATTATTTAATAGTCTTTTATAAAGATAATAATAAATATAAAGATATATCTAATTTGAAAGATACAATTCAAAAAAATGGATTTTATTTTCAAAAAAAAATATAGGTAAAATTATTAATAAAAATATCTTTACAAATATAGTAAAAATCAAGAATAAGAAAAAAGTAATGATATATAAAAAGTTATATTAAAATATAATAGTTTAAATTTAATTAATCATTTATATAAATAAATAGTTTTCTGAAATATAAAATTTATAATAAAATATTATATTAATCTATTAACAGTTTTTTAGTTGATAATAGAAGTTAATTAAAAATATATATATTTTGTTTATTTTGTTTTAATTTATTTTATTTATTATTTTTCTACAGATAGTATTTTTATATATAAATTAAATAGTTATAAGAAGTAAGGTTGTTTACTTAAATTTTTTCAAAATCTTACGATTAGTTTCTTTAAGATTTTACTATAGTTTTATTATAGTTTTTCCAAAATTTTAGCAGTTTTAGTATTTATAATAAGTCTTATCAGATTTTACTTTCTTTAGAGTTTCATTAACTTTTTAATAAGACTTTATATAGGACCCCAGATATCTAATATAAAGATCATAATGGACTTTGGCCAAAAACACCCTTTTTGCTAAAACTCAAAAAATCGTTTTTTTGTAAATATCTCAACATCTAGTGATTCAATTTTAATGAACTTTTGTTATTTTGTAGCTCCAAATTGGACCACTGGATGCTGAGATATTTACAAAAAATGATTTTTTGAACCCTGAAAAATGGGCTAATTTGCCAAAAGTGTGACTTATAACCTGTTTTGGAGATATCTGGGGTCCTCTTTATATAATTTCAGCAAAGTTTTACTATTTTAGCATTTTGCCAACTTACCAAAATCCTTTAGTTTTCAGCTATTCAGCAACCTTAATAAGAGTACTTTAAATATCTTTCATTTAACTAATAAATACATATAGTTAAATTTTAACTTATAATAATTTAGCTAATATCAGTACTAAAAATGTAATTTTACTATCATTAGATTTTTCTTATTGAAATAAATTCAATAATATAAAATTTATTAATTTATTAAAATCCAATTAGTAAATTATTTAAAAACAAGGGTATATAGGATAAGAAAATTTGAAAAAATACCTCTGAAATAAGCAACTTTTGAAAATTTTATATGATCAATAAGTAACTTTCACAACTAGCCTATCCATATATTATTTAGAATTCTATTTAAACCTTTGAAAATTGAAACTTTTAATTTAAAATATTAAAATTTTTATATTTATTAAAGTAAAACCCATTTACTTTATAAAATAAAATTTATAAATCTAAAATATTATTAATTATTATATTAAAGTTTGAATATACTTAATATACATAATAATCATAAAAAAGCTTTGATTTTTTTCTTTTTAGATTAATTAATCAATAAAATTACTAATTTTATAATATAAAAACTTTATAATGCTTAATTTTAATGAAAGTTTATATTATATAAAATAATTAATTTGCATATTTTAGCATTTTTTGATTTCAGTTGTTTAATTTTGCAAATTTATAGAATTTTAAATATTATATATAAAATTTATAATTGATTTTCATTTAAATTAATATTCTTGGGTATTGCTAAATATCACCAGTGGTGATCGTCACCACACCACTTAATTCTGGCCGAAATTTATAATTTTGGCCAGAGTTAAAAACCACATTGTAAATTTTTTTTCAAAAATTTCAATTTAAATAATAAATGTGTAAAACAAACCTGAGTAGATACTAATCACACTAAAATTTTGAAAATTTGACTAAAAAAAATCTTTTTTAAAACAAAAAATTGTATTTTGCTTATAAAATCAAACTTTCCTATTTTTCTCAAAAACTATCTAAACAACAGCCTTTATAATCTAAGGCAAACTTGTTCTACCCATAAATTTACATATAGTAATGATATTTATATTATAATTAGAATAATGTCACAGTCAAAAATTTTTGAAAATTCAAAAAATATTTTATATGTGGTGACGATCACCACTAGTGATATTTAGCAATACCCAATATTCTTTTAATTTATTGCAATTATGATTTTGCCATTTAGTAATAAACATTTACAATTTAAAAAAAATTGTCTAGATTGGACTACTGTCTACTGGTTGGTAAAATAATATTTTAATTTGTTTTTTTTATTAATAAAGTTTCAATTAAAAAGTTGTATTAAAAATATTTGAGATTTTATATTTTTAATATTTAATAATTTATTTTTGTTATAATTTTTAAAGTTAGATATAAACAATGGCAATATAAAAAACCTTTGATTAGAGTTATTATTTTGGAATTTACCTATATAAGAATTTTCTGGAGTTCTGGGTTTGGTGTTTCAGTTTTTAATTGCTGAACAAAAAACTTTCTCACTATTAACACTATTAGCTATGGATTGGTCTTGGATGATGTAATTGCTAATTGCTTCATAGATAATTACTTATTACTGCACTACTTTACTGCGCCTACACCTCCTTCAAAATTATTCAAATTAGAAGCATGAATGTAGGTTTGGAAATCGTATACATGGGGACCGGCGGCAAAATAGAAATGTATTACGCCGCTGTAATGACGTGCCGTCGAATTGCCAAATTGCCATAATGTCAAATTGCCGAATTATTGAATTCTCAGACTTATATGATAAATACTTATGTAAAATATGTTTTTTTATTACATACAATACTCATTTGTTTATTTATTAACTATTTAAGCAATTTACCAAATTTACAATGCCTATAATTGTAAAAAAACTTGTAACCATAAAGAAATTTCAGCTATCACGCTATACCCGATTTTTCGCTTTTTTTGATGTGCAACTATTATGACTAATATTACGGTTACGGTAATTTTTTTAATTCAATTCCATTATTTATTTTGCTTTTTATTTTATAAAATATTAAATTTGAAAATTAATATTTTAATTGATATATTATAATTTATTAAAATTATTTTAAATATATCAATTAGAATTAAGAAAATAAAAAAAAAAATAATCCTTTATTAATTAAAAAAAATCTATATATAAATTTACAAATTAAAATTCTAATAATTTTTTTTTAATAAAAAAAGGAATAAATATTTAAATAAATTTGCTTCAAGAATCTTGAATATTTTTTGTAAATACTTCCAAATTAAATTGACCTTGTTCAATGTCATTTTCTTGTACATCTTTTGCTTTTTCATGTTTAATAAAATCTATTACTTCATGTTCTTGATAAGGATTTTGTGGTTGAGTATATTCACTTATTTGACTTGGTATATTACTTTGTTGTTCTCCATATTTAATATGCAAATCGGTATATTCATTAGGTTGTTTGTCATAATCACTCAAAGCACTTAAAGATTCTTCATAATCATCCGCATTTTGGCTTCCAAATTCATTTGTTCTTCCCAAGTATTCATTACTTCCATACTCGCTTGTATTCCCATATTCACTAATTCCATATTCGGTTGTTCTACCAAAATCATCATTTGCTTGACTATCATAATCATTATTTGTCTGATCACCATAATCATTGCTTGCCCGATTACCAAAATTATTATTTGGTTGATTACCGTAATCATTGTTTGCCTGATTATTAAATTCATTATTTGGTTGATTACTATATTCATTATTTGCTTGACTACCATATTCATCTGTCCTCTCGCCATAATCATAATCATCATCATCATCTATATTACCACTATAATCTTCAACCTGATCATAATCTTCACCTTGACCGTCATATCCTTCAGTTTGACCATTATAACTTTCATTCTGAACAACAATGTATTCATCATTTCGAACCATATATTCCTCATCATCATCATCATCGTCATCATCATCGTCGTCATCTTCTTCCTCGTCATTTTGATTAACATTTTCATCATAATTATTAGTCGATTTACCTTGATTTTTATCAAATATTCCGCTAACAATACTTGTTTGTTTATTATATATTTTACTGATATTAATATTATCACTAACTTGTTTTGTATTTTCTTTGAATTCTATATTATTATCTTTAGCTTGATCGTTCTTTTTGAAAATTTGTTGTGAGGTGATAATATCTTCCATTGGTTCTTCTTCATCCTCCATTTCAGGACTATTTCCTACAGATGATTCCATATCATGTGGTGTATTATTATTGTTTGTCGTAATTGTTTCTCCAGGAGTACTAACTGATGTGAATGATGCTTGTGATGCTTCACGAAGCAACGATGGTGCTTTTGGTATTGATAATAAATGTGGCAGTGGTCTCAAGAAATTTGTAGAGTCAGGTTCGGTCTCTGATGGTTGAGGTGTTGATGCTTCTGTTGGTGGTTGTATAATTGATGCAGTTGGTGTTGGTGTATCCTAAATTTAATGTTATTAATATTAATATAAATTTAAAAGACCGTCTAAGGCTTTATAAATATATTATTTTACCTCAATAATTGGTTGACGAGCTGGTGTTGTTACACCTCCTAGATCATCATCATCATCATCGTTAAAAGTTATTTTTCTATCAGCTAAAATCAATACAAAAAAAAAAAGAATCTTGAATTATTATCCCGATTATTCGAAAAGTAACTTGAATTATACGACAATAATGATTTAATCATCATTCGTCAAGATAATTTGACATTTTTTTTTTAAAAAAAAAAAAAATTGATAAATTCCTTACATTTAACCCATTTCATTATTTTGAAACCTTTCACTCCATTAGAAGGATATTGCCACTTCCTTTCCCTAATATATCAAATAATAAGATTTGGTATTAGATATATAATATAATAAAATAATTCAAAATTGGGAAAAAAATTCATCTTATGATACCATGATTGAACTGGTTGTAATAATGAACGTTTTAAACGATCATGGTCCGCTGCACCATATCCTCGAAATCCATGGTGGCGTGAAGGTCTAGTTGCTGACATTTTTGGTGTTTTTTTCTTAGAAACTTATTTAATTATTAATATTAATAAACTTTCACTTTACGATAAAACCTCAAGCTCTAGAATAAAAACAAACTTCTAAAAAAACAAACAAGTGCATATATGGTAAAGTCACGTGATTGTGAGCACATGTTTAACAAAAAAAGAACGAATGATGAAAACCCCGATCAATTTTCCTTAACATTTCGTTTGTAACGCAGAAATACTTTGTCAACGTGGCATGTGAAAACCAAAAGAGCAGGGAATGACTTTGTTAATGAAGAGTAGTGGTCGTTGTGTTCTATCAATTTATCTATAGTATTAGGAAAGTTGAATATTCTAACGTAAAGATTCAGGTACCATTCCACCATAGCGAAAGTCGTTTCTCAAGAAAAAAAAAGCATAAAATGAATAGAACTCAATAATAATTCTTCATTCATCCAGAAGATGTCCTCGTAACTTTAATAGCAAAGATGAATTAATTGTTTATTAGTTCTTGGGATGTTAATTAATCATATAATAAATTGGATGTATTTGATATTCACAACAATGTGAGAGCGATATTTTCGTTATTGAAAAAATTGGGTGAGCTTGAATATAGTAAACCGGTTAAACTTTAAGAAATTTTATGTTTTCGGATAATAAAGAATTAAATTATAACTTGAGAATTTATCAATTATTTTATTAATCTTGCATCATTAATTTGCAAAAGAATCAGTAAATTATTTTTATATGCTGTGTATATATCTTTTTTGTGAGTATAATAAGAAATAAAGCTAAATTTACATAAAATAAAGAAAAACTAAACTAATAAAATTTTAAATAAATTCAACTTTTTTATTACAAGAATAAATGACAAAAATTTTACTCATAAATTTGATAGATACTTTTTGTCAGCAAAGATTTAAAATAAAATGCTGGGAAATTAACCAGGTTAGTAAAAGGGAAATAAACTATGTACATAAAGTAAAATTTACCTATTAAATATCTACTTTCAACTCGCAAATCAAATGCACAAACAGTATATAAATGTAACGATTATTATTCTAGGGGATATTTTTGCTATTGAAATTAAAAGAAAGAAAAAAAAAATAATAAAAAAGAAAAANAAAAAAAAATAACAATGCGTAATAATAATAAAAAAAGCCCAACTGTCCAACTACCAATATTAAATAAGAATAAAAAATCCTTAACTGTACGCATTAAATACAGCTTCAGCTTTCTTTTTCTTATTGGTAGAAGAAATCTTCGATCTTCTTTTTTTTATGATTATTGATTTTTATGCTGCTTTCTAATTATTTCATACGAATATTATTGAACGTAGATTACGACCCTAACCCTAAATAAATTGCTGGAACTTGAATTTTGTAATGTGAGTATAATCTTATTTGTCTTCCAATTTAACCAAAACAGCTTCTAATTCTTCTTCAGGTACAACTGGACCGTTGCCTGAACACTTTGCCTTAGCTTTCAGCGCAGAACAAAGTTGATCGATTTCATCACCCTCTAAATCGTCAAACTTTGGGTGCTGCTGTATTCTTTCCCATACCTTATTACATGATAAAAATCTTTTATTACTAATTTCATCCAACGATGAACCAAAATTGCCACCTAGAGGATTTCTGTGTTCTTCAGATGGAGTAGCCATTGGTTCGAAAGTTCCAAAACCTTGGAAATTATCTTCGAAAAGCGGCGGTAATGGAGTAGATTCGGAGAAAGGATTATCAATATTAGGAGTAAACGGTGTTGGATCCCGATATTGTGTGAATGCGGATGGTAATTTACTGGATTCTCCCGTTGAACTTGATTTTTTATTTTTTTCTTTATCTTTGCAAAAACTATCTGTAAACTTTTCACAAAACTCTTCTGCACTTTGAGGTTTAGAAGAGTGTGACTGTGAAGATGATGGGAGGGGATTGATAGTTGTAGGCTCTATTTGGCTAGTATCAGGTACTTGTTTAGGAGAATTTCCAGCCGATGTATCTCTTATTTCCGAATTATTATCTGAATCCCCAACAGAACCTGTACCAGACGGTGAACTTGGTTCTTCATCGCTCTCATTTGAGGATGGAGGTGTATATGATGTAGGGATACTTAATGTACTTGTCTTTGATACCGATGTTGTCGCAGGCGTTGATGCAAGAAGTTCACTAATGTCTTTGTCAAGGGGCGTATCATTCACTTTATCAATTGGGAAATCAAAGGTGAAACTTGTTTGTTTTAATATGAAATTTTCAGCCTGTAATTGTTCAACAAGTGTTTTTAATTGTTGGTTTTCTTGAGCACTTTTTGCTGACACAGATTCAAGTTCTTTGATTTTATTTTCGAGTTCTTTTACATAACGTTCCTTTCTTTCTCGAAACGCACGTTGAGCAGCCCTATTTTGTGCCTTACGTTTCTATGATATAAATAAAAAAATATTTATAAATAAAATTGTAAAAAAATAAATGTATTATTATACAAATAAGAAACTTACTGAGCTAGGAGTATTAGTTAATGGTTTTCTACCCGGTTTTTTTTTCTGAGGTTCAGTCGATTGTTCAGACTGTACATCGGAACCTGTTTTATTAACTTCAGCTTCAGCTTTTATTATTATTAAATAAAATGTCAGTCTTTTATAAAAATTTAATCAAATAATAATAGGTTTTTATTTACTTTCTGCTGTAAGATCTGGATGTGGTACAGAAGAAATATTTAGATTATCTAATAAAGAACAATAGAAAAAGTTTGTAAATTAATATAATTAATATTAAAAAAAAATAAAAAAAAATAAAAATTTTTTTTATATTAAATCTCTTAAGAGATTCTCGATTAAGAGAATGTACAAATAAAAGAATTTTCACTATTACTTACGACTAACTTTTGAAGGATTTTGTTGAACAACGTCTTCCAACATTTCTAACTTTCGTTTTTGGTCGTCGTCATATCTATACTGATCGTTGTGTGCAATAGCAGCAGCCAATAACTTTTGCGCTTCTAAATTATCTTCGAGAGTAAAATCCCAAGGAAAGTTGTTATCATTCATACTGAAAACAGAATTTGAATTATCAAAGTTTGTTGAAGCAGAGAAGAAAGGATCCATAGCGTTAAAAAAAATATAGATTTAGTCAAAAAAGAAAAGATTCTGGGAAAAATTTTTTTTTTTTTTTTTTTAAGAATGACGAATTTTAACTCTATATAAAGAAAAAACTCATGGGAAATTTTGATGGTTTTAATTGGTTATGGGGAACACGTCATTGTTTAATAAATATTCCATATTTGTATGTTTATGTAGTATCTAAAACTTTTTCGTGATACAAATTCCTAATGATATCAATTTTAACTGTGAGTGACTTAATATAAAGTAATTTAATCATTAAATTTGTATCACGGAGAATTTGAATTTGGCAAATCCTCAGAGAAAAAAAAAAAAAAATAGTAGTACAATGATAACTGATTTTCCTTCAATGTACTTCTATGAGCAAGGTTGAAAAAACGTGGTTTATCAAAGAAACATTATATTTCCAATGTATTCCCGAAGTTTGATTCTTTGGTAGTTACGTCATAGACAAATATCGAAAAAAAAAAGATGAAAAAAAAAAAAAAAAAAGATTCTTATCAGAATCCATGAAATTCATATTATATTTAAAGATCTGTGAAGATACTGTGAAATTTTCTCATATTCTATTGTCATTCCGCAGTTTAGTGTTCATCAAAATTTGCCGAAGTTCCGAAAACGGCAAATCAAAAATTTTGAACCGGTACATCATTACTATTTTAAAATAATTATCCGATATAAATAAACAAGATTAAAAAACGTTATCAGATAAACCTGCATATCTTAAATAAAAGTGGATATTTAATTCAGGATATACATAACTCTTTCTAATGGATTTTAAAATAGTTATAGTTTAAAGCTAACTTATTATGGTACCTTCCTTATTTTTCTTGAACAACAAATCTGCAAATTGATTCACTGAGAGATTCGCGCGGCAATTCGCGGCAGACTCAATGAATTTTAAAATAATAAAGACGTCACATGAACAAATTTCTGTAACAATCCTCTCGTTTCAAATGTATGCAGTGTAAAATACGTAAAATACTTGTATTCACCGCAGTAGAGGATGAAAATCATTACCTTAACGATAGTTCGTCATATAATGCTAGAGAAGACTTCTTTTAATGCATATATATACGCCATACCAAAAGTAAAAAGTGAAGTATCACATGCATGAATAATATGCAAAGACGTAAAGTGATCGAATTTGTGATTTTTGAGTCACCAATGTGGGAGTTAAATTCTGAAATGGTTAATTAAGGAACGCCTTTTAAAAAATTTAAGGAAATTGGATATTTATGGTAGTATTTTTTTTTGGAGAGATGTACATCTTATCAGAAAAAAATTAAAAAGAGTGTCGCAGTATCCTGATTGCGTAATACCTATTTTGTGTACCTTATTGGTTACTTATGACATTTAACAATTGTCAGCAAATATCAAGTCGATTAATAATAATTGATGAATAATGATGATTTAATTTTTTATATATATATAGTAAGTTACTGACACTAAACAAGGGTCTAATTTTTTTTTAATGCCAAAATTTTATTCATTTGCTAATCGATCAAATTATTATATAAATCCGTTTAGTTTTTATGTCAAATTTACTGAACTTTATTCTTTAAATAGACTTTGTAAAGCCAATTTTGAATTCATTCGCGCTATGTCCACCCTCAAGTAAAAAAAAAAAATGTTTAAATTATATAGATTATCTACATCTAAAATTTTATCTTATTTTATTTTTTTTTTTTTCCTTTATTTATATAGTAAGGACCAACCTGAAATTCTTAAATGGGCCTCACCTGATGGTGAATTCCGCAGAAAAGCCTCTTCATTTCGTAATACAATCAGCAAAGACCCCAATGCAATCTACACTGCTGAAAAGTAATTTTATTGTTTATTATTTTTAATTAAAAAAAACTTTAACCCATTAACCATAATTACCATAATTCTTTTTTTTTTTAAAAAAAAAAAATACAGAGACAGATATCACTTGTATGTTAGTTGGGCTTGTCCTTGGGTAACTTAACTTATTTATCTTCATTTTATTTTTAATTTTTAATTTTTTAATTAAAGTTAATTGATTAGGCACATCGAACCGTTATCGTCCGTTCACTTAAAGGTCTTGATAATTTGATAGGGTTGAGTGTTGTCAGCTATATTTTGGGCGAAAAAGGATGGAAATTTAACACCCCTGAAGAAACTCCTGGTGCCATTCCAGATAATGTTAATAACGCTCAATATCTTAGAGAATTATATTTCAAAAGTGACCCCAATTACGGTGGAAGGTAAATAGTTCACATTGTGAGAAAATTTTTATCAAAATACTAAATTTTATATTGTTCTTTAGGTTTACTGTACCTGTTCTTTGGGACAAAAAAACTCAAACAATAGGTAAAAAAAAAAGTGATTTCTATTTTTAGATTAATCGACATCGTATGATTCTTATTTCACGTGACTTTTTTGATAGTTAATAATGAATCTAGTGAAATTATCCGCATTTTTAATGATGCATTCGATGATTTTACTCCGGAAACCAAAGGAGTAACTTATTATCCCGAGAATTTACGTACACAAATTGATGAAATTAACGAATGGGTTTATGATACGGTTAATAACGGCGTGTACAAATGCGGTTTCGCTACGACTCAAGAAGCTTGTAAGCAATTTATAACAGAAGATGATTAATTATCAAAATATCTCAAATTATTTTACTAATTAATTATTATTATTATTTAGATAATCGTAATATTGAACCACTTTTTAAGTCATTGGATCGATTGGAAGGAATCCTTTCAAAAAATGAATTTCTTGTAGGAAATACTTTTACTGAAGCTGATATTAGACTCTGGACAACAATTATTAGGTAATTCCATAATTTTTTGATCTTTTTTTTTTTCTATATTTATAAAATTTCACAATAACCGACGACGTATTCATAATAATAATTATTATTAGGTTTGATCCCGTATATCATACACACTTTAAAACTAACAAGAAAACAATTGCACATGATTATCCTAATATTCTTCGTTGGGCTAGGCAAATTTATCAAATGCCAAAAAGTTAGTAATAAATGATATTTAAATTTTTTAAATTCAAATAATTTTATAATTAACTTTTTCTTTTTTTTTTCAGTTTCTGATACCGTTAATATGTATCATATTAAGCATCATTACTTTGAAAGTCACAAACAAATCAATCCAACTGGGATAGTACCCATTAATAATGGTCCAGGTAAATATTATAAGCTTGATAATTATTATCATTCATTAATAATTTTCTTTTATTAATTTATTTTACTTTAAATTTTCTACAGATCTTGCTCAACCTATTATAGAATCCAAAAATGTTTAGAATACTTTATATTTATGTATTTTATATATCGTCTGAAATAATATATTAGTTTGTTTCACTTATGAACTTGTTTATTGCTTCCACATATCCTTTGTGTACATATGTATCCATATGTAATGCTTTGTCAAAATTAACCCATATCTTCTTTTCAGATTTACCAGCCAATTTGTATAATTCCAACATTTGTTCCTGAGGAACAATTTCATCATTACGCGATGATAAAAATAATATTGGAGCTGTAACTTCCTGAATCACTCGAGAATTTTCCCATTTATTCCAAAGTACAAATGGTAAACGTACAAGATATTTATAGGGCAACCAATTTTGAGGATAAATAGTTGTAACCATATCTTTTATAGAAGTAAAAGTATTCTCAATGATAATTCCTCTCAAATCTTTTTGAATATTTGATTGAGAAACCAAATAAAGTCCAACAGCACCTCCCAAGGAATGACCATAAACATAAAGAGGATTTTTTGGGAAAAGTTTTCTCACAAATTCATAAATTGCTATTGCATCCTTTTGAAGCCCATACTCAGAAGGTGAACCAGTTGAAAGCCAATAACCTCTATAACTTATAGCGACTATATACAAATTTGGGATTGAACTTGTTGGAGGAAGTAAAAGACGAGAGAAAAGCGGTAATCGAAGTAGTGTATTACCAGCATTACTATTTAATATGACCGAGTAAATATATCAGTTAAGACCACTGATGAGCTGATGATCAAGTTATTAAGTGATTTAAGTCCGCATGAACATATATGTAACTTACCCTTGAAAATAAATCATAACTGGAACATCGTCTCTATAACGTACATCAACTTCTCCTTCCACAGATTTTGTTAAAATAATTCCAGCTAATTTACACTTATCAATAGTTTCAACTGTTACTTGTTTGCATACCAACCTTTTATCAATTAATGACTCATCGAATGGGAGCTTACGTCCATCCCAAGGTAAAAATGGCATATATATCAACTTATTTTGGAATAACGTTAATACAGTACACTATTAAATAGAAAATAAAGTTTTTTTTTTGATTCATTTATTAAAAGAATATCACCAACATACCAAACCTTATAAAGGTATATTCCCAATGGAACTCCAAAAACTAAATATAACATAGTTTTCCATGAGAATTGTTGTATCGTTTCATTGGAAGATAAAAAAGTAAAATCTCTAAATTGTGACAAGTTTCGTTTTTGAACCGTATTCACCATTAAAGGTTTAAGTTTATTTAGACCAAATAATGATTTCTTTCTAAAATTTGAATATTTTGAATGAAAAAGCGCATTACGAAAAATTAGTTTTCGCATTATCAAAAAATGCTGATAGCAAAAAATTTTTATTTCACGCGTTACAATAAAATGTTAATCAGTTATAAAATGTATAACATGCTTACACGGATCACGGATCATGGCGTGCTTTTAAAAATGAGTTTGCTCTGTTACGTCGGTTATAATGAATATAGTAAGGTTGTTGAATATATTCACGTCTTTATTAAATATTTCAGAGCTGATATTTAGCCAGTATTAATTTCCAACGCTGAGACGACAGACTATTTGACAAAAAAAAAGAAAAAAAATTTAGCTTAAAAATATAAAGAACTGTGTATAAAAGACAATGTAATGAAATGGTAATAAAAAGTCGTGATATCATTTTTAATATATAGGATATTGTACACTAGAACATACATATTGCTGAATTTAATTCAACAAAATGTATTGTTTCTATAAGAATTAGCTTATTAACCAAAGCATTTAGTGCAATATAATGGCAGTCACGACTTTGGGTACCATATAGACAAACATCTTATAATTTCCTAAAATTTTACCTATTTTTAATTGCTATTCCTAATAAAATAAAATGAATATTTTATGAATCAGAATCATGGGAGATGATGAGATGATGGTAAAAGAAAAGGCTTAAATGGAATCAAAAAAAACCAGAGGAACCCAAACAAACAAACATGAAGATTATATATATAGAAACATGATCCGGGAAAGACAATTTCAATGATCTCGAAAAAAATCACCAAGTTCTTTTCCAATATTTTTCCACCATCACCAAGATTCCTAGAACTATCGCTGAAAAATAACATACTACTAGTAATTATGTAGGTGATCTGATAAGATGAAAAAAAAGTGGTAAAATAAATTTTACCAAAAAAAAAATCGGGACATTTGTATTGGTTATATAATTTTATACTGTACACTACTAAATAATAAATTATTCGTGACTTAATATAAATCTTTAGAAAATAAAATAAAGAAAAGAACTATATAAAAGTAATACTCATTGTAAATTATATTTCTGTAGTTAATCTCTCAATGTACCCAATTATACAGTTATCAAATTTATCTATAATTCACGTGAATAAAATTACTCCCATAACGAACATTCATTCATGCATTCGATGCATGCAATTTGCCATAAGTAAAAATTATTGGGTATTTTATTAAGAAAATTGTATGAATGGTCACATCAAAGATTCATTCACCTAATAATGGTACACTACCAAAAAGCGATTACTATAATGCAACATTTTTTTAAATTAATAAAAACAAATTCCATTAATTTAATAATTGTTATCAAACAATACTTTCGTTAAGATCATAAATAAAATATCATTAATTTTTTGAATTGATTGACCATAACTTTTTCCAAGAAAGATCACAGACCCTTCTAAAACTAAATATATCATCATTGTATCTATTGTATCTATTGTATCTATTGTATCTATTGTATCTGCAGTTTATCTATTATAGAGCCATTTTGATACGATTACCTATCTGCAAATATAATAATAATAAGAGGATGATCCAATTCACCAATTCACTGTCATAAAATTTCCGAATCAAGTATAGATCTCTCGATGAGACATTCTTTCCAAAGAATTTTCACTGCCACATGGTTTTCAAGTTGGATAAGTCGGTAAGTTGGTGCGAAGTCATAATATCACCTTGTATAAAGTTTTCAATAACGTAGGTTTGATAACCTAGATAAATAAATTCAAAAAATTAACACAACTATTAAAGTATTTTATTCTTGTTCGTAATAAATTTGAACCTTAAATAAACTTTCACCTTTTTTTTCTCTTTGATTTCCTGGAGGTCAATTACGCTTTTCAAATATTCCGACCATTTATTTATTTGTTTATTTATTTATTGTTTTTTTTACTTTTTTTGAAAAATTATTTTTGTAAAATGAAACTCGTTTATGATTTCAAAGTTTAAAAATTAAAGCGGAAAGGTTAAAGCAAAAAAAAAAA